CTTCTACTGTCAGCTACTGGTGCGTTTACCTTAATTAGTAAAGAACACAACGGTTTAATAAACTTTAAATTGATTCATATTACAGTAAAACAATAGTTACCGTACTAACAAAACAAACTGTTAGCTATAGTTATTTTCAATTTATGTTATTCTTCAGTATAACCTAATTGCATTTTAAATATTAACATTAATTAAATTCAAGCCCTTATAAAATCATTCTAGGTTATTAATCATCATTTTTTATGCCTAATACCGATTGGGTGCTATTGCATTATTTCCCTTTATTCAATTCTATGTTTACATTAAAATTATTTCAACCAACTATAACAATCTAATGCTTGTCTTCTTGTATAATAACCAAATAATAAGTTTACAGTAAATTTATTATAAAATATGAATCTATCTATCTATATATTAATAGGCAAGCATGTTTCTTTAAAACCTTTTTTCTCAGCTCGTGTGTATCGTAGGGAAAATCTACGCACACCGTTTGAAAGCTATTTTCCTGTAGGTGTGCAGAATCCCTTTATAAATTAAAATAGGCTCAAAAATAAGCACAAAAAATGAATTTGAAATTTTAAAAAATTAACATGGGTCATATGGGTTGCTATGGTGATGACAAAATAACAACAAAATATAAACAGAAAATCAAAACAAATGGAAGACATTTCAATCACATGTTTTATTTACAGTGTGGGGTGAAAATAGAGAAGTTTGCACAAAACATACTTTTGGTCGATTTTTCGACCACGGGGCGTACTCTCGTACTTATTTAATACGCAAGCAGGTTTTTTGTGACAACTACTCCTCCTAAACTACTGAACCGATTGACATGTTTTTGGTGTCATTGGAAAGAGGGTAACGTGAAGTTGTGCAGGAAACTTTCTTTTTAGGGAAATAATGAGAGATTGAGGCCCTGGAGCCCTTTAAAGTTTTGTATTTCACCATAAGTATAACATGGGAGATAATTTTTATTTACAAAAACATATGTTTGTTACTTGGAAATATTTGACTCTACGCATCTTGATCTTGCCATTCCCAGACATAAGGCGCACATTTAAACATTCTTTAGATTTAACACTACGAAGTAATAATGGAAAATAAATTGTTTTAAGTAACAATAGGTATACATTATTTTCTTATCTCAGTTCAACCTTGCCTTTGGTAAAGTTATGCTTTGAACACTCAAAGCAATGAGGAAGAATACTTTTTAAAGCTTGATGACCGTGAATTGTGAATAATACTTCCATCATGATTTCAACAAACTTTAAGCGTATCGGCATGACGAAAGACTATAAATCATCTAAACAATTCTCAAGTCAAAAATGAACATGATGAATGAGCAATGCTTCTGCCAAAACATTGATGGTGATTGATCAGTATAGACTTGTTTTTTTTTTTTAATTCTGAGCTAAGTATATATATAGGGGGCATAATAATCAATAACTTTGGATATTGCAAGTAGAATTACATCATCCCACCTTCATAATATTTCATGGTTTGTCAAGTTTGAGTACGTTGATGTACTGTTAGACTATAACATTTATAAATGTTTTCCGTTATTAAAGGGTAAAATAAACAATACAAGTTTTAATCTTTGATTGCAATACCAATACCTTCGGACTACAAAAAATGTTAATATCCACGTGCAAATAAGAAAGAAATGTCTCTAAAAATCCTTGAATCACTGTGTACTACGAATACGTTACATAACGTACCATAGTAAGTCAACAATGAAATTTCCAACACTTTTTTACTTGAATTCATTATTTATTCATACACAAGGGTAGATGTCGCTTAGTTTCAAAATAAACCTTTAAGTCGTTTGACGACATTTACACAATATCCTAATTCAAACTCATGGCCTAAAATACAAAATAATTCCCAACTTTAACACTTTTAAAAGTTTATTGGGCTACTCATACCCCCCCCCCCCCTTGAGAGGACGCCCTTGGACACATGCAATGTAGGATACGTAAAATCTTAATGGATTTAAAGATATATATCTCTTTTCTCACCATTTTTTCGGGAAAACTCTTACTTATTTTACAAAACTAAATACTGTAATTTTTACCAAATTAGGTATTTGTTTGCATCAAACGAACCACTATGGATTATTATTTTTTGATTGGCTGAAGAATGTTTTAGGATATGTATGGCCACAGAAAACATACTCTAGTATGTTTTCTGTGGTATGGCTCATGAAAGGGCGTTTTGTTGTTGTATATTGTTATTTAACAAAACGTGTAACTATAAAAACGTTGCAGCTTCAACTCATATGTAGGCGTTTTACGATAGGATAAGTCCATGGGATACATCATACTTTAACTATTCAAAGTAAACATTATTCCATAAATTATAATGAAACAGATCAACGTATTGGTTGGTGAAATGGCCGTTTTATCAATGTGGGTCAATGAGTCCACTATCCAAAAATAAATCTACAAACCAGTTAGGAGATTAGTGAAAACTAAATTCAGGAAGATTCCTCGATTAGGTTCCGTTACACTTTAACGTTACCAGACTGTTTCCGCCAATTCATCCAATAGTAGGCCTATTTATAGTTTGGATGAAAGGGTGGTATGGCGGATAAGACTGGTGATTCTTGTTCGTTTCATAAATAAGTAACGGGGATCAAGCCTTGCTAGGTTGTGGTTAATTGGGTTTAATCGTTAAAACAATATAGAAAACAGACGTTTTATAATTTACGAAAACATTTGTATTACAAAAATAAACATTTTATCACTGAAATAATTAAAACTCGCAATTAAAACAATAAGATACACTTTCATCACCTTGCTACTCACACAGAATGTTTTCCCCCTCTAGTCATTGAAACAGCAGATAAAAATATGAAATGAACAAAATCACATTAGTTTCAAAATAGCTTGACAAAGATTTTATTTCCTTTTTCGCTACTACTTCTAATGAAATTGAGATTCTGTCTGTTTTTTCATTGGGATCTAGTATACGGTAATAGTTTTATGTCAATTTAAACTCCCAGTTGTAATTAGTTTCCTGTTTCCTTTGAATGTCTCAGTTCATCGGGGATTAAGTTTTGGAAGTTAAAATAATCAGTATTTTATTGGAACTATTTCCCCCTATATCGAAAAATGTTCAGTGTAATCTTCGCTCAATAGTTTACAACTGACGGTTTCCCCTTATGTACTGTATTTTTTTCCAAGTATACTTTGGATGGGCTTGTTATAAACACATGTGACAAGTATTTTGTTTACTTTTTCCTTGTTATTTTTTTGAACCAACTTGGCAACCAGTAGGGCCAATGTTAAATTTTTAAATGAGTTGTGTACGGTAGCGAAATACGAATTTTCTTGAGGTAGTGGCTGTCACCAATCACGTTTATATGGCTACAAGTCCCTAATTCCAAAATTAAGTCAAAATTCTTCCGCTGGGTTTCGAGATTCTTTTTTTTAGATATATATTAAAGACAAACAGACAAACAAACATACATAGCTCGTATTAGAATAAAGGATACTGTCATAAAATCTAACAATTTAAGAAGCTTAAGACACCTACATTTAGAGTATAGGCAATGAATATAAACCCTTTAAGAATCGAAATGCTTATGGAGAATAGTCAGACTGGAATTTTGCCGCTGAAATGAACTTCGCGCTGCTACCGCTACGATAGGATTTTTTATTGTAATTATGTATACTTCCGACAGCACTCGACATACAGAAATGCATGTATTGGATTGGATCACCTACCGTATCCCTACTTAGGCGCCTCAGACTGTATAACACGAATACCTGTTGTACAGAGGTCTATGCAGATGACTCATTAAACTCAAATACTCCAATGAAAAATCATGACATACTATGTAGTACTGTATTTTAAAAAAATGTGTTCCGTAAACAGTTACTGTAATTTGTAATATAAAAATAAAATTTTACTCTTTGTCAATGATGATTCAAATTCGTCAAGGTAATTTTAAAAACCCCATCCAACTGTAAGCAGCTAATTGATTACAATTTTCGATAATTGCCTAACTACTTTGTTCTGACTCTACTGTTGTAATTACCCTACAATTAACATTGGCACACTAAGAAATAAAATGAGTAATCTAATAAAAGAGAGACCTATTTGTTGCCCCTTCAAACATTTTTATTTCGATTAAATATACTGTGAATCTGTTATTTTTAGACTCTTTTAAAGTATAATCTATAAAATTAATACGCCAACACAAAATTTCTTAACAGATTTTGACCATTGACGTCTCATTGGAAAGAGCGTGTCGCGTAAATTTGCAAACTGACCTTAATTCTTTGTTTAATCCCTTGGGCTCTGCCCCAGTGACGAAAGTTAACCATGTTGTCCTTAAGAAGTACATTTGTTTACATTAAGATGTAATTCAAGGAAACGCGTCATACAAAAATTAAATCTTACTTGGTACCTGGTTAAAATGAAATATTGACTCTTTGAATTTGGGTTTGCATATATTGTAACAGCATGCGTTGTACTTTATACATTCTGTTCAGAGATCATTTTATTTAATTCCTCAATTCTTCACATGATTTTTTTACTTTCTACGCCTGTGGCAGGAGGAATTGGAGGAAGTCAAACGCTTTTTAGGAATTCGGTCCAAACCCTAATGTTTTGTGAGTATGCCGTGGATTGAACCCAACTCTCCCGCACCGGAATCCTAGACGTTGACGTCCCAGACGTAGTGGTGACTAGAATGCCACTAGGATAGCAACACACCTCTTAGATAAAGATAAAATCCATTAGCGGTTGGCGGCATTTGAACCCAGGACCTCGTACACTGAAGCCCTGCTCTATCACTTCACCAACTCTCTTCTGACAACTAAGGGGGGGGGTTTCTCCATCTATTAAACTAAACAATGTCACGAAACCACACTTTCACACGATCTTACAATTATTGTTGTTTTTTTGAACAACGTTTAATCTTATAACTTATTTTGTTGTTCCCCAAACACGTTATAAGACATAACAATTAAAAAAAAAATGCGGGTACTTACATTGCTCCCTGGGGTACATCCATGTTAAGTCCATTCAACACCACACTGTTACCGTACCTCTTGTACGCGGACCGCACCGCGAGCGCGCTCTCCATTGCGAATAGGCACTGTCTACTGTGTACCTCACAACACAACAGCTGACGACTGTGCACTGTGGTGGAAGTGGAGAAAGCACGTTGCATAAGCCACCCCACTCACCACCACTCACCACTCACGGGAACAGGTGGCAAACAATTGTTACTCTTGTACACACTGAAGTGTATGGTGTTTAAAACATTTGATCAAAGAACAGTGTTCTAAATCATCAAACATTTTTTACCTGTACACAAAAAGAAATAACGTAGCACTTTTCAGCCTAAAATAGGCCTAATGGATCCCTAATTAGTGAACAAATCAATCAGTATAATTAGTTATTCGAAAAATACACTTTAATCACACAATGAAGACTTCAAAGACCATACGGTACACGTATACACACATACACATGTATATAAATCCAAGAGGTGGCTATTAAGGAGGTGGTGTATCATGTGTCTTGCATTTCTGGGCAATAAGACAGAATTCATTGGCTATGTGATTCATAATTTACCACCCTGTTCGACACCCACCGTACTATCACTATCTCATTCAACATCTCAATTTAAACATGTAACAATTCCTCCTACCTACCTGTCTGAATATGCAAAACTATGAACCTTCTGGTAAAACATCTTGTTTTTGGTAAACCGAGGTATAAGATGATCACTTAGCGAGCCAAGAATGAGATAGATGGACCGATTTAGTAGGTAAAAGGATGAGATAAAAGGACAGCGATAGAATAGTAGGTACTGCACTTTTATCAGCAGAAGACAGAATCGAGTGAAGGCGCATTGTTGCAGCCGAGGGAAGAATTTAAAAAGGACATAACATACAGGGTGGCTGAAAAGTAACTTGCACCCCCCATTAACTTTTCAACCATTAGAGATATTTGAAATCTGTTTGTGGCAACCTTCTTAGCTATGAGGGGCTACAATAATTATGATCAGTTTTGAAAATTTTGCTCTTAGGGGTAGCGGGGGTAGGGGGTAGCTCAAAATTTTCAATGGTCCGATTTATATTTTCTTTATGTTAATTGTTATGTTTTGTCAAAACCTGTAAAATGATACCAATCTCGACAATACTTGCTGTTTGAAAATTTTGAGCTACCCCCTACCCCCGCTACCCCTAAGGGCAAAATTTTCAAAACTGACCATAATTATTGTAGCCCTTCATATCCAAACAAGTTGCCACAAACCGATTTCAAATATCAAAAATAGTTAAAAAGTTAAAGGGGGTGCAAATTAATTTTCAGCCACCCTCATGGTTATTTGGATTTGAAATGTTTTGGGGCGCCATTTTGTTATTAGTGGGCCGATTTTGGTTTTATTTACGTCACTTTGTATGATTCGTATGATTTGTATGATTTGGAAATTTTGAGCTACCCCCTACCCCCACTACCCCTAAAGGCAAAATTTTCAAAATTGATCATAATAATTGTAGCCCCTCGTAGCTAAGAAGGTTGCCACAAACAGATTTCAAATATCTCTAATGGTTGAAAAGTTAAGGGGGGTGCAAGTTACTTTTCAGCCACCCTGTATATGCGACTTTGACACACCAAAAGGGCTTTGCTACTGTAAGATCAGTAGGTTCTACAGCAAGGAGCAGGGTCATTATTAAACGTCCAGCGAGCAAAGGTTGCTGGGTTCATTTTAAATAATTTAAACGTTACTTTCTTAGGATCGAGCTTGCGATGTTCTTATTACTAGGCTAGCTCTAAATCAACTCAGATATCGACTTAGAATCACGCTTCAAGTGGAAAATGCAGAATAAACTAAAAGGTATTGTCGGGAGGCCAAAGAGGTGATGTAATGTTACATACTTTTGAAACCCATTAATTGTATCAGCTTTCTCTATTTCCACAATCATGTCTGTATTCTGCTGAGACTAATCTACAGTATTTTACTTCAAACACGCGTGCCACCAAAAACAAACCACTGTAGACTATACTCTCTAGCCTCCAAACCTAGAGTAGATAGAGTATAGTAGATAGCCTCCAAACAGCTGCAGGTTTACTCCAGTATTAGTATCACAGTCATGTTCGCGGGTTTCGCTGATGCAACGTCATCTTCCGGCGGTCGCGATCCTTGTCGCACTTCAATTAACGTTTGGTTGCGAAAACGTCGGACCGATGAGGGCGACCAATCGAACTACCGGAGTATGTCGCTCAGAACCCGATTACACAATTGCTGCGATATTTACAACGGTGTCGAGAATATACAGCATCGTGGTATCAGTCAATATAGTGCTTCGAGGTTATATATTTGACTTTAAAGAGTAGCTTTAATATAGACTGCTGAGTCTCATATTATAGTTGTAGCTAGTTTGTGTTTGAGTTGAGCCGACGATAGAGTGTGCTGCTGTCAATTACTGATGTCTACACACCGACTTTTAACCAAGTTAAAATAAAACAGCTCACTATAAACTATAGCATCTTTTATATCACTTAGATCGCAGATGCATCAATTATAGAAAACTGGGTTAAATTGAATTTTTACAGTAGTACACTCTGTGACCCCATTCGACTTCGAGCAAATTACGAGAAAACAATACATCCTTTGTATAAAGTAGACTAGTATTGTCGACTGTAAATCCTTAAGGATTTACGGTCAACGCTAGTATCCAAGAGGCTATAGTTTCTGCAGTTACAATTAATCAGGCAATCGTTTTCAAAATACAGCCTAGGAGCAAGCGTGCCTCCCAATTAGGTTTAATTGGATTTGATCAAATGGCATATACATTTATCCTGTTTTCTATTTAGGCAAGCATGTTTCATGAAAACCTTTTTTCTCAGCTCGTGTGCATCTCAGGGAAAATCTACGCATACTGCTAGACAGATATTTGTATGTAGATGTGCAGAATCTCTTTATAAATTAAAATAGGCTAAAAAATAAGCACATCCAAATGAATTTATTTTTTTATTAACACGAGCCTTATGGATTGCCTTGCTGGTGACAAATAACAACAAAATATAAGCTAAAAATAAAAAAAATAAAATAAATTCCAATCACATGTTTTATTTACAGTGTGGGGTGAAAAATAGAGAAGTTTGCATAGTACATGTTTTGGTCGCGTTTTTGACCACGGGGTGACCTCTAGTATAAAATAAACATCTAGTGGAATTAACTTCCGGCTGATTTATTTTGTTAACATTAACTAAAAATGGTTTACGATACCTGCATATAGAAATCCTTTGTTGCTGTTTCCGCAACTAGTTTCGGTTCTTCTGAACCAACATTAGGCCTCGTGGTGTCAGGTGATCACTTTCTTTGAAGATCGTTAACAGAGTTCAATAAATAAAACATACTAGAGGTCGTCCAGTGGTCGAAAACTCGACCAAAAATATCTAGTGTACAGACATTAGTGTGGCCTTGGTACAGATTTCTCTGATTTTCATCACACACTGTAAATAAAACATATGATTGGAATTTCTTACATTTATTTTGATTTTCTGTTTATATTTCGTTGTTATTTCTTCACCAGCATGACAACCCGTAAAGCCCATGTTAATTTTTTTTATTTCAAATTCATTTTTTGTGCTTAATTTTGAGCCTATTTTAATTTTTAAAGGGATTCTCCACATCTACAGGAAAATATCTTTCCAACAGTATGCGTATATTTTCCTTGCGATGCACACGAGCTGAGAAAAAAGGTTTTAAAGAAACATGCTTGTCTATTAATATATAGATAGATACAGTACGAGACACAATTAGACATGAAAACATAGAATAAATATACTGTTACAAAGACACAAAACACGCGAAGGAACATAGACAAAAACGAACGTGGCCTGGCTTAAGTAAATGTCTAGTCTTTACTTGTTGATGGCCTGTTGATGGTTCAGAAAAACCGAAACTAGTTGCCAAAACAGCAACAAAGGATTACTATTTGCAGGTAATGTAAACCATTTTAAGTATAATACAGTATAATCTGGAGGTTAAGCAACTCTGGAAATAACGTTACAACTTTAACTAAACAAAGCTAAAATGATACCGTTTGTAAACTGCAACATATTTTATGTCATGTAAACTATAACATAACAAAAACCAACCGAGGAAATGGAATTTTCACAGTAGCAGATTCTGTGGGTGGATCATTCAACAATATTGTATTTAACAAAGAATCGGTTATAACTGGTCTGTATAGATGGTTTAAAATAGATGAGCCCATGGTCCACCCACCACTGTATTTTAATCATTCAACTTTTAATTTACGTCTTCTAATTATACGCCCTATTACCTTTAACTATGACGCTACTAATTAAGTGGACAAAAACAGAAAGCCAAAAAACAATTGGTAAACATGATTATTGTTTGAGCACGATTATATAATTTCACTATCTTTAAACTCAACGGAAGAATTCATTACCACATAACATACGGATGTATCCAAATCCTTGTTATTCCTAAAAGTTTTCCACTTGGGGTGAACTAACTGTTGTGCGCTGATTGTATATGATTGCAATACGATTCGTAAATGGGGGTTTTCGAAAAGCCCCTTCAAACTTACATAAACATAGTGTGGTCAGTATATTCTATCTGTTGTTGTGGATTCATAATCCTGAATCATAAGTGTAGCGCATTTCATGTTTAGAAAATTTACTAAAGAAGACCTAGCGGGTAGACCTCCTTCAATCAACATAATTGTCGCTGACATTGCCTTATAGTAAAAAATCATTTCTGTTACCGCAATAAAAGTGACGACCGAACATAAATTAACGTTTGAAAAGCTAGTCTTCTTAAAATAAAAAATATTGGTCAAAAGTAGTACTAAAATCTATTCAACATAGTACAGTTCATAAGTATTCTATTCGTAGGTTCTAACCTCATTCGGTCATTAGTTTGACTTCATTGACTTTATTTTTATAGCGCTACCTTGCCTCTTATGTAGCGTGTGCTCCCGCTATCTCCGCGTTCCGCCACCTCCGAACCCAAATCTGTCCCGCCACCTCCGAATTCTTGAGTGACCCTTACCGTCATTGCCTGCGTTGGTAGCTGTCATTGCATCCACGGCTGCAAAGCCCCGTGGATGGAAGATTTAATGAAAATTTAACCCGTGGGTTAGGTTAGGTTAGGTTAAGTTATGGTTAGGTTAGGTTAGGTAAGGTTAGGACGGAAAGTCTTAACGCATGTAGTAACCGAGGATTATAGGGGTCATTCTGAAATTCGGAGGTGGCGGGACGCGGAGATAGCGGGAGGTAACCTTATGTAGCACTAGCTTATCTTACCTGTACACCTTTATCAATTGGATCAGCAATTATGATCTTTCTCAGGCATTCCTTTGGTCAGGAGCTCTTTATTAATGATCGCTAAATTTCCTCTGTCTTCACCGTTATACACTTTATGTTGTTGAATCTCAAAATTTAGAAATATGATATGGGTTAGACATTCCCTTCCTTTAAAATCACATTTGATTTTTTAATCATAAAAATCCTCCATTCACAAACTTAGGACCAAAAACCCTCCATGTTTTTAATATATTGGAGGATTTGCAAAAACTAGAACAAAAGATATTATAAATTTTAGTATAGTTCTTAAGTTTTCTGTTCAACCCATGGTAAGATTAACAATCTTTGATAAAAATTACAGCATCCAAAGTCAATGGATATCTTGTATTCAAGATATTGAATTATGAATTCCCTCTCAATTCTTTGCTCTGATAACACTACTCGCATGGCAGTCAAAAGTCGCTCTATGAACGCCTTTAGACCTTTATTTCCACTGATTTGACGTCAAAAAGTTTCAGAATTTTCGACCTTTTGACCCTTACCTGCTAATGTACGAAGTCATTAGTCATCGGTAACTCATTATAGTGAAGGCGATGGGACAATGAGTTGTACATCGGTCCACGAGGCAGGTTGTCATTGATGATGTAATGCGATGATGGCTGTACTGGGGAGTCGGTTAGATATGTATTGCCAAAGAAATATATTAGTGCGAGTTATAGTTGGGGTAGCATTATAGATAAACAACGTTTTATGTTTCAGTGGTAGCGGTAGGACTCTGATTGGATGATCCAATGGCAAGGAACTGCTGTCCTGGGGGCCGGTTTTGGTTTTCAATCTTGCCATTCACTATATAAATTGCCTTTAGCTATGTAGTAATATTGTATCCCAGTAGTAGTGCTGTATTGTAATCCCATTTCTTAACAAGTAAACATAGATCTCCTTCACAAAGACAATCGTACAAAAATTTCACCAAGGCAATTTCGCTTCATTAAAATTGAAAAATCTATATATATAATTCCGTAAGTCAAATTTTTGTAAAGAAATTGTGAGTGACTGGATGGCCGTAGAAGGATGGGAGGGGTCTTATTTTAAAGGTCTTGACGTGAATTTTGAGGGAAAACTATTCATTTTTCTTAATTATGCGCCTAAAGGGTGTAACAGAATAAAATAATTTACATTTAAATAGCATGGGAATCTAATTTTATGTATTTCTATTACGTGTTCTGCTCACAGCTCAAAAATGTGATCCGATTCACATTTTCTGTACATTGCACAGAAAGTGTATTTCATAACGCTTCCATTCATACGATTTTAATGAATAATTTCAGTAAACATGTTTCAAAAACCATCTGCATAACCGACAAAAATACTTTCAATAAGTTTGATGTGACAATTCAACTATCGATATCAGTTGGTACCTCTGCACAAAACAATAATCACATGGTGTTTGTTTACTAACAAAAATTTACAAATTACAAAATAATCGAAAGTTGTTTATAAACGTACAAAAATGTGGTCTTTGATTTGGCTTCTACTTGCTCTACCGTTTCATCTCCATGGTACCCAGCTAACCTTCGACTTGGCAGAGAACTCTGAGGAGTGTTTCTACGAGGAGGCTACGAAGGGCTGCACGGTGTCCTTGGAGTACCAGGTGGTGGCTGGAGGGTCCAACGACGTCGCTGTCATTGTCAAGGACCCCACAGGCAGGACCGTCTACCAGCAGGACAGGTCGGAGTACGACTCCGTCGCCCTCACCGCCGTGCAGAACGGCAGCTACGTCGTCTGCTTCGGCAACCAGTTCTCAACGTTTACGTCCAAGCGGGTTTTCATGGATTTTGAGGTTAGATTCAGTTTTTTGTTTTGAGGAAAAAACAAGATATCAGTTGAAAGGTTAGAAAAATGTACACGTCTTTGAGGAAATGTCCACTAATATATGACAGGTATTAAAGCGTTGCTGAACTCTGAATATGGAAATTTCTAACTTGTAACTTTGACTAAACGAACTTTATTATAGTAAACGATTGATCAGTAAGCCGAAGCGTGAACAAAATCTGGGCCACACTAGGAAAGTGTGAATGCAATATAAATGTAAAAAGCATGAATTTGTAAAGCGAAACGTGTGACATTCTGTTGTACTAGGCCCCACGAATATTTTTGTTTGACGGTACAATCTTGTTGTGCTCGACTTCTAATATAATCTGAATGTTGCTGTGTTGATCCCAAAAGTGTCGATTTTGGACTCAGATGAAATTTGCATTGATTCAACCAAATAAAAGGTTCACGTTATACAGTCATGACTAGAGGTTTAGACCATTATTCTCTTAAAAACACCAAAGAATAGACTTGCTGTTTGTAGGTGAGCGATCTCCCGAGCCAAGAGTCTGTCTCCACCGCCATGACCCAGCTGGAGTCGTCCCTCCAGAATATCCAGGACTCGCTGGACAGCATCGTCAACCACCAGACCCATCATCGTCTGCGGGAGGCTCACAGCAGGATGCGCGCTGATGACCTCAACCACCATGTCCTCTGGTTGGCGCTGGCCAAGACCACGACCATGCTGCTTGTATCAGTCACCATGGTGATTGTTGTCAAGACGTTCTTCTCGTATAGAAACCCCTACCCGTACACAACTAGATTGTAGCAATGAATACACAAACTATAGTTTGTGTATTCATCGGTTGTAGTTAACAGAAATCAAGTTGTTGGAAGATATTTGGAGTGATGAACTATATTGTAATAAAAGCAGTTTTTAACATTTTTTGTAGTTCTGAGAGTTCATTCCATTGAAATGTTTTAAATCTATTTTTGATGATGTAATAGTTAATTTATTTTAAACCAAAGTAAAAAGATTTATAGAGTGTTTGTCGTGATTGTTTTAACACTAAATAGTAGGCAAATCATACATTCAGGTTCTTACATTTTACGTATTAGTTTGGCTTGTTTTCATTACAAATAGGCCTATATGAGTCGTATATTGTCCTGGGGAATGGCACGCGGACAGAATACACTGCACCTTCTAGATGAACAAGAGTATTTTTAGGTACAGTTTTGGAAATTGCATCGCAGCATTTTGTTGACGACATTTTGTTTTCACTCCAATTACGTCATTGATTTACTGAATCATTTTTTTGATTCAGTACTGTAAAAAGTGTTCTAGTTAACGTGATGTAATAATTACACTTAACAGCTGGTTAAATCTAACAGAATTATTTGATGAAATCTTCAAACAGCTGCTGATGTCAAACTCTGAATATTTGTTTTTGTAACAATAAAAAGTGAAAACGTTGACTGGATAAGTTATAACTTCCAAGACGATACGGATAATCAATATTCGAGTTAGTTGCCAAATCCATAACAGTATTTGACAGAATGGATATTCCCAGGAAAGTGCAGTATGTTTGCTTCGTAAGTTTGTTTCTTTATACAATTTCACCAGACTTCGTACACGGCAAGGCTGAGCTGGTAACATGCGGGTCCGTCCTCAAACTACTCAACACCAAGTACAAGGTCAGGTTGCACTCGCACGAGGTGAGGTACGCGACGGGCAGCGAGCAGCAGTCGGTCACCGGCACAGAAGATCAAGAGGACATCAACTCCCACTGGGTAGTAGGAGCGAAGCCCCCTTGTTTCAGAGGAGAGCCTGTTGTATGTAAGGGTGAGATTCGCTTGACACATTTAACGACGGGTATGAACCTCCGCTCACACTACTTCCCCTCTCCGCTGGCCAGGGAGCAGGAGGTTGCTGCTGGAGCAGAAGATGCGGGTGACCTCTGGAAGGTCTTGTGTGACGGACCGTTCTGGAGAAGAGATGAGGAAGTCATGCTAAAGCATGTGTCGACCGAGGTGTACCTGGCCGTGTCGGGCAACAGGTTTGGACGTCCGATAGAAGGGCAGTACGAGATCGTCGGAGTCCGAGGGTCTAACTCCCCGACCAGATGGAGGGTGTCAGAGGGTGTGTTCATACACCCTCCTGAGTCCAAGATGGAGCTACACAAGACACATACCGAGTTGTAGTTTTGCATGTTTTGTAACCATGTATTTACAATAGGCCTACGTCTGTTTACTGTAGTAGTCATTAAGTTTTTGAGAAATGAATATTGAGATATTAATATATAACACTTTCCCATGCTCAGAGGAGACTGTTATTATTCCTATTTTTTCTATTCTGTCTGAAAACTAAGTTTAATAACAGCTAGGCCTACTTATAATCAGGTAGGCCTAGCCATTTTATATTTTGGACTTGGCAATAAAACTCCCAATAAGACCAAGAGAGTTTGGATCGTAAACTCTCTCAGTGGCACTTATCCATGACCAGGAGCCAACATTCTCTCATAAAACGTTACTCTCACATTCTTGCGGGTGTAGTAGTTAGGGCTCAATATAAAGAGTGAATAATGAAAGAATATAATTTACAGACAGGCCTACGATGAAAGTAAAAACTTGGCAATATTGATATAACATAATAGATCATAATGTGCTTTTGATTATACTAGTTAAAAGTTACGTGGCTTAACTTTGCGTATACTCACGGTTGGACCATAAATATCCGTAAGCTGGGGTATATTGTAATAGGTTTATATTGTAAACCACTCAAATGTTTAGTAGTCTAGCTAAAATATTAGAATGTAGGAAGTCTGATTCTGATTTCGATTTTGTATCGCTGCAGGGGAAAATTCACTACGACCTACAACAATGTATTCGGTCCCCTTGGCTTCCGAAGATCCAAGATCACCCCTCTCCCATCCCAGTTCCTTAGCCAAACCATTGGCTGTGTCGACTATATTTTGTATTAAAAGTAAAGAAAGACATACAAGATCCTAATTTGTTGTGTTAGTAGCTCCACAACTGGTTGTTACTCAACTTGACCACTGCTCGGCACGCGAGACAAGGGAAAGTGATCCCAGATCAGCCTTACGCAACGCTTCATACGACAGCTTTTCCCTTCCTTCGAAGTCGTCGACCTCAACGGCGCAAGGGGAGTCGAACATACACCCTGTTGGTTGTAACCAGGATGACATTGTATTGACGTTTGATTTACAACTTGAGATAAAAGACGATAGTTGATTAATATTAGCTGAATCAGGCTGTATAGTATTATAGGCTGTATAGGAAGACTACCTCAATTGAAATTGGAATTATTGTATGCAGTATAGAAATTAGCTGTTATACAAAGCCATCCACACATTTACTCCTATGTTTATTAAACAGGTTGACGTGCTAGAAACAACTGTAAGGGGCTATTCTTTTTTGCTCTTTTTCTAATGGTAAAGGATTTGGAAAGGTCCTATGGTCTGCCAACATGAGTGGCGATTGTTTAGCAGTGGTCTTGTGGAGTTTAAATTAAATCAAATCTAGCCAGTTTGTCAAATCAATGTTGATGGAAAGCTGATTAACTAGGTGCCGTACTGAGAAGCAACCCAGCTCAGCAACTAGATATGTACCTACTTTACTGTAATACTTTTATCCTCAATGATTACCATACGAAGGTAGGTATTTTAAGCCAAATATGAATCAAGATGAGTGTTGTAGGGTGTTAGGTGGTGCGATCTTAAACTCTTGTTAAAAATGAATTATGAAGAAATTACAACATTAGTGCGATGATTGTTGTCTCTGCATATGAACGAGGAGAGATTCGTCGACTCGAAAGAAAATCGCCATATCACTTTTTTCTGCGCACCTATGTTTATCTCATGTAACATTTATTTACATAGCCGAAACGTTACGTATAGGCCCGACTTACAAATAATTCCCGACCGTAGAACACAGATTATTTATTCGTATATATTTCCATACAAATTATTTAACACTCGTCTGTTAAGTGTTTATTAACTATCGAAAAAGCAATGATGTATTAATTTGCCGTATACAGCACAGTAGGCTAGAAGGCTACTACGTTTCGCTCCCTACGAGCCGTGCCCAGCGCCTCATGGAGTCAACACAGCATCTCGCGCTTTCTTCACTTTCATTTTCACTTTCACTGCGTCATCGAAGTTACAACACCGCCTCCCGAGTTCTTCCTGTCGCTTCCTCCTTCCGTCCGACGAGTGTCTTCAGTATAAACATTCCAACCTGCCTCAAGCGACGGCGGATCAGTGCAGGATTGGCTTTGGGTTGTAATACAACAAGTTGATAAATTAAGGTAGTTAAATTAACTGTGTCAATCGTGGAATCTGAAGCTTGTTTTCTTTTGCGTGGTATCATTAACTATACACTCTGTGTATATTCGATGATGGTGTGTATTCGGTAACGCTTCAGTAAAAAATGTCGACTGAATATTTCTCTCTTATTTAATAGGAAATTTTAAAACGAGTGATTTACCTTTTTAGCGAATATCTCTATAGGCACAGATAATAGAACCCTACTAGGGTTCTATTATCTGTGCTATAGGGAAGTAGCTACTGAGGTGGCACGGTAAGACCTAGGCCCGGGATCGATTTACTTTTTCATTTTGATGTCCTCAGATGTCAAAAACACCATTCGTTCAAATTTATATATACGTCCGTGAACGCGATAACCTGAGTAATTTTTGTCCGATTTTGATCAAATTTGTTTTAAAGGTGTAAAGCGGGGTAAACTTGAATGAGTTCGCGAACAAGCATGATCGGGCCATGGGAAAGGGGGTTTACCACGGGGGATTTTACGGGATAAAAAATGTGTTTTCTCATTTTCGACCCTCAAAACACAAAATTTTCCAATTTCTCTCTAGACCTTTTTAAAGAGCTTAAAAAAAGCAAATGATTTCGTATATCAAAAATCAAAGTGTTTTTGTATGGTTATTGCCGACTTCGGAACTCATAACTCAACTGGACGAATTGCTGTCCTTGTTCATTGTATTATTATTATCAATCAGTGAGATGGGGCCGCCACCTAGGTGCGAATTCTATGAGCAAAGATAAGTTTAGAATGGTGTCGGTGTGAGATGATCTCGATCTGTCAGCGGTGTAGCTTTGTTGGTTATACTGACTGATCAGCTGTTTCATTGGTCATGCTCATTTATTTAAAACCCAATGATCTGGAACAGCTGAGTCGGTTAATGTTACCTACATCGAGCTTTTTAATAAACTAGTGTCCCTGGTGCTCGAATTCGAGCAATTGCCAAGTACTACAGAAGTTATTTTAAAACTAATAACAGTCATATTTACAATGAGGAAAGAGTCAACTCAAAGATTACCGGTGTGTAACTTATGGAAATACTCACGATGTATATAACAGTTCAACATACTGTAATCAACATATTTTCCTGTGAATATTTTATCATGTATCATACGCTGATATTGTTTTTTAGTGTTTTTCTACAAACATTTCCTGACTTATACCAAATTTAATAATTAATTACTTATATCACTAAACACAAACCAACATCCAAAACTATACACATTTTTAATTCAACATGGATTATTTACACATTGAATGTTTACAATTAATTAACATATGTTCTTCTTTCAATTTTAATTTCTGACAACATCTGGAGTTTCATAACAATGTTTGTTTCCCATGTTAACCTTATGGAGAAATACGAAACTTTAAAGGGCCCCAGGGCCTCACTCTCTAATTATTTCCCTAAAAAGAAAGTTTCCTGCACAACTTCACGTTACGCTCTTTCCAATGACACCAAAAACATGTCAATCGGTTCAGTAGTTTCGGAGGAGTAATTGTCACAAAAAACCTGCTTGCGTATTAAATAAGTACGAGAGGTCGTCCAGTGGTCGAAACTCGACCAAAAATATGTAATGTACTCACTTATCTATTTTCACCCCACACTGTAAATAAAACATGTGATTGGAGTTTCCTCCATTTGTTTTGATTTTCTGTTTATATCTCGTTGTTATTTCGTAACCAGCATAGCAACGCATAAGATCCATGTTAATTTTTTCAAATTTTTAAACTCATTTTTTGTGCTTATCTTTGAGCCTATTTAAATTTATAAAGGGATTCTGCACACCTACAGGAAAATAGCTTTCCAACGGTATGCGTAGATTTTCCCTACGATTCACACGAGCTGAGAAAAAAGGTTTTAAAGAAACATGCTTGCCTATTAATATATAGATAGATAGATAGATAGATAATAATAGTCCTGACTAATGAAACAGCTGATTTGATCAAATGGCCAATTACAACGCTACACAAGGCATCTAAATACAAAAGAAATACTTATCTTGTTGGCGTCCCTATCTCATTCTCAATTGGTGCCCTATACGTTATTAATATTGGCTACCCAAGCAGTCTTTTTGTATCAAGGTTGATGCTCGATTTCGCATAAAATATAAAAAATTTTGAATAAGACTAGGTGAAACCAGTCGAAATCGACGGTTACTTTCAAGGCTTACGTTAATTCATTTAACTGCGATAAATTGGGTGAAATATATACATATTTTGAGCATTTAGCATTGTTTAAAGGGTAATAAGTGTAAAACAATAATGATTTTAATTGCGTTCGTTGCCAAATTGGGTTGATCATTCAATGATTAAAATATTTCCCATACCGTACGTCTTTGGAGTTATTATTAGTATGTTATATGATATCTCTTCCTTTGGAAGAACCTTTAAATAGTATTAAAATCGTATTGGTGGGTCTTTTGTGTTTAAACACTTCTGTGATTTCATCAGTGTAATATGATTTTATTTGAAAAGAAAATATTTTTCGGGAAGACATATTCTAACTTCAAAGGGAGGTATATCCTTTACAGTGTAAGTTTGATTTTTCCTTCGTCACGTCGCGTCAGTTCATATCGTACTTCTGTGCCAATGAATGAACCCTCTAGCATAGTTTTGAGGAATTGATTGTGGGGTTACTGTTAAAGCTGGAATTTCTTGACATGGGGGATGTCAGTTAGTTGTCTCAGCCTTATCAATAACATAAAGTTGTAAAAAAATCTCTCTACGGAATGTTAGGTGTAGTGGAATACTTAAGTGAAGTTGGCTTTTATTCTTGAACTGTTAGGGGCCTCCTCATTTTATATGGTCTTGGCGGCTTCATTGGCAACAAATAATGCAAATAACATAGCAATGGGACATTTCAAAAAAGCAAAAATACTGTACATTGGCTGTTACGTATATATTGACGTTTACATATTGGTAATCAACGTAAAGGATGTGATCTAGTTTAAAAGGAACATGACCTTTCTGTCATGACAGTCTTGCTTAAATCGTATTTTCTCTTTGTACTATATTTTACAGCAAAAATGTAGTGTTATTTTCAATAATGTTACGAACCCAGTGCGCCAAAGTTTGTAATACAGTATAGGCAGGTGCAAATAATTTTTCAAGATGGGTACCATTTTAGGCAAGGTTTCTATGTTTGAATTTTATTAGACACGATAAGATCAGATATTTCTAAATAATTATTTGATATGTGTAGAATAATATGATAAAATGTACGCAAAAGTGGTGAAAAGGCAAACACCAACCCGTAAAATAGATATAAGATAGTTCAATAAGAAATAATTTAAGAATTGCTGTGATAAAAGGATTTTCCACTGATTTCGTAATGGAACGATATATTGCAAAACATGACATGATAAAAAGGAAAATCAATTTTAAAATCAGAAAATAACATTGCAAATACTTATTTGGTACAATTCAGTAACTCCCAATAAATGTGTGTTGTTTGCATCAGAGATCGATGGTTGTTTGAAATACAATTTAAAAATGAACAGCTGTTTTATTAAAAAGTATTATTCACATGGCCAAACTGTAAACAACTCTGTGGAGGGATCTTTAAAGGCTTCTGGGGCAGAGCCCTAAGGGATTTTGCTTAGTTTTTCTTTTGATAACTCATCTACAGATCAAGACCTTTCTTTTGACACCTCTACCAGGTTTCTACGCTCAGCAGTTCTCTCAAATTAGTGGGGACAAAGTTTCCAATTAAATATTTCGATTTCCCCATGTTAATCTTATGGGAGAAAATCCAACTTTGAAGGCCTGTGGGGCAAAGCCCGAGGATTTTTATTACAGGAATCGGTGAAAGGGGGCGTCTACACAAAAAATACTTTATCTGGACACGTTGTTTGTAAAAATCCGTCCATTATTAACGGAGGAGTAGTGTTTCGTAGAAATCGCCTTCACGTATTATATATAAGGATACTTCATATATGTTAAAAAATTACTTTAAACCTAACCTTGTATCAGTGGTGTGGCAACACTGATTGAGGCGTGTCGTGTCAAATTAGTCGGTTGTTTCGTTTGTTTGTAGAATTAACCAACGTAAACAAAAAAACAACTGCAGCTTATTTTCCCCCCATTCGGAATTTATAGTTTTCTAAATTTTCTTATTGGTATCCGTAAAGGTAGTCTACTCTACAAACTTTCTATTCTATTAGGGTGAGTAATCAATTCAGTTAGAGTTTTACTATCAATTTTAAGTCCATTTTAGTGTGGTGTAAGTTTATAAAAACAAAGGCTTGAGGGTGGGCGTGGCTTTGCAAAATCTAAATTTATCATTTAGACTATTTAGCTTAGCCTGTTATCATTTTTTTAAGCGACTGAATTTAGTTCTAATAATGTTTCACTTAATAGGCCTAGCTGTTAGGCTCTTTGAATTTCAGCACCAAAACTAGCTAATTTAGGCTAGTCTAACCACAATTTGGGGCATAGGCCTAGGCCCTAGCCTAGTCTAGAGGAGCAGTTTTAAGTTACCCGTTTCCACATATAAATTGAATACAGATAGGCAAATAAATACTTCCGTAGGCCCTACAACTAACCTTATTTTAATTTGGGTTGTTTTTTGAATGTAGGCTAAAAAAACATTTTCTACTTAATTTGGTTGCATGTAACTTGTTGATTTGTTTATTAATTGTTTATTAATTTCAAGAACTCTTCCAGTCCCGACTACTACGGTATTTCGTGCCATATTTTAAAATCAATTATACATCAAATAATAGATCCACTCACAGAACTGATAAACCTATGCTTGGTCAAGGGGGTCTTCCCTGAGTGTCTGAAGATTGCTAGGACAGTCCCAATTCATAAAAAAGGTGATTTTAGTGTAATTTCAAACTACCGGCCTATTTCTATTCTGCCAGTACTCTCCAAGATACTAGAGTCCATCATCAAATCTCAGTTGCTTGATTACTTTGAGGAAAATAACCTCCTTTCTACTTCTCAACATGGATTCCGGAGGGACAGGTCTACAGTCACTGCTCTGATATCCCTCATGGAGCATGCAAACAACACCTTTGAGGAGGGAGGTATTCTTGCCTTAACTATGTGTGACCTCAGTAAGGCATTCGACTGTGTCAACCACAAGATTTTGCTCAGGAAGCTGTCAGCCTATGGAGTTTGTAACGTTGCACTCCACATGCTTACTGACTACTTAGACAACCGTAAGCAGATAGTGTCCTTGGAGGGAGCTGTCTCCGAATGTAGGTCTGTGGAGCATGGTGTCCCGCAGGGAAGTATTCTTGGCCCTCTGCTCTTCATTATACACATAAACGACCTGGACCTGGATGGAAGGACCCTTCTTTTTGCAGATGACTCAACCTTGGTAAACAGAGGATTTAGTGCTGATGACGTTCTGTCAGAGGCCAATGAAACCTTCACCTCTGCAAAAAACTGGTTCCAGAGCAATAAGTTAAAACTTAATGAAGATAAGACTCAAAGAATATTATTGTCTCTAAAAAAAGAAATCCCAGCAGGGAACAATGAACCAGTCAAAATTCTAGGCTTCTGGCTGGATAACAGGCTTGATTGGAACTTTCATGTGGCCAAGGTTTGTTCAAAATTATCAAGAGTAATTTGTCTTCTAAGGAAATTGACAAAGGCGTTAACTGTGGATCACCTTCTAGGAATCTATCATGCCCTGTTCCACAGTCATTTGAACTATGGTCTTCTGTTGTGGGGACACTCGGCGGCCTGCAGTGATGCTCTTGCTCTGCAGAAGAAGGCGTTAAGAGTTATGGCATCAACTCATGACCTTGAACACTGTAAACCTCTTTTTAAAAAATTTAGAATCTTCACAGTATACAACCAGTATATTTTCAACTCTCTAAACTACATCAAGCAGAATATCAATCTTTTTAATGACAGAACAACCATACATCAACATCGAACTCGTAAAGCTCAAAATCTGGAAGTCCAAAGATGCAGGCTGAGCAAAACTCAAAAATCCTTTCCAATTGCAGCCATAAAACTATTCAACAGCCTCCCAGCTGACGTGAAAAGCCTCACAACCTCAAAATTCAAGAACCACATCAAACATGAACTACTAGAATGGCCAGTATACACCCTGAATGATGTAGAAGGAATCCCACTATTCACGGGAAAGAAATAGCCGAAAGGCATATGACGCAGTCAATCCCACAAGCTGGGTCAAAGACGAAGACATCAAGTATCAAGTATCAAGTAAGTATGTTAACCCTCCAGAGGGCGCAAGTTGGTGGAAAAGACTGAAACGTAGGCCTACTATTTCGGTTATTACTGGAAGGGTGAAACGAACCGGGCAGCCCCTCGTAGATAATCCTCAGGGAAGGGTTGAGCTAAGTTTATGATATGGCAGTTGTGATGAGGAGTTAGTTTCAAACTACCCGTCACAGTAACAAAAACAGCACAAAGTCAAGTCATTTCCACTTAATGCCCAAATGTGTGTTTTTGTTTTAAATCGGCTGTTAAGTTAACACTGATGCGCCTAAAACTTTTATACTTAGCCTACCTATTGTATTTTTACATTTTTTGCTAAGTTAATGAAGAAAGGAGAATTCAGGCCTTTAATGTTGGAAGATAGACAATTGAATGTTAACTTAATCTTGATGAAAATTGACGGGCAAGAAGAGTAGGCCTACCTACCGTACTTGAGTAGACTCTCATATCTGACGATGTCAAAAACAACCAATGAATAAAAATATAGATTGATATTTTTTCTCGATTATTTCATTTGATATATAGTTTGGTTAGTTATCTGATGAATCAAATTTATTTAATGTTTAGATCAATATTTTTGCATTCAATTGTTTTTGACAACAGATATGAAAGTCTACCAGAGTACATTTTAAGGACAGTCAAGATGGTGACTTTCTGATATTATGCGAAGAGAATGATGTTACACAAAGTGATCATAATACTGATTAATTAGATACTGTAGGCTAGTAATACAAGGGCTATCCAGAAAGTAGATTACGTTTCTGTCTGTATCCACTAGGGGCGGGGCTAGCGCGACCATCTTTGTGTTAGTTTATTCTTCTGCTCAGTCGGCATCTAGCCGTGCTAGTAAGAGGTTTCTGCAGTACTCCGTTGAGTTACTGTAGCAGTTTAAAATGTCTGTGTTAATTGAAAATGCCGCAAACTGTGAAGTTAAAAGGTTTTTGACTGCAAAAAACTGTAAACAGATAGAAATCTATCGGCAACTTTCTAAAGTTTTTGGGGGAAACATTATTACTGAAGGTGGAGTTCGTCAGTGGGTCATCAAATTTAAAAATGGCCGAACTAACGTTCACAACAAAGGGCGAAGTGGAAGACCCAGCATTGTGACTGTCGAAAAAGTCGATGACGATGTCTGTAAAACTCAAAAGTTCACAATAACAGAGAACTCTCTAAGATGGGTTTTCCACAAATTTCACGAAGTTTGTTGCTCGAGACTTAACCAAAAAGCTTGGTTACCAAACTGTAACCAAAGAGTCCGTTAATTTTTTTTTGCACGCACTTCACAGTTCGCGGCATTTTCAATTAACACAGACATTTTTAACTGTCACAGTAACTCAACAGAGTACAGCAGAAACCTCTTACTAGCACGGCTAGATGCCAACTGAGATGCATAACGAACTAACACCAAGATGGTTGCGCTAGCCCCGCCCCTAGGGGATACAGACAAAAACGTAAACTACTTTCTGGATAGCCCTAATTAATTATATATTTGATAGGTGAGAACTACATATAAAAGAATAACCTTGGTCTTTTTTGCTTGAGGGCTGACATCAGCATCTGACCTCAAATGAACTAAGCAATTGTTTCTGAACGTTCTCTTCGCGTTCGTTATGTTCTTACAATCATACTGTTTTTGAATGTGAAATATTTTTAATATTGAAAATTTTATGGTAGGATTTGTTGAATCATTATTCATGATTTTCAAAAATTCACTGTCCAATAGAAAATTTATTCATAGGCTAATCCATGCCTTTTTTCATGGTCAGAAGAATTCAAGCTTTTCAAGATTTTCATGGCTGGTGGCAACCCTGAAAAATAGTAAAATATACGTAGGCCTACTTAACAAAAATATTTGTCAGTAAACTGATGCTCAAGTTCAAGCCTATAGCAATTTTCATGTCGCTTTGTGTCTGTTTGGGCCAATTCAAATGTATCGCTTTACAGTAAAGTTGTATTAATTCTGAAAATTACTGTAGTGTTTGTGAAAGATTATGAAAGAAGTATGTGAGTACCAGTATCTCGATTCCGACCCCAGCTTAGTCTAAAAGTTCAAGCACAAAGTCAGAAAATCAAGCCAAGCTTTTATCCTCGTAACATTTTTGTAATCACAGAAAGTGTATACCTACTGAAAATTGTGCACTTAAAAAGTCATGAATTCCTGCAATCACTGTCAATGTTTGTGATTTGGTAACAATGATAATGTCTCTATAAACTCGGAAAATATTCATGATGATTTTATTCACTAGCCTATACTACTACAGTAGAACCTCTTTAATCCGAACTAATTGGGACCGGGGGTAGTTCGGACTATTGAATAGTTCGGATTACAGAACATATTGTTGTCTTTACATAACAATAGCTAAAACAAGGCTAAAATGGATCATAATTGTTACGGATAGTTAAAAAATGCTTTATAAAGTAAAATACAGTGTTTATTTAATGTAGTAGTAAACAAAGTGAATAAACAGTACTGTACATTAAATACAGTATGCAATATAGAACTACTGTACTGTATATAAAGTACAGCAATGAGGTGTTCGGATTAGTGGACGTTCGGATTACAGGGGTTCGGATTAAAGAGGTTCTACTGTAGTTGTAGGCTTGCGGTAGCCTAGTATAAATCTGATACTCAGACTGGGTATAAGGGCAAGATGAGTGCTTAATGAATGCTACAGCCTTGTTACTAACTTAGATAAGATAATTTAATCTTACACATTATTTAGTAATAGCCTAATGATCAAAAACAGCTGGCTTAATTTTCATTCTATCAACAAAATTCTGATGTTTGCTTTGGATCGAACTAGTAAACTATGTTTAATATCTTCAAACTTTGCAGGTATGCTGAAGGATGTCTGGTATCTTGGACGATCCTGAAGAGTACAAGAAGAATCCTCTTTTTGAACCACACATTTACAGTGACTACTCATACTTTTACTTCACAGCATCAGTCTGCACCATATTTCTGATAGTTTTGTGTGCCATCAACGTCTTCTTTTGCTGGTGTTCCTCTGAAAGGCACTACTGGAAGGATAGCAATACAGGTTAGTGTACATTAGGCTACCCCAACTATTTATTGAAATCATCTTTAGTAGGCCTACTTCACTTTAATTACTGTTCAACCATTTCAACACTATTTTGGGTCATCTTTAGGATTAGGCTAATACTAAACTTCTTTTAACCAGAGTGAAAAGTGGCTTTCAATATTAACTCAGGGCTATACCTCAAAGTTCTATAAAGCTTAACAATTGTTTAAATTTAATAATCTAATATCAAATATCTATAGACTACCAAACAGAGATCTTGTGACATCTATTTGTAAGACATTTGGTTTAGGTACCTTAAAACTGTCGAATCTATTTGGTCTACGACGGTTATATGTATAATAATAGTTTCCCTGCATATCTGGGAAAAAGCAAACTTGAAATGCAAAAAAACTTGTTCTGGCTGAAAATTTCCTACAAGATCCCGTCCATAGAAAATGCACACTTTCTTCATAGGCCCTACTAGAAAAAATATTACTGCCTGTCTCTAGAATTTAGTCATTTTGAACTGACTTTACACCTATGTTTCCTCAAGAAATTGTCATCAATAATTTCTCAATTAAAAATGGAAAAAAGAAAATATCTAGGAGTAGCCTATTCTCTTTTTTATCAACAGAAGACATTTTTCATCCAATAGCTTCCTTAAAAACCTTTTTAAATTTTTATGTTTTTGAATTTGCAATAAAATCTTCCTAAACATAGGTAGCCTATTATGTAATATGACCAGGAAGATTTAGATTTAATACTTCCCAGTTTCCTTGGTTTTAGGTAAACATGTAAGTTAGCCTATTTATCAACTAGGTGTACAATAATGCAGTTGTCTGCTTGTAATATTGAGCAGAGCTAGCTTATTAATCCAATACTTTCCCAAAGTCAATGCTACATCTGGTTAACGTAAATGGGATGTCTCCTTACAGTATCCAAACTCAATGGATCATCCAGTTCTCATAAATTAAATGTCTACTTGAAGTATCCAATGTCAACGGTATATTTGGTTCACATGAGATGACTATTTGCAGTATCCAAAGTCAAACTCCAATTAACATGGGTTACAGCCCACAGTTCTTAGACTGAAGTGAAAATTATAGAATGTCACACATCTTCACAATCAGTTAAAAAGAAGAACGTTGGGTAGTGCTTGAGTAACATAATTAATTTGATTGAAATTACAATACTGTATGTTACTAGGCCTACATTGTAGCGTGTGTTTCTTGCATCCAAATGATTCTAACTTTATAATTAATTAAATTAATAAAACTAAATAACTTTCTAAAATCTGTAGCTTAAAGGCCAGGAAATCTTATTAACACCATCGTTTCTTTAAAAAAAGTCTCGATTTTTAAAGTATCATTTGAATCCATGTGAAGTAAATACATCGTATAAATAAATACTGTAGTACTGTAAATTTTGTAGGTAACCGGTGGATTCTACCAATCTGGGTAAAGTTACCCAGCAAACAGCCGCCGCTGGACCTGGCAGAGTTGGAGGCAGATTACGCCGGACCTCGTCCCGTCTACGACACCGAAGTTCCCGAGGAGTTTGTTGAGCTGCAGAAACGAGAGAGCGACTTGTAAACATGTTTCACTTCTACTGGCCGCCACTCATGTTCCTAGCCATGTTTGTGCTAGGCGTGATCATGGCGTTGCTGCGCTACGGACCTCGCTTCCTCAAGATGCGACACACGGCACGGCCGGACGAAGCTGACTGGCAGGACAAGACTTACGAGCAAAGAGTCTCTTATGCTTGAATGCCAAGTTTGTATTATATTTAGAAGTAAGCAGGTTTCTGGATATTTAGATTAAGTTTGACTGAGGTTTTATAGATCTGTTGTTTACCATGACTAAAGAATTGCATAATTCATATAACGACATTTTAATAATTTGAAGCAAAATTTACTGGATTGTTTTTATTTATAGTACCAGTAAGCCAACATCACACAAAAATATGTGTAAATGTTCAATTGTTATAGATTGTAGTGCAATATTCTCAGGTTTAAAAGTATTTGCGAGTTGTGTGATAAAAGAACTGGTTGCACTGTTTAGTGCCTTAGCAATCCGTCCAATACGTCTTTGAACAAAAATATCTTGACACTTAAAAGAGTGTTTTGAATAGAATGATCAATTTTGTACTTATGTTCTCTCCACCCCACCCGCCTTTAACTGTGTAAGAATTCTCAAAAGTAATGAACTAAGTTGAGAAAAAGTTTTCTTAAGATATTTATTTCACATACACCTTTTATTACTTTTTAGGGAAGACATTCCAATATTATTAGGTTTATTGTATTTTTTATTCCATTTTACAATTGATATGTCTTGTATTTTTACACCTCTCTGATTAATTTGAATTCTCAATCATGTATTTTGTACTCCGTCCATTGTTTTTATAGTATTCTACCTTATAATTGTTGTTAATAAATAATATGCAAAGTGTATGTCAATTTATAAGTGTTATTATATTTTATATTTTTATGAAACTATATCGCCTTAACATATTTACACATTAGAAATTATGTTGTGATATTAATGCAGAATATTCTATTGCCAGCAAATGTATTTACTGATCATAATTTTTATAAAATAGGTAGACAAAAATTTTGTATTTTTATAATTTTTTTAGCTTAAAAATTATGGAACATAGTATATGTGTAGTTTAAAAAACTCATTGAGTGGGTTTAATAAGGCTTGCTACTTCACATAAACGCACATGCGTAACAATTTCATGTATTCAACTAACACGAACAAATAAATATTTTTAACTCCTGATAAAACAGTGTTTTATATCTAACTCTCTTCCTCAGAAACTATAAGATTGGTTTCACTTTTTGGTCTACAAGATTGGTCTACCCTCTGAACAGAGAAAAAATTGCTTTCAAATATATATTTCAAGTTTGATGAAGCACATTTCTATTGGCATGCCAGCAGTAAGGCCTTGTGCTAAAGACAGTGGATTAGTTAGCTTTTTTATTTAATTTCTGTGTATAGCTAAACAAGCAGATTGAAATAGACAAAAAGTTAAACATTTTAAAAATAAGGAACTAATCCCTACAAATTTGACTCATACAGAAATGGACTTGAACTTTTGTAAAAGTAAGTTCTTCATGAGGTGTCCAATTTAAGATGAACAGCATAACTTACAAATTTAAACCATAAATCTTCTCATAGCTTAAAAATTTAGCTTCCTCGTCTCTCAACAAAACAATTCCCTTTACAACTTTACAATCACATTGCTCAAGAGAACAAATAGTAATTTGTGTAAATAGTGCGCAAAGAAGCACTTTGCACTCGCGTTACACATTATATTTTTCCTACAGTTAATATAAAGCATATAAATAATTAGTCTTTCAAACACAAAAAACACGTTTTGGGTTAGCTTAAATCCAAGTGTTGAACGAAAATAGAATGTTAACACGAAACAACAGGTTAAGTCGTAGTATCAATACTCAAATGCTGTGAATGGAAGAGTTGCTGGGGACCAAAGGGATGGAGATCTTTAATCCAGACCAGAAAGTTCGACTAGCCAGCTTTGATTTACTTGAAATAACTTCTTAAAAATATCCTTTAAAAAAATAGATAACTGAAAATGGTAAATTGGATGCTAAAATGACTAAGTGAAGGTATATTGCTTATAATTGAATTTACTGAATTGGAAATGTATAATAAAAAAAATGTATAATTTAACTGGAAACTGTGGAAATCATTCTCGAGACAAGGAATATTTCATAGTGGGAACAGTTTGGTGCCAAACCACCGAACCTAATAAATACATCTCAAATGTCGTGGCGACCCTTGTGGGTTCCCCCCTTGGTAGCTACTTAGCCGGACATTATAATAAACCTATTGCTATATAATCTAATCTTCAACATTAAACTTATCCATATTATCGACCAATCGGAGATCCTGATTTCTTGGTGCTTGTGGCTCTATGGTGAGTGAAAAAGGTAGGACGAGTGTTGGAAAGGAAGGTGGGGGGAGATTTTCTTTCATTCGTGGCAGGCGACGAACTTGACATGCACCCCGGCTTCGCGAATTACCGACACTATATAAAAATACCCCCGCCGCAGCAAACCTGCCGACTAAGCGAATTTCCATTTGTCTGAATTGATTTTCAATTAAATATATTTTAATAACATTAGGTTTGACGAGTACCTAGGTTTGCTGCTACAAGAAACCTAATAAAGTGTGTTTTTGAGTAAAATATTGATAGCTTAGTACAAAATAAATAAATTTGCCAAGTTTGATCAAAATATATCCATAAACAAGCAAATTACAACATTTGACAATATTCTCCATAAGAATAACATGGGAATTTTAAATTTACAATTTTTTAAATTTTCTCCGTTACTAATAATCGAACAAAAATACTTTTATATACTAAATTATTTGTTTTTTTAAGGTCTTTAAAAAGGTCTAAAAAGAAATTGGGAAATTTTGTGTTTTGAGGGTCAAAAGTGAGAAAAACCAATTTTTACCCCATAAAACCCCCCCTAAAGCCCCGTTCCCATGGTCCGATCATGCTGGTTCGCGAACTCATTCAAGTTTATCTCGCTTTACACCTTTAAACCAAATTTCATCAAAATCGGACCAAAATTACTCAAGTTATCGCGTTCACGGACGTATATATATATAAATCTATATATATATATATATATATATATATATACATATATAAAAATTTGAACGAATGGTGTTTTTGGCCTCTGGGGACATCAAAATGAAAAAATAAATCGGTCCCAGGTCTAGGTCTTACCGTGCCACCTACGGTAATAGCTACTTCCCTATAGGGAAATTCGCTAATAGCGTGCCGTTATGTGTCACATAGTAGCCTAGTATGTGTTGGCAACTTTTTTCAAGCTTACACATATTATGTGCCTTGTAAAAGCACTCTATTTTGTGTTGTTTGGTTAGAATACTGGAGTACGGCAAAAGTAATGCAGCAATTAGCTACTTACTTTGTGTGCTATAATCAGTGCAAGGAAGCCTGCTGTGTCAGGGTAACTGTAGGAAACATTTATTGTCTGAACCAGGACTTGATTTGTACCTAAAGTATATTGGTGAAAACCCAAAATTGTATTAGTGTAGTACAGTATGAAGAGTTGAAGTTGTATATTAAGTTCCACTACAATAACGATGCACAGGTAAGGTGTGAAAACAATCCACTGTACTATTAATAGTATTAATTCACAGAAAAAAAAAGCGGAATGTAAAATATAGAAATATCCTGTTTATTGCAATTTGCAGTAGAATAGTCTACAGAACACATTCCAGATTTACTGGAATGGATGGTAAAAATTAGTTGCGGTACCATTTATTTTAAGTTTTCATTTAGAGAATTACAGGGTAAATAAATAACTTAATTGTTGATAAAATATTTATTGAGATTTCTTTATACAAATTTACATGATCACTGCAACTTGTTTCTTAAAGGCTGACTTTGAGCTTTACTTGTCAACACAGAGTTAGGACAAATTATAAGCATGTGTGCTGCGGCATTTTAATAGATAAAGCTATGTTATGTACAATACAGTATACTACTACATTTTAAGTATCACGGTTAAAAGAATCCAGTTAAAACAAGATGTATAAATGTTAAAAGATCTGATAAGTAATAACAGTAAAATAAATATAATCATGTATAACGCTAAAATATAAAAGTAAGTACAACAATCTCTGTGTATTGCAATCAAAGCTCAATAATTCATGACTTGCCGATTGTACAAGTTACCCAGGGAATGTAAAACAGAATCATTCATGGAATGATTACCAGATCACAAGCTTATTTGTGCTGCGACCGTACATAGCACGTGTCGCTGCCGAGTATTTGGCTTCTATTGCTGTCGCACAACCTCGCCGATCCTAACATCTTAACCTAGATTTGTTAAACCAAATCAAAAAGTTCAAACGTATTTCTTAAATCGACCGATTCTCCTCAGCGGACACCAATAACGGCGGAATCCATAAAAAATTATCAAAAAATTTTACGGATCCAGGTAAGTAACGTAAATGTAATAAAATCGTAAAGTAAATTCCTGTATTAAAAATACTTTGTCTTTAGAGACTACCCTAAAACAAAATTTTACTATCTTAAAACTTGATTTGAAACGGCTAAATCAAATCTCCGTTTTTAAACACGACAATTTTTATGATTAAAATCAAGCGAATTCTTACGATTCAGTAGATGACATAATACGTTAACATCTATTACACGTAGGTTGACTATTAGTGATGGGTGGATTTGGAGGGGGCCGGGCCTGCTGCGGAGGACAGCTCTTGGAAGGATTGTTCAAGACAATGTCTCAGCTCAGCGTACGTCACTACCAACACACTCTGCTCATCCCTTGACATCAGACAGATCTGTGAATAGAACAGACAGTGTAAAAACAGGTGGGGTAGGCAATGTGCGAGTAGGCTGTTATAAAACTTGGGCTAACGCTAACCTACAAGCAATTGGTAATAAAAAATGCTTTAGTAACTTTTTATTTTGTAGGCCTAACCCATTGTAGCATTTCTGCAACTAAAATAAAAACTGTTTTTAGAATATGGTGGGTTAACAAAAAATCGGCTCCGGGTTATCCGAAACGGCTCTCCCCCCTTTATTTCGGTTAACCAGGGTTCTACTGTAAACAAAGTTTAGGAAACTGCCAAGCATCCAGTTGTGTCACCTGTTTTGGTTTAGATGTTAGTACTCTGTTAATTTCTTATGCTGTATATTTATGGTCATACCATCGCAGGCGAAGCTGAGGGTACAAGCTAGTGTTTTTAGAAGGAGTAGGTTACAACTTACAAGTAAGTAAGGAAATAGCTATAGACACTCTCAAGCATTGCAGAAGAAAACTTACCTTAATATTTGTCTGTAACTCATCCATAAACAGGGATACATTATTTAATTTATTGCAAAACACAGGTTTTCACGGTAATTTTATTCATTAAGCATACATTGTTCAGTTTTGGTAGAAAGTAGTCCTATCTGTTTGAGAAAAAACATGCACAGCCCTACAGACTTTTAAAATCATAAGTCACTCAAAAGCCTTTGCTCATTGTTACCTATCCTCAGATGGAAGAGAACATAATATTTATTTACATTTCAAGCTAACCGATCAGAGCGCAGCTAACGTGGTGTAAACAAGAAATAGGCCCTACTGTCGGGGAAAAAAGTTTAGACACTCGAGTTTGGAGCTCTACAGAAAAGTAACCAACTAACTTAGAAAAACACGTAGTATATATAAATTTTCGTTGTTTTATTCTACATATTCCTGTGAAAACAAACATTTTTTAGCTCTTTTAGGAAATTTTTTAAGTCAGTCGTAAGGTAAAAACTGCCTGTTTTTAGAGTGCCAAAAACCATCTTATGATTTTGAAAATTCGCACAATGTAAACTAAACGGCAGAACTTTATCAAACTTTAATACAATATGGACACATATATAATGAATTAATTTGTGTAGTTTCAGAATTTTTATTCAACCCAAAAAGTTTTTGTTGTAACTTTTGTAAATTAACTTTTTCTCAAAAACGGCAAACGCTAGAAAAAAATTTAAAAGCTTGTTTTGGAGGTGATTGGTTTTGTATTAGAAATATTGATACTGCTCAACCAAATTGTTACGCATATTATTTATATAAGTTAACATTCAATTTGGATAGTGCAGAGGCCGAATACGGCACTTCCAGACCGCCACCGGCTCTGACTGGGCGCATACTCCGTACAGTGTTGCCAAATTGAACACCTGGACACTGAGCAGCGATGGGCTGCGAACTGTTGAGTCAAAACTGAACAGCAGTTATTATTAATTATTAACCATTTCCCATCACCTTTTCTAATGAGGGCTTTGGACCTCCATCGTCACTCCCACACTTCTAAAAAAAAAAAAACATATAGCACTGACAATCATTGCATATTCCGAATCTGACAATTTAGATTTAGCACCTATATTTGGGATGGTAATACTTTCGACCCTTTGGAAGAATGTAAGACATGATATTTCATGTGAGTCAGTCAGTGACACACACTGCGTGAATCACCTTACGCTCGGTCAAGGTCCATCGTGGCAATACTGCTCTGGATTCCTGAGCGGGCGATGGCGTCTGCACCCCTTGCAGGCGCGAGATCATCCAGTTTTTTGTTAATTTATATAAATAACATGCGTCCGCGCCCTTCCTCACCTAACCCAACATAACAATGCTTTTCCCAACCTCATTTACATGAAATTCATTTGCATATGGAGAATTGTAATGGTGGCAGCCCCCTACATGAAAGCAGTGAACAGTGAGCAGCCTATAACCGACCTTCTCTTGAGATCCACTCTCCAGTTTGTTGAGACAATGTACGACATGAGCCATGTCTAGCCAGGGTCTGCCGTCCTCTGTCACCTGATGAAACACGTAGTCCCTGAACAGCTTCAACATGTAGCGATCACCTGTCTCAGCCCAGGTGGGGTCTAGGCTCAGTCTGTAGACAAGATACACATCATATAAACCAATGTTGCAGACTACCATGATCTGATAAGACTCTTTGTACCTTCCCGTTCAAAAAGGGAGACCTGTTAGGCAGTGTTTTGAGAGTGTATTTATTGAGATAAATACATTAGTAGTGGTAACTGCAACAGTACATCCGACCAATTCAGGCAAAACAAACTTAATGTAGTTTTTAAACAGTTAATTTTGCTCCGAGTAAATTAGAGCACAAAAAGTAATTAGTTAGATTAGACACGAGCCAAAGTAAAAAATTGGTTTTAAAGCTTAATAAGGATTTTTTATAAATCGCCAACAATTTGATAATCCAATCTAAAAAAATAACTTTTCTTGTACCCTATACCTCCCCCACATTTAGTATTTAGAGACAACACATCTTTGTTTAATAAATTTTATCAGATACCTGTCATAAAAAAACTGATAAAGGCTTGGAGTAAAGCCCTAGGCTGATAAATCAAATCGGTCCAGGAATATTTTACTTAATGAAGGGCCATTCAGATGGATAGTTTGGCTCGTTACTTACTCAGGTCTCTCGTTGATGGAGGCGAGCTTGACCAGTAGACGACACAGTCGGCCGTTGTCAACCTCCTTGCTGAGGTCATGTTCCAACACGTCGCACTGCAGTTGAGTAGCGTCCAGGTGTGTATAGTAGCGCGCACCAATCATGGGCATCAGGTCCACCACACTGCGACGTGTGGTCGTCGATAGCAGGAAACTGTCAACAACCAACCAGCCCCCCTTACACTATACGAATCTAACAAGAAAATGAACATTTCGTCCCAGAGCAATTTATGCTTACCAAACATTTTGTTTTGGGGAGCTAAACTACGCAAATGATCAACACCAAACTATCTACGGTTTATGACAACTAAATGATGACCAGTTTACCTGATTTGTCTACAGTACACATACATTTACATAATACCAGTGCTCACACACATTGAAGCGAAACTCCTGATGCAACCAACTTCGCCCCTACTAACCTTCTACCTAAACTGTTGCGTTTTTGGCGTTTGTTTTCATAACTGTTGCAGACTAGATAACGGCTGATGAATATCATTCACTAACTAACAATCTCGAATGAATTTGAGTATATTTCCGAAATGTTTATATAAATAGGTTTGGGGTGCTACTATGAACCTATTGATTTTTTTAAGAAATGTTTTAGGCTAGATATAGATTTGTCTATTAAATGAAAGTTTTACTTTTAACTTGCATTGATTGAACCAGGTAAATGGTTCTTTGTAAAGGAATAGTGCTGGATCAAATTAATCACTCTAGCAATAGGTGATAGGTTAACTAGGGATACAAATAAATTTTACACAGTGCAAAGTTTCTTGTGAATACAAACTCCTAGGCTTTGATGTTCAAGTAAATTCTCTTGTAAATTCAAGTAATTCTCTTGCTAAACCTCAACTCTTAAAAATACCTCATTGATAAGCTACAAAAGTAAACACGTGAACCAATTAAAGAAATTTGTTATATTAAATGAGTGTTTAACTTAAGAGAAAGAGCAGCTTTTAGTGAAACTAATCCAGACTCAAGTATAAGTACAACACAGAGTGCCGTTTAACAATCTGTTACTCACGCTCCCGCCAACTTGGAAGTACAGATTAGTAAATTCACAATGGAGACACCCGTACTTGATGTAGAGATGATCATGGCAATGTAAGCGTGCTGCAAGGTTCAGTTTACCTGTATTTAAGTGTTTAATACAAGTCCTCCATACACACTGCCCGTGGGGAACATCAACATCGGCAAACTTCTTTCTCAAACCATCTTCGTTCTAACGGAGCACAACAATGTCAGAACAAACAAATAATTTTACTGTAAATTTATCCACTGTTTATTTACCGTTTGTATGTTAAATAATATTTTTACAAATCTTTAATCTTTTGATTAAATTCTTTTAATTAATAAATTTACTGCGGGTAGGCTTTATGCAGTGATTGCTTAACCAATTTTATTGCAAGTTTGGAACTAATAATGACATTTTTTTATTATTAAACTATAGGTCATCTACACATAATTAAGAAACTTAGTAATCTGTGGTTTACCACTTACAGGTGTAATCAATCAGAAAAATATAACAGATGAAATTAGCTGAGCCATTTCAATAACAACTATTGTATATTGGTAAGCCATAAAACTTTCTTGTATAGACATCCCACTCCGATTGTTAGAAATAATACTTAGACCTACCATAGCTTGATATTGGGTCTAGTACTATTATCACAACATGTAAAATTCAAATAGGTCCATCTATAGTTTTGGTGTACTTCTAAGCCTGTTTCTACAAGATGGCACTCACATAATGAGGTGGCGTAGGTCCGAGGAGTATGTTCGGCCCATCAGTTCCAGTGATGTTGTGATGTTATCTCTCTGTACGGCCAGTAAGGAGCGACAAGCCAGCGCTAGCAGCAACTTGCCAAGAGCAGTCATGTCTTCTTGCTGCAATGTCAATATATTTATTTAATAATTATTTTCACTGTACAGTTTAAACAATAATTTGATTCGGGTTTTACGACAAACCATCAAAACCTTTTTAAAATTACACCCAAACATATAAATAAATGTCCCTTATCACATAATATAGTCATAGTATTTTAAACGTAATTTAGTTGAGAAACCTAATTGTGTCATACATAAAAAGGATTTATATTATATTGATTTAAATTTTAAGTTTCAATCAACCAAGGAACTCTAGGATGTCCCAAATAAGAGTTATTGTTGTGATTTCTTTTTAAATGTCTTTCTTCTGCTGCTTAAGGTGGTTTAGAAGATATCTTGCATCTGATGAAGCCTAGCTTCTCTTCTGTTAATGAAAGATGATGTATCAGTAGTGCAAAGTTGTAAGCATTTCTAGTGGTATACATACGTGTTTTGTTCCTAATCTTGCAGGGATGAATATGGACTTTCCAAAGCAATAAACTTAAAAGTTTGTATAACATCAACACAGTGAGTATCTTCAGTTGAGGAAAATCAAGAACAGCGGTTCTACAGAATTCAAGAGGTTGTAGTCCCGCCAGGACCTGAAGTACTTATTTTTGTGCTACCAGGATATGTTAAATGTGTAAGTGAGAAGAGCCACAATGATCATGTTAGGTCAATAGGCAAACAATGTATTACAGGGGTTAAGGTCACCTGGTGATGTGAGATGACCGCTGCGTTATTGGCTGTGTTGACGTCAAAGGTGAGAACGTCAGCTACAGCACAGAAACTGACACGTAGACGGTTGCGGCCCGTGAGCAACACCTTGCTAGGCCCCAGTGTGCGACAAGCGAGTCCGGCCGCATGTATAGCACGCAACGCTCCTGTCAGCTGGATCACATAACTCCACAGAACATTCTCCGGTAATAGTGACCTGAGAACAGGATTGTCCATGAAACAATTACTCGTTTTATACAATATACTTTCATTATGTTTCTTGACAGAAAATATCTAAACATAACGACAAAGTGTCGCTCTAACTAATCCAGATTAATAATTACAGATTATGTTAGATAATAAATTAGCGATTGGTTCAATAGGCTACTATAAATAAATGCGTTTAGGAGTTACAAAGGAAAACAAAGCTGGGCCTTGAGAGAAATTAAGGTGTATTATTAACTATGGTTGTGCGAAGAGACAATTAGATTAAGTTCAAAAAATATAGTACAGATTAAAAATTTTGATAGAATAAAGGAAAGCTGCTTTTTAGATTGGAAAACCCACCAATCAGCTAGTGATTACTGAATTAATTATTTCTAATTCTGCATTTCAGCGTCATGTTGTACAGCTAACAAATACTTTTTTAACATGAAAATTTCCTCATGATGTTGTCTTAGCTTGAAAATATTCTCATAATGCTAATATGAGAAGCCAGGTATTTTTACAGATATACAAACAAATACCTTGCAGAAAGGATATCTGTACTAACAATCTGAATTATTAGAGTTTTATTTATATATAATACTGAAAATAGGCAACTTGACATCGATTCTTTAAAAAACTTGAAAGATCTACAACCAGTTGATTTCAGGATCACTTTATTAAGTAGATATAACTATCCAACATGTATTTTTTGACCACCCTGTAAAATCTTATCTACTCTACTAAACCAATACTAAACTCTACTATATCCCCTCTACACTTTGAAGCAAGACTGTACCCATGCTGTTGTTGGTGGCGCAAAAGCTGATTCTTGTGATGACTGTAGGGCCGGGGAGCATTGGGGTTGGACGAGAAGTGATCCGTGTAGCCGTTGAGTGGCTCGCCCTGGAAGTGACGAGACAACAGCGTCTCAGAATCCGGGTGATAGTCATACACAAAGACCATGGCTGAAACAACACAGAATAGATTGAAGTTTTAGTTGTAGCTATATGGCTGGATAAGGGGGTTTTGGAACATTTTTGGAGTATTAATCTAGCTTGCCAAAGAAAATAATATGAGCCCAAGGGTATACAGATACAAAAAAAGTAGCATTATTTAACACTGACACTTTGTCTTACCATAGCATTTCTTCACAGGAAGGATATTTTTTTTAATACAGTTTTAATAACTAGTTTGATTGGTTATCTCCTTAAATGAATAATACTTAAACAACCTTTCCATCAAAATTTTTCTTTCGCTTACTAAAGGGATTAATGCTGTGATTAGTTTTTTTTTTTTTTTTTTTTTTTTTTTTTTTTTATTGAAGTAGTAGCATTGAAAGTAAATTAAGTACCTACATAGAATGATATTATCTAATTTAAGTCAGGTTATAAATAGAAGATCAATTATAAAAACCTACACTGATCCCCAAAAGCCTTGGTGGTGAAAACTTCTCTGAGCTGGATGACGTTAGGACTTGAAAGTTTTTTCCACATGTCCACGATCATACTGCACTTTGTATTGTTCAGCCGGTAACCTGTTAAACAAAAAGGATGGGTAAACTACACGTCTTGTTCAATAAAATATATTGTCTTTCTTTAAACTTTGACTCTGTTAATGCAATAAACAACAAAATTACTTTGCTACGTATTTCCAAAGAAATACTGTAGTGCCTGCATCTCACTTTATCGATTTCAAAAAAGTCTTGCGGCGATGCCTTAAGATAAGAATAAGAATAAGAATATATTTATTTCCAAAATTACAAAATTACAATAATTACAATCGTGGCTGTAAAGCAAAGTACAAGGGAAAAAAAATCCCCACAAAGACTGTACATCTGCGTGTGGGGAGAGTCTTCTCCGTCGCTCACCACTTCACAGACAAGATAACAAAATAAACAAATAATTACTTAAATAAAAAGAAGTATTTTTTTTGCCATATTGTTGGCAAAAAAAGACTGAACATGAACAAGATGAGTTGCCGCATGTGTCTCCTGTGATAAAACTGGCCAATTTTCCAGTATTATATTGGTTAATTGTAATTTAGTCAGGTGTTTGTATAAGTGCTTTACTATGATAGCGGATCCAACCAAATCTGATAGATGACTTCACACTTGATGATGGACTCTAGAAGTCCGAAACTATAATAGTGTATGCCTACTACTGCAAAGGATCACTCGACGAAAAAAGGTAACATAAACATTTGGATACAATTTTGTTATACAGAGGCTACTAGCCTACACCATGTGACAAGTAGTTGCTTGAAAATTGGATCTTTTCAGTGAAATCATCAATAACACTTTTTTTTGTCTTCCGTTTATCCACAGCCACCTCTAATACAAGGCCGCGACGTTCGAACTGGCAACGCCGCAATCACACCCCCTCTGCGTCCGTCTTCACACGCGCTAGGCCATGAACATCAATGAGAGTATTGCTGCTCTGTATCAATGAATGAAAGTATTTAAATACGTAATAACATATTTTAGTAGATTTTAAGGTATGGTAAAATAGACAAAATTGTAATATAGGTTGTTTATTTAGTGAAAAATTGCAACATACCGCAATATGTCTAAAACTAAAAATATACAAACATAATGTTTTTGGTTGCATTTACCGTATTGTAAGTAAGATGAATGTGGAAATATAGATGAACTTTAAATATTTCCTTTGTTAATTTGATAATCTACACTATTATATAACAATCTCATGGTGTCTGTATATATGTGTATTATTCAACATAGTAAAAACTAATAGACAGACTGTGCTTAAATTTTACAAAATAAAGCTACTATACCAAGAATGGTTATACAGTAGGACTAACTTATTGCCACTTCAATATTTGTAGAGACTTTGGGATTTGCAGAGACTAACATCTAACAATTCGTTCAAATAAAATTAATTTTAAATTTTTAATAGGAATATTAGTTTTAGTCTACCTGAGGAAACCATACGTTAGCGACAACAAAATTTGAAGATTTCATTTTGAAGGCATACTGACTAAATAATTTATTTTCTTTGAATAATTACTAAGAAAAACGTTTGCCATTTTGTAAACGATTTCAAAAGCTAGGCCTCCATATGGCTTTCCACAATATTAATAGAATTTTTTATCACATCAACATTCAGACTGGATTCGGAGACTATGATGCTTTTATTGTTAGATGGTGCAGTAGGTTACATATTTTTTTACTAGTAGGCCTACTTAACAGAAACACCGGCTTAAATTTCTTTGAAGTGGCATTTATTTAAGTTATTTTAATCACTTAACAACAGCATTTATCAATAAGATAGACAAATAAATAAGGAAAAAGTACGGTATTACTACCTAAAACTTGCTTCTCGTGTCTATATTTACACGAATCATTGTCTTATTCTTACATTTTTTTACAAATTTAATCTAAGCTCATATTCGTGAAAAATGTTTCACACAAAAACGAGAATATTTTTAAGATGTCTAATTTGATCGAAGAATATCAGAAAGCAATTGTTGCTTACGCGGTGGATCAAGTAGAATCTTAGAACACTGTATGTATTATTCATTTTTAATTGAGCTATCGTAATTATTCTTGCATCCAGGCACATCACATCTATCTGGCATGCTGTAGTAAGAAGTTTAACGTCATTACTAATGATTAAAGGTAGTAGAAACGCGATTATGTACGTAGAGTACGCGACTCCTCCATTCACTGTAATGGTAAAACGACCGAACGCCAAGACACTGATGCGACGTTGCCGCTTTTCACTCGCCGCGGCCTTGTATTAGAGGTGGCTGTGGTTTATCCCAATCTATTATTGTTTATTTTGTATTAGCAATATCCCATGGAGAAGGATGACAAAGTGTTACCATGGATTCTGCGCAAGCAGTAGCGGATGCCAGTCTTGACGTGGGTAGCCTTGTAGGTGGATGTCTGGTAGTTGATCATCTGAGGCTTGTGTAGTGTGGAAGGCAGAGCTTCTAGAGGCACCAGCTCGTGGTAGTTGTCCACCTCAGTAGGCAAGTCTAGAAAACAACACTCCCTTAGACAACTGTTTAACCGTGTTCAACAATGTGAATCCAATTATTGTCTTCAATGTTCTCACATGTTTGCAAGCAACCATGCATATAGTTAGTTGCATCTTTAAATATTGAAGAGTACGCTAAACCATTTGAGCTCCAATAGTTAAAATAATGGGCGCAAAGCACTGACAAAACCAAACTCATAATTTTCAATGAGAATGCAAAGTTGCACGACGGAAATTCAAACCTAAGATGAGGCGTAACCTGGGAGTTGAGGTTGGAACTAATACAATTAAGAAGCATGATTGATGGCTGGAAAGTAGTATTGTGCATTCAAATCCAGTCTCAGTCAGGTCTAGTGACTCATGAGGAGTGAGAATCAGATGGAGCTTAATTTTGCTACTTTTACTAAATACTGGTATTTTCAGCAGGCTGAAAATAAACAGACCTGGGAATGCGGCAGGATCGGGCTGAGCGAGTGTGACGGCGTTCTTGTGCAACATCTCCGCACGCAGGTCCTCAGCCATGTAGAACTGCGCCTCCAGCTGTGCCTTGGCAGTGCTGACGTGTGGCGGAGTGCCAGTGTACATGGCCACCCCTGCAGCCACTCCCGTCTCCTCCACACCCCCCACCACCACTCCCTCCTCGCCCTCCGCTGGCGTGGGAGCCTGATAGAAGTACATGGTGCCACCCACAGTCTCCTGGTATGTGGCAGTCTTGTCTAGCAGAGGTGTGGGTGAGCAGTTGAGCATGGGAGCGTGAGGTGCAGGGTGAGGTGTGGCTGGGGGTGAGGAGTGAGGCGTGGAGGGAGACTCTACAAGACTGGTGCGGCTGGAGAACGGCATGTTGGGCGACCCACTGGCATTGCGGGGAATAAACTCGTGCGTCTGCACAACCTGTGAGACAACAGTAAGATTTGTAATTGTGTTGTGGACTCTTTGACAATTTGGAAACAGATACTATCTAATACTGATTAAATATAATTATTGTCATAGTTAAAATTTAAGCCTTGATAGCCTATGTTCTGTATGACAACAGCAAAGACACTTTTTATTTAGAATAATTTGTTGGAAAAAATGGAAGCAAAAAAAATTATGAATAATAAATAATAAAGTGAACAAAAACTGCTAATGAACAAATTAAACTCTAAAATACTCCCGCCGCATCAAATCTGTACACTAAGCAAATTTCAATTTGCCTAAAATTGGATTCATACTCATAGATAGATCATAGATAGATCACATCATTCATTCATAACAATAGATTTATCAAGCACGATATTAGTGCTGCTATGGGGAAGTTAAAAGTGTTTTTTTGATAAAATGTTAATAGTAGGGTGAAATAAATTTGCCAAATTTGATCAGGCATATATCCATTAACAAGGAAAGTACAATAGTTTACTTAATTTACATTTAGAATAACATGGGAATTTTAAATTTAAAATTTTTTGAATTTTCTTCATAGCCAATGACCGTACAAGAACACTTCAATATACTAAATTATTTGTTTTCAAAATAGTTATGAGAGAAGGTGGAATATTTTAAGTTTTAAGGGTCAAAAATGGGGAAAACCCCAATTTTTACCCCCTGAAATCAACTATAAAACCATGTTGCCATGGTCCGATCAAGCTGGTTTGCAAACTCATTAAAGTTCATCCCGCCCTACACCTTTAACCAAAATTTCATGAAAAATCTGACCAAAATTACCCTAGTTTTCACGTTCATGGACACACACATACATATCTCAGATATTTAAAAAATTTGGTTTTCCTTTTCCGAGTTCGTTTGGCTCTTCTACTCGACCGATTTTCATGATTGAGGTCTCAAATTGAAGGTATACACACACAGAGTTCACATCAAGCATCAGCATATATTAATCTACAGTCCCACTTGGCTTACACGTAAAGAAAATTTGCTCCCCATGTATTTCTTATGGGAGTTAAATTTGGCTTTTTTTCTTTTCCGAGTTCGTTTGGCTCTTCTACCCGAAAGATTTTCATGATTGAGGTCTCAAATTGAAGGTATGCACACATAGATTTCACTTCAAGCATCGGCATACATTTATTTACAGTCCCACTTGGCTTATACGTAAACAAAATTTTGATTGATAAGACCATAATGCTAGAAGTAAAAGTCATCACATCCCAACATCGGAGGCTAGGATTGATAAAGAAGATCATGGACATGTATCTGTTGTTTTCATTTATGTCTTTGTAAATATTTATGTGTTCAATGTTTGCGCAAATTATACCAAATCGATAATATCTCAAGTAAGAAATGTAAAACTAAAAGATTAGCTAGCCTATGAGACAAAGGACTGACGATAACGTTTCGACGTAGAAACCTAGGTCTCCACTATAAAATAAATTGGATCGTAAGGTAAGCCTTAGATTTAACTATTTTTAATGTGAGCTATTGATTCTTTGAATCATTTAGTTCAAGATTCTGTATTACTCAATCAAAAATCATAAATTTGATTATTTCTCGGATATGACATTTATTTTAAAGCTGTGGAGCAGCATGGGTTCTCTAGTATATATATTATATAATTTGAACAAATACGAATAGTTTTTTACTGTTTTAGCCTCTTGGGACATCAAAATGAAAGAGTAAATCGGTCCCAGGCCTAGTTCTTAAACCATGCCACCTAACAGTAATAGCTACCTACTTCCCTATAGGGAAATTCCCTATTTTCAGATTCAATTTAGTAAAACAGATTAAAAATATCTTACGTCATATTTAGAGCCCTCAAAACTCACCATACTTAAAACAAATTAAAAATAGCTTTATTCACATTGTACATTGATAAATGAATAGTGTAACAATCAAACAATTATAATTTGATATTTTTGTTGCACTAATTAATTAAAAGCTATAGATACAGCTTACACTTCTGCATCACTACAACTGATTGTGTCTGTTTCAACGACCTGCCCTACTTAAGGCAAAAACTTTGTGCTGGTCAGCAGATTGTTTTTACAACTGACGTTTAGTCTACTCAACATTTCTAAACACATTCCCTCTACAGTCTAGTGATAGCCTACATACCACCACACTTTTATGCTATTTATCATTACCATTTGAACGTTACATTTCATTTGTAAGTCAAAATGTCAGTAAACTTTTATGAAAATCCAGGTGTTAAGATGCTCACAAGACAATCACTAAAATGTCTTGATAGAAAAAAGTCTGTAAAAATAAGGGATGTATTGTAAAATTCTTTGGTTATCAACATTTCCTAACAACAAACAAACTTGTCACTTCCCACTCCTATTTTAAATAGTATAAGTCACAATAGTAAACTAGCAGTTTGAACTTCACTAATGATTATATTTTAGACATAACAATATTAAGAGTAAAATAATAGTAGGAATGTAATAAAAAAATGTATGTGCTCTAATTTAAAAAATAAATAAAAAATACCTTAGCAAACCTGTAGAGTAAGCAAATTTCTTTCCCTAAAACATGACAGATTTATTCCCTATTTAAATAACATTATGTTTAACAAGGAATGTTAGTGTTTATGGCAAAATACTAATAGCTTAGTGTGAAATAACTAAATTTACCAAATTTGACCAAAATATACCGGTATCAATAAACCCTGGGTCCCAGTCTTACCATGAGATCTAAGGTAATAGTGTATTCCCTATATGGGAAATCCACTATAAAAACAACATTTACATAGCTAGTTTACTAGTGTAACTTACTGTATTATTTAAAATATATAAAATCTATGAATGAATAAAATGTCCCATTATACATCTAAGGTGATTCGAAATAAGCAAATAAACTTTTTCTATAATAGTTATCAATAAATTTATGAAAAAAGACAATTGACATAGCATAATATTTAGAACTAACCATCTCTACCATACCTTAAGCCTAACATACCTTTTTAAGAGACAGCGGGTCAATAGAAAGACTTGAAATATTTTTTGTCAGGTTCTGAGCAATAACAGCCACTGGAGGCCCTTCACTTTGTCTTTTCTGAAATTAACAAAATATGTCACATTGAGAGAAAATGAAGTTTTACCAGTAGCGTTATATCACAAATTAAACATTCAAAAATGCAATTATTAAAACTGAAAGGCCTACTTTCAAACAGCTTATTATAAGTAGACCAATGCAAATTGTATTCTTCACAAAGTTACACTTAAGCAATTTAAAAGACGTGAAGATTTTACAAAGCACCGTTGAAGATCTGCTACAACAAAGCATTGGGGGAATACTGTACTCCTCAACTCTCTCCGTCTCTAACAAAAAACGTGAATATACAATGGCTTAGAAACACAAATAAAATTAAAAATGTGCTTCCCAATGGAGGGGGTAGGGCCAACGTAAAAGACAATAATGCTGTTCTTTAGATCTGCTGTATTAAATTATCACACAGCTATTAATTAGGCATACTTTAGAAGGAAAACATTTAATTAAATCACAAAGTGCAGTAACATTCTTTTCGTTAAGTTCAGATAAGTAGTTGAAATTATCCAGGCAGCCAAGCACAATTTACATAGAGGTGCGATGTGTTTATAAATACTTTTAACTCTACGATTTAATTCAGATAAAACTTACAGCCAGCCTATTTAAAAGTAGAAACCAAATTACTTTCAACCCCCTACTTTTATTTTTTGAATTCAATCGATCCACAAGAATCCAACAAAATAGTGTAGTTTAGCAATAAAATCAATTGATAATGTTGGTAGGTATGCCTACATAAAATACCGTAGTTATTTTACCCTATTTTTTAAATTTTAGTCAAGTCTTTTTAACTGATCAGATTTAGCCCATTATATGAATCACAAAAAAAAAAAAAAAAAAAAAAAAAACGATGAGCAAAACTCTACAAAACTTACTACCTTTCTTTAACAAAAAAAAACCCCTCTTACAAAATAACTCACACATTTCCACAGTTTAAATAAAGAACCATCAAAACCCCCTTTGAAGTGGGCTTAATAAACAAACTGCTATAATTGCATGGATCAGCTATTGTTAATTTAATTAATTAAATAACTTTGAAAGCATACAAGGTGTAGTAGCCCTTATCTGTTGCCTTTAAAGAATTTGTTCATACCATATGCCTATATTTTTGATTTGGTTAATAGACTTAAACGATGACCACAAATTTGATTGAATCACTTTAATAATATACGTGTTTGACACAGATAAATTACAATTTAGGCGAAGTTAAACTTTGTTTTGGTAGAATGAGAAAATAATTTTAGTTTACATAATTCTGTCACTTTAACAAATTACCAACCTACATTAGGTTAGTTACCAAATACTGTTAACCAAAATTGTGGTTTCTTCTTACCATATATGTAGCAAGTTTTGACTCCTGAGGGACTCCATTTACTTGAGTGTATGGCAGGAACATTGGATCCATGGTAAATAAAATTATAGTGTATAGCCCTGTAACCAAAAACGCATTCATTATTATTATCACAAGGTTGGCGAGGCATTCAAGGCGCGTAACACAGTTAACCTCACATCGTGCAACCTAAGCAGTGCAGTCAGTTGTGTCCAACCACATCCTACTGGTTAGGAAGTTAAAGAGTAATTGAATACCTTTTCCTTCATTAGGCCTACCTTACCTTTTTCTTCACCAAGACCAGCTTTGCCGGATAGGTCGTGTCTTTAAAAATAAAAACTCACTCATACTATGCTATTTGCGTAGCTTTTGTACGACTCTCCTTTCAACCTCTTCTTATTTCATTCTATTTCTCACTGTGTACAATTCCAGCATTAATTTTACTTTCAACGGATACAATTTTTTTGTCTTCATTCTTAAGTGTTTCACAACAGGGAAAGTGATTTCGTGGCTTGTCGGAGTTTCGTAGTTGCTATAAAGCCTCTAGAGACCAATTTTGTTTTGTCAGTTTGTTGCCAGCCTGGATGTGGCTGTCAACTTCATTTTGGCTGTCCGACGTCACGTCGTCTGTCAAATCACGTCACATCCTGTCCAGCAAAACGATTTACAGAATCTGATGCCTATTCTGAGAAGATTAGTTTTGCCAACTTCAATGCAAATTGGCTGTGTCAGTGAGTTTGAGGTCTTAGTTAGTAGTTTTTAGCGGTACTGTAAATTTACTATGAGCCAGTGATGTTGAGGTCCTAGTTGGTAGAGTCTTTTTCAGTAAATTAAACATTTTAATCAACATTTTCTGTAGCCTATGTATATCACAGTCAGACAATGACTTGTTCACCTCTGTTCGATCCTGAGAAGTCAATAGCTTTTTGTTGAAACTGGACCCAGCTGTTCCTGATCATTGGGCTTTAAATAAATGATCCTGGATAATGAAACCGCTTATCTTGGTCAAATAACCAAGCTACACAGATTATCTCACACCATTCTACACTCATCCTTCACTCATATTTGGATTAAAATACGCACAAGTTGGCATCTCCATCTCAATTAGGTAATTGATGATTGATCACAGAACCACATCACCATCTCTTCAATTGTCTTTATTGTATTGTGTATCACACTGTCTACGTTGACCCATCGACCATGAAAAGGGCTAAATAACATTATTGTTTACTGCTTTATTGCACTGCCTGCACTGTACTTACTTTAGAACAACTGAATCTTTAGGCAGCAGGTGGTCTTTATTGAGGGGGCAAAACCCTTATAGCTTAGGAGTCTAGTAACGGCCTGTCATTCAGTATCAAACTTAGGTTAGAAGTTATTTGTTGGAATGATATTCGGTCTCATATCAGACTCTAAAATCACAAAAAGGCTGGTGTTGACATTTTGACGTTTGTGTTCCAAGAAACCAACTAGCAAGGAATCAAAGAAACACACTACGACCCAACCAAGGCAGCCGTCAAATGGCAAATGACTGCTGAGAGCACTGCTGGAAGGAGGGTAGCGTCAGTGAAGGGCGTGGGAAGTGGGAAGCTAAAAATAACTCGCCCTCCGGCAAATTTACGTGCGATAAGTTACCCATCTTAATTCTATTAATTGTAAACAGGTTAATTATATTACCGGTTGTTCATTGTAAATTTCTGTTTTGCTCTCACCAGGCCTGCCTATTTTAATCAGGCTAAGTTAATTTGGAAGAATAAGTCAATACAAAAATATATAGCATAACAAAGAAAAGTCCTTGTAAAAATTTGCATTAAATGCCGTATTAAATAAAACTGGTTTTTGTGGTTAATATGCATTTTAAGGGTCTGCAACCAATTTCTTATTTTTTTATTCCAGGCCTACTCAAAATGCAATGTTGATTCTAAGTTTTGTTATAAATTGTAATGTTCTGGTAACATTAAGTTATTTGAATGATCAAAGTCGAAAGACATCTTGTTTACAATATTATTAGGCCTACGTTCCAATATTTTTAATGATATCTTAAGTTCTAGTTAGATAAGATTATTATAGGCATAGGCTAGCCTTTTAGGAAAAAAAAAATTGTTTGTCAATAAAACCTCAGTAAAAAGCCATTTTTATGATGACTGTTTTGTAGTTCAACTGAAAAATATCATCAAAACAGTCTGTGACTAACTTAAGCTGCTACCAAATAAGTAAACACATTGACTTCATTGTAGCGCCATCTGTTAGCCAGTTATTGTTGATGTCAGCTTAACTGAAATAGGTAGCGGTTTTTACTCAAGTCTCCAAGCACAAATATAGCCAAGGCGGCTAGAGCGTGTGTCACTTTGCCAGTGGTATTCGTCTACTCGGGTTTGAGTCCCGTCCTATATGGCAAATTTTTAATTGGTGACTCGAGTGTTTGTAGCGATAAGTTTAAATAAGTTACAACCACTGGGGCATAGTGAGGTATTCATAATCCTTGTTTTAGACATACACCTCAAATCATCAGATTGGGTAAGAATCTTTTAAGTTTAGCTAAGTTAGGCCTAAGTGGTTTTTAAGTTAAGTTATAACCCCAATGGCTGTTTTGCTACTTTTTTGTTCGTGTTGGTAGCTCCTTCTCTCTATATCCCTTAGAGATTTAGAATACATCATAGAACATAGGGTTAAAAAATTAGTAAGTTAATTACATGGCTCAAGTCCTGGAACCTGTTGTAACTTAACAGAGTGTAAGTGCCTAACTTAAATCTACCTAAGTTAGTTTTCACAAAATATGTTAACTTATGTCGAACTGACCAGATGTTTCAACCTGCTTTGGTTAAGTTTTAAGCCCCTGTCACATGGAGCTGGTTCCAGCAGCTAGTTCTCGCTGCGAGAACCGCGCTAGAAGTCCTGTCAGACGAAGCTGGAGAACTAGCGCTACAACTTACAAGTCTGGGGATGTAATTAGATGCAACTACTCCGCAGTTAACAAAAATAATGTTGGTATTAGAAGTGATCAGTCAGTTGATTTTGTCAATGATCAGCCATCATAGAAGTAAAAAGTGCCAGGAAAAAATGAAATAATAATATATTTAGGCACTATTATTTTGTCTACTATGGACATGTAAATTAACTACCGGTAATTAAAATCAAATAAGTTGTGGTAACTTGAACTAGCTTGGATATGGCCTAGTCAGACAGAGCCCGACTGGCGCTAGAGACCACAGCTGGGTGGTCATATGACCTGCTAGTGACTCTTCAAGCGCTTGTAATATTTAACTGTTTCTAAACCCTCCAGCTGCTGGAGATTATCAGCTCATGTGAGTGTTTCTAGCAGCTGGAGAATCGGCTGCACTTTACTTGACGTCCTACACTCATTCGAATGAAAATATCGATCGATATATCGATTAATCGATTGCTTCGTTCGATATATCGTTTGGTTAGTTAGGTAAGGTTAACCTAACCTAACTAACCAAACGATATATCGAATGAAAAGATCGAATGAAAATATCGAATCGAAAAAAACAATCGAATGAGTGTAGGACGTCAAGTAAAGTGCAGCCGGAGAATCAGTCACACGATGCTGGGAGGTTTTATGCTGGTTCTAGCTGCTAGTTACTAGAGGCGAGAAAACCAGCTCCGTGTGACAGGGGCTTTACTGAAGTATTAATTTTATTTGGCTGCACTTTACTTGACGTCCTACACTCATTCGATTGGTTTTTTCGATTCGATATTTTCATTCGATTATTTCATTCGATATATCGTTTGGTTAGTTAGGTTAGGTTAACCTTACCTAACTAACCAAACGATATCGAATGAAGCAATCGATTAATCGATATATCGATCGATATTTTCATTCTAATGAGTGTAGGACGTCAAGTAAAGTGCAGCCTTTTATTTTTACAGGCCTTCCTTAATGTCACAATAGAATTAAATTAGGCCTAATGCCTAATATACATAAAACAAACTAGTGTGAACCAATTTTTCAATCGCCTTAAGTTATAGGCTATTAAGAATTGTTGGATCTTGCAGTAAATAACTTAATTTAAACTTACTTTTTAAATTTACATACTTAGGCCAGAACTTTTAAATCTGCAATAGGTAGGATTAATTTTATCATTAACATGATGTCATCCATCCCAAACAACAAATGAGATATAATATCAAATTCTGTGCCTGTAAGTATTTTATTATTTTAAGTAGGCTAAGTATACCCTCAGGGCTTGTAAATACAGAATCTGGTATTGGTATTGAACTAGAGGGCTAATAACTATTTGTCCCCGTTTTAACAAAGAAAAGTCATCAGGGATACAAAATAAAGATCTCGTGTTAACTTAAACGTAAAATTTAAGTAATTATTGTTTACGTCAAACCATGATTGATTTACCTGATAGCGAATTTCTTGCTCACATATGAATTTTAGTGACAGGAGTGTAGAATTTTCGACTGTCAACCAAACTGAAGCTCATTCTCTCTGCAGGTCCAATTTTTTCCTAGCAAAAATGCGACACAGAAAAGTTAAAAACACTAATTTTAATACACTTATAACGATTTATGGTAAATAGATCCGACTAGCACGACATAAACCCGATTCAAACAAACTATTTACTAGATACCTGCAGTGTTTATTGATAAAAGAATGACAGTTTTTAATTTCACATTATGTAGGAAGAAGTCTGTGTTCTTTGCACAAAGCACAATACACTATTCCCCCAAAATCCCACTTGATTTGATAGCTGCTGTTTGCTAGCCACAGCCTTTTGAATAGCAAGTTTTTGGTCCAATAGTATACTATAAAATAGATATTTGACAAATTATTCAAACTGCATTATAGATTTATAAAAATTGCTTAGATTGTTACAGACAGATGTTGTTTAGTTAATGCCTTTTAGGGTAGTCACCATGGATCTTCAGTGGTGCAAGTGCAACATTGTTCTTTCGTCAATCACGAAACTTTAGTGTGATTGAAACCTTTAAATAATGAGTCCGTTATTGTTACGCAACGACAGTTTCGTGTTTCGTGTTCACTTCAACATTGGTCGTCGATGTCTTGGCGCCTTTCGTTGTCGAAACGAAATAGGCTACTATTTTAAAGTGGGTAAGTAACATCAGCAATACGGCTTCTGCTCGCAAAATAAAGCCAATTGGGAGGCCTCGTGCAGTTAGAACACCGGGAACTATTGAAAATGTTCGCGAAAGTGCAACTGCAGAATCCTAAACGTTCAGCACGTAAACAGACTGTTGCTTTTAGCAACATCTCTTCCACCCCCTACCTATCAAATAACAATAGCACGGAAACTTATAAAAGACGTAGACGTCATGTAAAAGACATAACCTTATGTCGGAGATTATTACAACTTGTCAATGAAGAAAACCTCCCTTTAAGTTTTGATAACGCAATGTCCGATGAATCACACTTTCAACTGTCAAGTGAAGTGAACAAATAAAATTGTAAATTGTCGGTACCGGTACTGGTAACTGATCAGCCGAAAATCCAAAAGAAATTCATGAACCATGACGCGAGGAGAAAGTGACTGTTTGGTGTGGAATGACTGGCAAGGTTGGGGGATCATCGGGCCGTATTTTCTCAGGGAGGGAAGAACTGTCACTTTCAATTTGGCAATGTTAGGAAATTTAAGGTGCCCCAGTTACGCCTTTTAGGAATCGACACAAAAGCTATCTGGTCTGGTTTCAGCAGGATGGGGATGGTGCTACTTGCCATCATGACCCTCAATGGCTGATTTACGTCACCACCATGAATAAAATGGTGTAAAACCATTTAATATATTAGTTGTATCATTTTCAGTTCCGTTTTAATTCTCCCTCCCTTCACGGTATGAATAGAGGACATTGAAAACCAACCGGTCCGGTATTTATTTTACAAACTTTTAACAAACAAAATTATACATCTAAGCTGTATTGCTGTATTTGACCTATAACTTTATTTTTAACCTTTTCTCGTTGCCATTTTTATTAGAATAGCTTGAAAATGTGCGGATTCATCGCCCATCCGATTTAATATGATTGATTTCATTCAGGATAGAAAGTTATAAAACCTACATAAATTATTGTCTTTCTTTTTAATGAATTTCTCTTAGAAGGGGAGGAAGCCATTACCGTCACTGAAATAGGAAAATAGAAATAAATATGGAAAATAAGAGTAATTTTATAACATATTTTAGTGAAATTTTAATCAGACAAATGGAAATTCGCTTAGTCTATAGATTTGCTGCGGCGGGGGTTAACTGTTTACACACAAAAAAAATAAAAAAACCTCATAAAACTCACGATAAGAGCCTAGGTTGATACGGCAATGATTATAGAATCTTAATTATTCCCTATATCCTTGAACGATTTTTTTTAAAACTAATTATTTCCTGTAAAATATTATTACAGCATTTCACAAATATTAGAACAGACTCAGTATAATAGATCATAAACAAAACAAATGAAGTAACTGAAAGAATCATATACTAATGAAATTCAAATTACATTAACATACAGCGGTTTGACAGCTCCATTTAAGTAATGTTAAATAATGTTTACATTCGGGTTAGTGACATTATTATTTTAAATTTATAATCCTTACCCTCTCTGTTCTAATATTCGTGCAGTATTTAATATGTTTGAACCAGCTGTGTGGAATTATGAAATCAAAATTCATTTGACAGTTAGTTCTGCTTGTTTACATTTTTAAACTTTGTAGGTTTGTTCTTTGTTACCATGGATACCATCAATCAATATTTACTTTTAAATCTTTCACCTCAAATATTTGAAAGCCCACGGGGCAGAGCCCTAGGACAATATCGAAGCGGGAATAGTTCTATATGTATCCTCGGAGCTGTAGCTTCATTTGTGTGCATGCAATTTGAGCCCAGTCGGTTCAGTAGTTTTTGAGATTACCTCATACAAACACACACACACACACACACAGACACCACCTCTTCTTTATAATAGTATAGATTACCTAGGTCTCATGGAACGACCTGGATTTGGACCAATTTAATTATTAACTTTTTCGTCATTAGGCAGCCATTTTTTATGAATGCGTTGCGGGTCTAAGTAGCATTTTTACTCTCTACTCGTATATCCAAGTAGCACACATTGTTGGCCCAACGTTGGGAAATGGTCGGCACGGTTGGCGGATCTTTTAACGCTTTGCCAACGTTGGCCCTACAAAGGAAAGAATTGTTGGGCCTTTTTTGTTGGATTTGAGTATAAAACATCCTAAAACTCATTTTAACAAATAGATTTATTTATAAGAACATAAATGCTATGGCAGCAGAATATAACAGGTTTTGGAGAAAATTTTATCTATAATAAATGTAGTCAGAAGTCAGATGATGTAATCACAACTATCACAACGTTGTGATAGCTGTGATACTAGATACAGTGGGAAAAACTTGATTAACATTATAATAATGCAAATATTTAAAAAAATTAATATTCTTTAACTTATTTGAGCAGATTTTTAATATTTGACCAATTTAAGGGGAAATATTAATTGGGTTAATCATAATACAATCAATTATATTAACATTACTAATCTAATAGTTATTAAAACAATTAATCTACTTGATGCCTTAACAGATTAACAGGATCATATTACTACTAAAATATTTTAAGTATTGCGACCATTGCAACTGTCGGCTACTATTTGACCACTTGAAAACTCTCCATGTTAACAATCACAGATAGCTCAGAGGTAAAGTAAGAGACTCTTAAGGCGAAAGCCCAGGTTCGAGACCCAAAATCAGGTCAATAAATTTTATTCTAGTTTTTTTTTCAAAATTTGTTTTATGAACTATTTAACCAATTTATTCAACTTGTAATTTGCTTTTCATACTAAATCTTTATTATTTTACGTTTAGGTCGATGGAATGGTTGGCCCTTCGTTAAAAATTGGTTGGTTGGCCAACCGTAAGACTTAGTGCCAAAACATACCGATGGCCAACCAGATTGACAGAAACGTTGGGCAAACAATTTTTGCTACTTGGGTAGGGAGCAAAAATCGTTTTTAGCCCCTTAGGAGTAAAAATCAGCTGTTGTAAATTTCTAATGTGGCAATCGTATTGATCAAAATTATTTATCGATTGATTTATTAGGAAAGGTTTTGTACTCAATGGTTTTAGCCTTTGTTGTTGTCGATGCCTCGGCATATAGATGGTATAACGTACTGTAACACAATCGTAATAAAAATAGACAATATGATTGAATCACATACTTTACTAAACAGCTTCTATATTTGCATTAGCGGAATTGAAAACAAAAGCTGGAAGTTGTTTTGAAAAGTTTTCTTTACATAAAAATTTATTTTATTTTCTAGCTTGTTGATTAATAATGCAATATGACAAAAATATAGTTCACTACATGGGCAAAAAGTTTCTTTTTAGTGTTCTAAATATCAAGTGTTCATGAACCCTTTACCGACAATTATGATACATTCCTAGACTATGACAAATAAAATATTACATTTAAAATTTCATAAGCTCACAAGCTATCCGTTTAAGTCTGAAATTGGTCAATAGTCACCATTTTGAAAATAATTCTTAAATTTTACTTATGTTATCTTATTAATTTAACTTTATGTTACTTTGTACTTTAAATCTATGTAAAACTTTGAATTCACCAGAATAAGCCGTTAACAATTAACAAATAAATGGTTTTCACGTCCATCAGTTTGACTATGCCACACTCATCTTGCGAGGCTAGCTTTTTTGTGCTAACCAGCAAGGTAAGGTGAAGGGCAAATTCATAAAACTAAATGGCGGCTATAAAATACATTTTTTTGTAAAATGACAGATTTTTGAGTTATTTAAGAAACAAAATTGTAAATGGCCGCCATTTTGTTTTATGAATTCAGAAAATTGTCATAATTTTGTTGTAGCTTTGTCTAGTTGTCATGAATGTTTCTGCAAAGTTTCAATTTCGTACGTTTAACTATTCTTAAAAAAAAAACAAAAACCAAAAAAATGGCTGCTGTGTGTGTAACCAAAGATTACATTATTATGCTAACGCAAAATAGATATTGCAGCCAAGCCATTTTTGTGATATCAATTTCCATGCGAAGCCTAGCGAATGTCTTCACAACCTAAAACTTCACTGCCGACATGACCAGCTGTCATGTACGTATTTTTTGTTATTGTTTATTGTTATGGTTAACCTTAATTTGTGGTTGTTTGCTTACTTATGTAAGTAACAGGAGGTTTATTAGAAGATGGATTAGAAAGAGTGAAGAAGTGTTAGTATTATGTGTGGTGAATAACTATTGTATTATGATGTGGATATTTTCATGAACAATACCAGGTATTAAGACGAGTGTAGGCTATGTGATAAATGGCAAACACGGCAATAAAAAAAAAAACGGAAATGCCTTCCCGGCACTGCTTTACATTCACGTTTAGTGTGTGAACTGCCTTTTGAACCTAACTGCTTTATAAATAATCTGAGAAGTAAAAAGGAAGCTGTACGAACATGACTAGTTATATACTTTTAACAAACTACGGATGTATACAGTACCAGTTGTCACTCAGCAGTCTGCACTCATTATTACTGCCCCTACAGACGATCACCATCACCGTCTCGCGGCAGCCCCTTCATCACATAGCGATACATTCACTAGTATTTCTACTGTCAATGTCTCATTATCTTAAGAGTCTGCCTAAAAACAGTTATGATGGAGTTCCGAAATATATTATTAACTACCTTCATCATACTATTATGCAATAATTGGTAATTTATTGTCAATTGAAAATAGACGTACGTTGAACGTTGTGGTTTATCAACGAAGACCACTAAGAGGGAAATAAAGTATCCTAGGCTATGTATTTATGGGGTTCAATTTTGGAGAGGGGTGGTTTGCCAATTTCTGCTCCAGGGCACTCCAATCCAAACCAGGCTACGCCAATACAATGTCTTAAAATGTTGATTCAGGAACTTACCATGAATAGCTATACTGGGAAGGCGAACGAAATGCCTGTTGTAAAAAATGTAGTTACAGGCTTCCGGTACAAAGTATTCGACCTATTGTTTAATACAGGGTGTTTTTAAAAGAATGCCGGGATTTTAAATGGTAATTGCTTGGATACTATTCAAGGTAACTAAACGTTGTATACGTCAAATTGAAGCTAAAATAACTAAGTTTTGTTTCCCGTGCAGCAAGGGAGGAAACTTTGACCTTGGTACGCGTATAACAGTTTCGGCGTGATAGGCCGCTATTGTGACTCATATGCCTGACGCCAGTCGCCAGTACGACGTTTGCGGCGCAACAGAAGGCACAGATTGTAATCTGTCGTTCGCAGAGGTTATATCCATTGCAAAATTAAATAAATTTAAATATACTTGATGATAAAGACACTTTTGAAGCTGGTTTAATGAGTTTTGTGGCACCGAAGTGTTTTGAAAAGACATTCACCCGGCCGGCTAAAAACAAACGACATAGTCGAAGAAATCCGACATTTCTGCATCATAAGCCCGAACAATCGATTGCCCGACGAAGTCTTCAGTTTAAAAAACCTAATTTGGTCACTTTATGTTGTTATCTATAAAAGATAGAGTCTTTGTATCGAAAAAAAAACAGTTAAGACATCAGATAAACATGCCGATCGCCCTAAGCGTACAGACTTTGCCAGTTTTACGCTCATTTAAGATTTGATGAAATCTGATTGTTATTATATCATTCCGAATTGTATGAAAGAATGAGAAAAAAACTGTATTCTTTTCCATTCAATTTGACGTTTAAATTGTTTAATTATCTTGAATAGTCCCTGAGCAATGGCCGTTTGAAATCCCGGCATTCTTTTAAAAACACCCTGTATAATGTTTAAAACAGGCCATACCAGTAAATTGGGATGTCGGGTCACTCGGGTTAGTTCACTTTCGTGTGATTGCGAGTGTGTGACTGACCTCCAATTTCCAACCTAAATATCGTTTTTACGTGGTAGATAACCTCTTTAATTTATGTACACTAAAGGTTCCACTGTTCTTAAATTTATTTTATATAGTCGTCAGTTGAAACATTTGTTATATAAAACAATCCAAATCTATATTTTATATCTTATGATCTACATTTTCTTCAAAGCTCAGTTGCAAACGGCACTTACAAAACACCAATAATGTGACGAGATAATACGTAGTTTGAAAACAAATGTAGATCTGTGTAGATAAATGTTCTTCCTACAAACTATGTCTATATTGCTATGTTTAAAAAGGTCAAGTAGCCAGTGAATGGCTATGTAGTAGTTGACTAATCATACATTCCTCATCGTGAGTTATAGTAGCAAGATATTGTGTGTGAGTCTAGAAATCCGGAAGCAAACTTTGTGGTTAAAAATTCCGAAAACAGAGAAGTCGACGAACTCACAAATAGTCACGAATTATTAAAACTTGTAAGATTTATAAATTTTTAAATTGTTAAGGGTTCTCTAAATGTAAAAAAGGTTCTCTATGTTAAAATTCAATGCAGACAAACTAGTATAACATTGTAAGCTTATTATATCACTGTGACTGCAATTTATGAAGATTTTTATTAATTCGTGTTTATATCAGTAAACCTTTAGTATCCTTTAGCTCTTTGTTACGTGGACATTTTAATTTTAAATTAAATAACTGCCATTTTTGTAAAGAGATAATGTTATGGTATATTAATGACAGCTGTGCGCTTTCAAACTAGAGATACGATGACGACGGGTCGGCGAGCGCTTTGCGTACAGGCAAATTAATCCCGAGCACACGAACATTACCAAACCCACCCGAACTTGAATGGTAATGCAGATCGAGACTTGACACAGCGCCTCTGTTGAGGGACCACCCAACTACGTGAAGGTGGCCCCATCCAAAAACGACTTGGCACAAAATTGCCGTAAGGTGCAATATCTATTTTGCGTTAGCATATGTAATCTTTGGTGTAACTAAGGACAATTTAAATATGATATATAGATTTGTTTCATACCCAAGAAAAATGACCTAAAATATTGGTAGTGAGTTCCAGGACACCCTTCAAAAAGATTTGAATTGCATATCAGTATTTGACAGCATTTAGCTATAATGATTGCAGTAGTTCATGTCATCATATAAAAATAAAGCTACAACACACTAGGTGTCCACTGACAACCTTCACATAAAAACTGTACTGCTGTCAAATCACCACCACCATTTCAAACGGATGGAAAGTATTTTCACACAATAGGAAAAGGTACAAAAGCAACTTCAACTTAATAACTTTAATTATTTCCTCCATGATTATGTACATGTATCACTATCACAGAACATCAAATAAGCACAAAACCAAGGTTTGTAGGTTGATTTCTCGAAGAAACCACTCCGTACGGGATTCATAAAAAATATAAATACTTTAAGTTAGCGAGTTTACTTTAATAAACAACAGGTCATGACGGTGACATGTTACTAACTATACATCCTGAGAGTTTACTTCTTCCAGTCGTTCTTCTCGTAGTCCCACTTGGACGCCAGACCTTCAATAGGGTTGACAGCCATGTCAATCATCCTCTGCAACTGAGCTTGCTGTCTCTCCTCAGAGAATGTCTCAGGAAGAGGACCGTACACTGCATACAACAACAGCGAGTCAATAACATGTTTACTATTTATTTACAGAAACCCTTTTGACTAATTTATTACTGTTTCCAGAATATGCTAACTGAACTCTTAATCCTTTTCCTAAAAATCAACACTTGTCAATTGGATTTCCTTTTAAATATGTATACAGTATCATCGAGTTTAATTTTAATTTTGAGGAAAGAAGATAACTTTAGAATTCCCACTAATAAATTTGAACAGGGTTTGACCCCAGTTAGTCAGTAATGAATAGTTTACAAATTATAAATTTTAGACAATTCATATTTTTTTTTCCAGATTTTGACCAATGTCAAAAATTATTTACAAAAAAAAAACAATGTAAAAGTGATTTACCAAACATCTTCATTCCCATGAAGATCCACAGGGCCAGTCCAATAAAGCCGAAAGTGCAGCCTATGATGGACTTCCATTCTCCCGTCGGTGCTTCCATCTCAGCAAATGTCTGGCAGAAACTGGCTCTGTATAGTGCCTTCTTTTCTGCAATTGTCAACTTTTTCCAATCTCCCTTTTCCTTCTCTCTCAAGGCCTAGAAATGAACTTTAGAAATGAGTAAAAGAACAAGAACCTTGAGAATAATATTGAGTTCTTTAAACTACCAGTACCTGAAAAAATAAGCTGCATTGTCAATCAATTTTTTAACAATTGAATACTTTGTGACCCATTATCCAGTACATAGCTAAAGAGTACTTATTAATGATCATAATCTTACATGAGTCCCTTATACTTCCTAGGGATTCAAGGAGGGGTAACTTTAGCCTGAAAATTTGGGAAAGGAGCCAATTTGATTGGATACTGTAAACTATAGATCTACAGTTTACTTAAACAATTCCCTGGTAGTTATGAATCTCTAAACTGCCAGGGAATTTCAAAGCCTAAAACACAACATTTAGAAAGTTAAAATGCCTATTCTACTACTATTGGGTTAGAGTTTCCAATATCTTTTAGTATGAGTTTGTGTCAAATAAATTCCCATGCAGGAGATTTAATCTGAAACTTCAATAAATAGGTCTACGTATGGTAATTTTGTTTCAATGGGATTGACCATTTGAACCGGACTGCCCTATCAACATATTTCTGATTTTGTTTGTAGGTACAACGAATCTGCTGATAAAAAGCTAGACATAATGTAGGCAATATGAACAAATTATTAATTTCAGTATGATATGCCTATGTGGACAAACAAATGCAAAGCTGCCCACCTCTTAAAAAAGTACTGTCTAAAGAGTAAAAAAAAAATAATTAAGGCCCACAATATTCTTGATATTTTAACTGTAGGTGATATACACAATTAATCTAAGCATAGGTCAGTACTTTTTATTTGATAACAGGCTTAGAATTGTAATTTACCAAGTGTTGAAGTTAGATAAAGAGGATACGAGAAAGGTTGACAATAAATTTTCAAATCCCTCAAAGCGTCCTGAAATGATAAAAATACACAAATTTGTAATATTTAAAAATTGGTATTTTATACCTAGAATTAAAAAAAGTTGATGGTTAAAGATTTAACTACCGTTTAGTTATTATGTTGCTGAAGTCAACAAGAATAAAGGAAGCTGTACCTTGCTTTAACACACAATGGCAATCCACTGACGTAAATAAAAACAACATTGGAAAAGGGGCAAACAGGCTACAAATCAAGATCTTACATTGTGTGTCTCAATATATGTTTTATCAACCACCAAGCCGCAGTGACGTAAATAACACCCTTACTACTTAGTCTGACTTACTTTGCTCACCGCAGTCACAGAAAAACGTGACCATGGGAGACGTTGATATCTTCATAAGTGAAGGAGATATTCAAGATTTGGCCGCAATTGCGGAAAAAGGTATCGCCGTTTCCGTGACTGCGGGAGACAATGATTAAATCGTCAAGACCGAAGTTTGAAGAGGATATTCACGATGTTGCCACAATTGTCATTTCAAAGACCGCGGGAGACGACGATGATGTCTACAAGACCGAAGAAGATATTCATGATTTTGCCGCAATTGCATAACAAAGATGACGTCATATCCTTGACCGCGGGAGACGATGATGATGACTACAAGACCGAAGAAGATAATTACATGATTGTGCCACTATCACATAAAAAACATTACGTCGTTTCCGTGATCGCGGGAGATGAACATAATGAGACCACACAAAACAAGACCAAAGAAGATATCCAAGATTTTTGCACTATAGTGGGAAAAGGTGATGTTGTTTCCATGACCATCGGAGACGATGATGATGCCTTCAAGACCGCGGATGATCTACAAGATGTTGCTGTTATCACGGAAAATGATGGCAATGTTTTCATGACAGTGAAAAAATGTCTGCGAGAGTTTTCTGATTTTGGACATCTATTGCCGGTTGTTGGAACTTAGTTGAGCCTAATTTTGTTCTAGAGGATAAGAATAAAACAAAGAGAACCTTTTAGGGACCTAACTAATAGATAAAATTTATAGGTAGGTAGTCTGTATAATAAAACATGTCTCTTAAATCTCTGTCTACCTGGATAGACTAGGAATGGTTTAAGGCCCGAGCAAGTTCCATGTTATCTTATTTATGTTAATTTTCTTAACTGGCTGGGTAGCTACGGTTATAGTGCTCACCTAACAAGCAAAATGTTGCTTATTTGATCATGAGAAAAGCCAGTAGCTTTTTAAAAGTTAAAATTAAAATATTTTTTATTGAGGTGAACATTAGGACCACGTAGTCTTTTCTTACAGTTATCCTCTTTAAAAAGGTGTGCATACGACGGAGCGGTAGCGGTTTACCGTACGTACCACCGCACTGGGCCGAGATGCAGCATGTTCCATTTCACCGCCCACCGGTAAAAGCAAACAATTTCTTCCTCGTCATCTGATGTAAACAATAACAACACGCCACACTTGTTGACTCTTTAAGTTTACACACATAAATGAGGACAAAAAATTAATGTAGACTGCTGTCAGCGCTGAATTGCAGAATCGCTCCTGGTGTAAACGCCCCAGCAATAACGCCGAGGCAGTGATGGTGGATGGGGGAGATGAAAAAACGCTACATAATTTTGAAGTTTTAGATGGATGGCCGAATGTGTCGTACTAATAATCTGTATTCCTCTGACTTCGGACAGTTTTTTTAAAAGAGAAGAATTTAAATAGAATAGACCATCTCGTCAAAGATCATAAAAATATCTAGTACAGTAATTTTGAGCTTGTTTCAAAGAATGTTTGAAACAAGTGAACAAAGAATTATTGACGTGTCTGACTGTCATATGGCAAATATTCTTAAACTCAGACATGAAAGAAAAACAGTAGGTTTCGCACACAGCATATCTGCGGACTTCCATGACCCCCGCCACATGACTGCTGGTGTTGCGGTTATTTTCAAAAAATTGTGTGGTAAACCTACGCCATCTCACTGTGTGACAAGACACTTGGCTATACAAGAAAAGGATAACATGGCCTCAATCTTTAGTTTAATTACAAAACCCACCTATTACAGCAAGCCTAATCCATATGACTACGATGCAGCGTTCCAGGATTTGACAGAGAATTTCAAGAAGCGGGGCCTTAAACATTTGATCTGTTCCCCAATAGGATGTGTCCGGGACAATGTAGATCCATCACATTTCATTAACAATATAATAAAATTTCAAAAATCAACCAATGCAACAGTGACAATAGTTTCATATAATCAAAATTCTCACCGGATCTTGAGAAACGGAATACCACATGACATCTTTAATAAGCAATTAGAACAGCTCGTGGACATAAACTCAAGAACTGGCTGCGGTAGTCCACACTCTACAGGACTGGCAGTAACCATAGTAAATGAGAAGGGAGAGCTGGGGAAGCATCAACAACATCCAACTCCAACCAGCATGGCTGCCTTCCCTCCTCTTACAGCACCAAGATCAAGCCAAGAGCCACAAGATTCATCCCCTGGGAAAGTCTCGGACCCCATAGTGAGCAGCTGCCCCAACTCCCCATCAGGAGAAACTCAGGACCATCCGGTCACTGCTTCACACACTGATGAGAGCTTTTCCTCCGACAGCACCAGCAACTCTGAGAGCAGCCAACTACCTGTGGTGAATTCAGCTGTGTGTGAAGTTGTTGGGGGTGAAACGGTTGAGCTGGGGAATTGTGCAGTGGAATCAAGTGTGTGTATGTCAAACGAGTCTGAGAGTTTTTTAATGTTAAGTCAGTCCATAGTAATTGTAACATAAAAAATTTTAGTTTGAATATTTTTCATCAAAATATTAGGGGATTGATGTCATCTTTGGATTCTTTGGAAATAACTTTATCGGAGCTAGATCCAAGCGTTGTTGTCTTGACAGAGCATAAAATGACTAATGATACAATAGAAAGACTCAATATTAATGGATACAGCCTTAGTGCTAGTTTTGGCCGAAAAAAGTCAAGGGGTGGAGGGGTTGTTATCCTAACTAAGCCATTCCTAAATTGTAAAACTATCATGCCATCTGAAATCCAAAATCTTATCTCAGAACAAATTTTTGAATGTTGTTTAATTGAAATACAAAAGGCTGTATCAAAGGATAAATTACTTTTAATTGGTTGTTACAGAAATCCTATCAAGCAAAACGAATCAGAGTTTATTAGAAGGTTTAACATTTTAATTGAAGTTCTCAACTTAAAGTACAAATACATAGTTTTTATTGGCGATATTAATATTGACATGCTTGACAAAAATTATAGAAATAGGAACAGTTTATTACATATTGTGAGAGCAAATGGATTTTCTTCATTAATTGACTTTCCAACTAGAATCACAGAATCTACTCAATCTACCATAGATAATATTTTTACTAATTTGGAACCTTATAATTACAGAGTAACAGGCATCAACACTCAGTTGTCCGACCATGATGGTCAGATGCTAGAAATTTTAAATACTGTGACTAAACATTCTTCCCAAAAATTTTATTTTGAGTATAAAAGAAAATTCTCTGACTCACAAATTGACCAGTTTAAAAACTTACTTCAATGTGAGTCATGGGCAGATCTTTATGCCTCTCCAGTGGAAAATAAGTATAATATATTTTATGAAACATTTTGTTATTACTTTAACATATGTTTTCCTAAATCTCTGTCAAGGCAGCACACACAGCCTAACTTGATTAGCAATGAGTTAAAAGAAGAAAAACAAAAAATTTTTAATCTTAGCCAAACAGCCCGAGAGTTAAAATGTAAATCTTTATATAAAAAAGTTAGGAAATTAAATAAAACATTCAGGTCAAAATTGAAGTATTTTAAAAAGCAATATTATAAAACAAAAATTAACAAATCAAACAATGTAAATAGAACCTCTTGGTCTATTATAAATTCAGAAGTGGGAATAGGATCTAAGAATGTACAAAACATTAATTTAAAAGTAGGTAATAAGTTGAATTCTGACCCTGTATTTATTTGTAACAGTTTTATTGAATATTTTTCAAATGTAACTAGTATAATGTCTAACTTTGAACCAATGTCTGAGAATCAGGTAGACAATGAAATATTTCAGTTTGGTAAAAGGTTTCGATTCAGCTTTGTTAATGAGAATGAAATAGATATAATTATTAATAGTCTAAAGAACTCTTTTAGTATGGGCTATGATGAGGTTCCTGTGGTTCTTCTGAAAAAAGTCAAGACATTTTTACTAAAACCAATCACCCACCTAGTTAATTCTTCTTTGATATCCGGTATATTTCCTGATAAGCTAAAAATTACAAAATTAAAACCACTTTTTAAAAAGGGGGACAGGCAAATGGTGTCAAATTACCGACCTATAGCTTTGTTACCCTCTATATCTAAGATTTATGAAAAAGTAATTTATAATCAATTGGTAACATTTTTTGAAAATAACAATCTGTTTGACAACTTTCAACACGGGTTTCGCAGAGGTAAATCAGTTATAACTGCTGCCACTGATTTTATAGAATCGGTCATTGATAGTCTGGATGGTAAATTTAAGGTAGCGGGTTTGTTCTTAGACCTGCAAAAAGCATTTGATTCAATATCCCATGATTTATTAATTTCAAGGCTTAGTACCTTGGGTATAGAGGGGACTGCTTTAAATTTGCTTAAATCTTATCTCTCTCACAGAAAACAGTTTGTTGAAATTATCTATCATAACCGTAAAAACTATAAAATTCCATATCAATCTTATACCACTGACTTAAAATATGGGGTTCCACAGGGATCCATTCTGGGGCCTCTTTTATTCATTATTTATTTAAGAGATTTTCCGCAACTTAGCAATTTAAGTAAACTCTGCTTGTATGCTGATGATACCAATTTGAAAATCATAGCCTCAACAAATGAAGAATTAGAAAGCAAGGCAAAATCAGACATATGCGTTTTAAATGACTTTTTTAACTCCCAAAATCTAAATCTCAATGTGGATAAAACAAGTATCATAAATTTTCAAACTCGAACTACCAGAAATCAACGTCGACCGATTATTAAATTTAATAATAAAACCATTGAAGTTAAGGATAGTACTAAATTTTTAGGATTAGTAATAGATAAAAGACTCAATTGGAACTGTCATGTTGAAAAAGTACTTTCAAAAGTTTCTTCTGGATTATATGCCTTAACTAGATTAAAAAACTATTGCGAAATAGAAACTTTGAAGTTGGTTTACTTTTCATACATACATTCAGTGATTTCATTTGGGATTTCCCTTTATGGCTCAACCAATAAGAGAAACTTAAAATCTATATTAAGAATGCAAAAAAAAGCTATAAGAATAATTTACAACCTTCCACCTAGAACTTCTGTTAAGAGAATGTTTAAAACAGAAAATATAATGACAGTTTTCGGTATGTATGTTTTTGAAACAGTGGTATCTGTTAAAAACAGATTTCATGAAATAGAGCTGGTTGGAAGGAAACATGATTATCTTACAAGAAATCGAGGCAAGTTAGCATTAAGTCCTCATAAATTGCGCCTTTTCGAAAAAAAACCCAAATACGCCGGAACAAAATTCTATAATAAACTTCCAAAGGACATACAAGCAGAAGTAAATACAAAAAAATTTAAAAATAAACTTAAGAAATTTCTCATTAGCAGGGCTATTTATTCATTTGATGAACTGTAATTGACTTTTCTTTCCCTACTAATCAAAGTATGTTTTAACTGTTAGTTTTATGTTCTTTTACAATTTTTCCTATTTACTATAAGCATGTATGTTTTATTATAACTTATAAGAAATGTGACACTATTCATGTATATATTTCTAATGTACTTTATGAATAAAGATAATTTGAATTGAATTGAATTGAAACTGGACCCAACAGTTTCTGATTATCGGGCTATAAACAAATGATTCTGGCTAGAGAAACAGCTCATCTTAATCTGTAGAAAATCTACACAGATCATCACACTTCATTTTTCATTAACCTTTACTCATATATGGGTTAACATAATATGCACAAAGTGGTGTCCCCATCTCAATTTGTAATAGCTATAAGTTAGTACTGTAACTTAAAGGTAGACAGAGTATTGGGAGACCAGTTCCATAATACAGACTATAGGCCAAAAATTGACCCAACTTATGATTTAGTACCAAATTAATTACTCCTAACTGAAAAAAATCATGTTGGCCACGACTGGTAGGATAGACCTACCTGTGGAAACTGAATTTGAAACTTTTTTCTCATAGATATTAAGTTACCCTAATCTAAGTTGTGTTTTAGAATAAACAATTGTAAAATTATCCAGCATCAATCAGAAAATAAAGCTTCATAGTAAGTTACCTGAACATCAGGAGTAGGGGCCTTGAATCTGATCGCTGGGCATGGGTAGTCTTGTCTGTCAGCGTAGTTCTCCCCACCGTTGATTCCATAGCCAACGACCTCACGGTTGCCGATTGCTTTCCACTCGTCATGGTGGGCAGGTGCGTGAGAGCCATATGAAGCAGATGGATTCAGTGATGCCACTCGCCTTAGTACTCTTGAAGATCTAAGTAATAAACTCATGGCTAAACTGCAAATGAATGACTGGATGAAATTCTGAATCCAAATAAATTCAATTTATAAAAATATAACACATAACACAAGTTTAACATAATTATTAAAAGACCTTAATTTGATCCCATTAACTTACCTCCACGGTTGTACAATGGACATATACTTACTTACATAGGCTATTTTCTTACCAATATGATAAGTAATATTCGATCAGAAACTAAACTCAAATTTGACACCAAGTAGGCCTAGATAAGTGAATTTTTATCAATTAAAACTTAGAGCAAGTAGACTACAATTAAGTTTACAAGGCTAGTGGAATTTTGTACAGGAAGGTCCACATAGTTATTCAAACGCTTTTTAAGCATGCGATCCAGACCCATAAGTAGGCCTAGTGTGTTGTGTGAATGATCATTGGGAGCAAGATGTTATTAACATTTTAAACTAATTTAACTCTGAATTTTAAGGCTAATTGCAAACATTGTTATGGTGCCAACTAGGGAGGCGGTTGACAGGTGATGGTTTGTCACGGTAGGCCTAGTAAGAGCCAAGGACCACCTTCCTATTTCCCAATGTACCGGTAGCCTAACAATGTTTGTAAAAAGTGTTTGTGTTGATATAAAAATAATTTGGTAATTATTTACTATAGGTGTTTTTGAGAAAACCACTTATAAGTAGGCCTACTATTTCAAAAATGCAAGCATTTCTGAAATAGTACTTTACAATATTTCTCTCAGGTTTTAATTGTACAAAAACAGTCTATAGGTAACTTAACTTAACTCGATTCATTATAACCATAACTTTACCCTCCTCATCTAACCTAACTTCAAAACACTTAAACTTAGTGCAGCCTCACGAATTCGCACAAAGATCGACCGACCACCCTGATATGCCTAAATAAGAACTACCGTACATGTAATAAGTCAGACGTCAGACAGTCTAATTATATCTCTATAATGTGACAAAATCCCCTTTATAGAAAACTTTATTGTCTACAGAATCACTTTAAATATTTCACTAGTCAATGATAATATTTTGTAGCTTAATCAACGATGTTATTTTTATCCCAACATCAACGTTGCTTTCCTCACTTTACCTGAACTTAGCGTAGCAGACAAACTAGCACCACAGTATTGGTTTGGTATTCTACTATACTAGTTCTAGGTTAGTTGTAGTTGTAAAAAAGAGAATTGTCGTGATTTAGAATGCCGATCAGGAGTTAGTTAAGTTAGATCTTCCAGTTGCTTGCCGTATCTGTAAGCCACCCACAGTTCATTCCACTTGTAAATGTCATCCGTCCAACCTTGTTTAATATTTTAATCTTATAACTCATATTTTACGGCAATATCTTGAGTAATATTCATCAGCGGTGAAAAATAATGGATTAAGTTATTGGATTCAGGAGTGTAAAAAAGTAACTTATAAAGTAAGATAACTTATAAAAATTAAAAATTTGTTTAGTGGCACCTATTGCAAATAAATAGGCCTACCAATAAGTTAAAAAGTTGCTCTTGTTGATAAGTTACCACACAATTGGCAAAATATACGTAGCCTATCATGTTTCGTCACATTTCACCAAAGAATCCAAACCAAAAAGTAAACTAGGCCTAGCCTTAACTTTTTACCTAGCCTATTTAACTTCAAGTAAGAATACCTATGCAAAATTTAAAAAATAAAGGTTTAAGTTGTTACCAACATAACTTCTAGGTCTAAAATGAATCTTCCTGAGTAAGGCAGGAAACGGAGCTAAGCTTATTTATGAATAGGAAGGTTGATGTTTAAATCTAAAGCGGCGTTAACTAACGGAGTATAACTTTCCACGTTCCAGTATACCTCATGCGTATCAAAGAGGATTATCTCCGGTTCCGCCTCCTCATGTATGGACACTACAGAAGGCCCACGGATGATGAGTGTCACTTCCGGTGCTGCCCAAGGTTCCATACTCGGCCCAGACCTCTGGAATATCGCGTATGACAGCCTTCTGAGGTCTGAAATGCCTGAGAAAAACGGTTTTGGTTGGGTACGCAGACGATGTTGCAGTTTTAATAGCTGCACGTAGGCGTTGAGCTGGCTCAGCTAAAGCTAAACCGAGTAATGCGTACCATAAACACATGGATGGCAGACCACGGTCTCTCGCTCGCTTTGAGCCAAACTGAGATCGTTATATTAAAAAAAAAAACGGATTGACACCATCAATGTTGAGGGTAGGGGCCGTCGAAGTCCAGACTGTTCGCTCTGCCAAGTATCTTGGGGTTATGGTGGACAGTAAGCTTAGCTGGCAGGATCAGATTTTCCGTACCGCGGACAAGGCCGCTAGGGTGGTTTCATCTCTTAGCCGGTTGATGGCGGTTGGTTGGGCCTTGGTCAAGCCGTAGAAGGTTGTTAATGTCTTCTGTCCAGTCCGTTCTCTTGTACGGTGCGGAGATATGGGCAGACCCTCTCAAAAAGGAGGTATATAGGATGCGGCTCCCCCGAGTGCAGCGTCAGGCAGCTCTAAGAGTTGCATCCGCCTACCGAACAGTGTCCGAACCTGCCGTCCTGGTGGTTGTTGGAGTCATCCCCGTCAAACTTTTGGCGGCGGAGAGGAAGGCAATTTATCAACGGATAAAAGTCAAACCTTTGGTTAAATTTGTACCGTTTTAAGACAAAATAGTAGTAAATAATAATATAAAAAAAATGTCATTCCAATAAATAATGATTTTAAAGTCAAATATTCAGATCAATTTTAAAATGTACTTGAATTCAACAAGAAAATAACCGTTTTCATTTAAATTTCAGTTTGTACAGGATTTGCAAGTATCATGTAGGGTAGGTGTCTTCTGATTGGTCAGAATGTTCTAGAAGATTCAAGTTGTAAGCCAATCAGGAGATACCTACTGACCACCTATTTAAAGGCACTTCTTGCTCAAACCGTCCTTGTTTGCTTCTAACCATAATGCAGTCTAGTAGTTTTGTGAGTTAACAGTGATTTGTCGATTTCAAAGTGAAGTTTTTTTAGTGTTTTTCCCCTTTTAAGGGTAAGTTTTAGAACAGTAATAATTAGATAGATTTTTGCAAATCCTATAACACTAGTATAATTGAAACAGTATTTTTTCTGATTTTATTAAAACTAAAACTTTGAACTTTTTTTGCAGGTTGAACTAAATGATTAATTTTTATAGTTAACTAATGTTTTATTTTTTATTTTAGGGGTTTCACGATTTGGAATTAAAACTTAAATACTACTAAATTTATAATGTACCATAAAATTGAAGAATGAGATGTAACGATGAAGTGATTTTTAATTTTTTAATAAATAGCATGATTTTTAAGGAAGAAGTTTTTTAAGTAACCTGAGTTTACAATAGTAATACAATTAAATAGGCCTATGGTACAAATTAGCGGTGCGGAGAGGTGGACTTTTACCTCACCCGATTTCTGACGGGTCACGGCTTCTTCTGGTCGTACCTGTTCAGGAAGGGCAAAGCTGTGTCACCCAATTGCATATACTGCGCAGGCATTCCGGATGACGTGTACCTTTTTCCACTGCCAGCGTTGGGTCAGGACTGCTGTCGGTGGACACGGTCATACCGATGATGACAGAGGGTGAGGACAATGGGACCCGTGTGTCACATTCGGCTACATCCAGGGTACATTCTCTGTGCCAAGAAGCTCGACCTTGACCGGGATGCGGCGTAGGTCATAAAGTATCTAAATGCCAGAAACGGTGAGAGCCCTGAGGGCTTAGGTCACATGTTGGTCTGACTTGAAGTAATGTGACAAACAATTCCAGGTCTGTGTCCAACAGAGTAGGCTAGAGGGGGTTTTTTAGTGAGTAGGCTGTGATAATTTCAGGAGTCTCACACTACAGGCTGGCTACCTGTGTGCGTAAAAGCATTTTCCCTCCTCTCCCAAAAAAAAAAAAAAAAACCAGTTTGGAAAAAACTTGTTTCTAGTTTGTAGTTTAACAAAATTGTACAAAAGAGTTTGCTTTTCTTTGATTTTGTTCAAAACAATGTAAGTTAGGCTCTAGTTAGGTCAGTTAGGTTCTATTCACAGTGTTTGCATTCCCGAGGACACAAAATCAGTCCTTCTCTAAATGACTACCTACAGAAGGAAAGAGGTTGTTTTACTGGCCGCCGTGGCGTTTGTGATCTTATCAAAACAACAGACCGAGACGGTAACTTAACTTAATGGGCGAGACTGCCATTGCAATCCAGAACAAAATAAACTTAGGTAGCCTAGGCTAGCCTAGTGGCAATGATTGAAATAGGGATGATAATGGCCCTATATCGGGAGAACTGCTGACGGATGGTAGTTTTGAGAATGTCCAGTGTAAACTTTGTCTAGAACTTATTTTAGCCATAGTTGTCTAAGTTAGAAAATTAGCAAAATGGACACCAATTACAGGCAAGCTAGGCCTACTTTATTCCTGTAAGAGAAAATCTTGTAGTATAAGTGTTCATGCCAAAGAATTGTTAAAGGGCGGTTTTTAGAACGTTTTAGGTAAAAAGGGGGTCTGAAACAAATACTTCAGGCTACCTTTTTTGGAGACATAGGCCTAGTGTCAACCACAAACCTAGGCTATTTTCCTCATGTAGGGTAGGCCCTAGTCTAAGTTTGGAGCGATACCTTATTATACACTTTTGTCTGCAAAGCTTTACTGTACAAGAGATTTTAGGCCTCTAGGCTATTTAGACTAGGCCCTAGGCTGTCTAAAATAAAATAATGCAAATGGTACCTACCGGTGTCTTCACATTTAAATTTAGAGGCAGAACTAATTGGTAAATAATCGGGGTTAAAAGTAAGAGACCAAAAATATGTTAGGTCTAGGCCTAGGAGGAAAAAAAATTTCTAACTTAACTTTACAGCCTAAGCTAGGTACAAGTCTTTCTCGTAGGTCTAACTGATACTTAACTTAGTGACAACATTTTACTTCTACTTCCGACAATTGAAAAAAGAGGTAACGGCAAAAGCTTACCTTACAACTGGTTTTATTTATATCTAGAAGATAAAAAGCCGAGAAATTTTTACTTACACTTGGATTATCTAGCAATCCCAGCCCAGGAATGTATGATGGATGGAAAAAGCAGCCGACCCCGAAAATTTCGTTTCTGAAGAGGCGTGCAAAGGGGAACCAAAGTCAAAGTCAAAACAAGCTTTAATTAAGACTGATAATATTTTGTAATGGGTAATCTGGATGTAAATTTAAGTAATTGGATAGAAAGTTTGAAAAATAATTATCTAACCCATATAAATTTCAATTTATGATTTAAGGATTGCTAATGTTTTTAATTTGATCGGTAAATAACACATGGACTATGACTTTGACTTTCGTATTTTCATTTCTTCTTCTACTTTTCTAGTTTGCTTGCAAAGCTGGCTTGGTTTAACTAACCATGTAGCCACACTACTTCATCTGTACAATTTTCCGTTTTTTTTTTTTTAATGTTAATAGGATGTTAGCCTAGTTAGGAAATTTTAATTTGACTGTCTTGTTGAATTTTTAAAGTTCAGGTTTCATTATGTTAAAGTTGGTTTTCTGTTTTTTCTCTTAGGGCCTCTTCACACTGGGCCACCATGGTGGCGACACTGGTGGCCGGTCAAAATGCGCATGGACCACCAGCTCAGCCACCAGTGCAGCTGCAGCCACAAAGCTCACAGTTGGACGTCGAAGAGGCAGGTGCTTAGCGTATATATTTTTTTTGAAATTGTGAAAACATAAGAAAAAAACGTATTTTTTGTTCATTCGTTTTTATGAAATATGATATTTAGAGAGACTTTTTTCATTCACTACCAAGACCTTAGAAATAACCCTGACACGTTTCACAGTTACTACTTACTCAAGAATGAGTGTTTTAAGTTTTGATGAGCTTCTGGGACGTCTGAAAGATAAAATATCTCCAGAAGAGAAACTGCTACTAACGTCGTGGAAAATTAAATAAAAACATAGTTAATATACCATTTATTAATAACACTGTAATATCTTGACTCAATGTATACATTGCAATGACGAAAAGATGTAAATGAAATAGAGTACATATTTTGTGATACAGTATAAATAAAATCGTTTCCCCATATTTATTTACCTTAACAACTTCAAACGATTAGTAAACTAGTATACTGAGTAATGCCCGCTGGTAGTGACTGGTGGCGCTGCCAGTCGCTCCAATGTGAACAGTCCGATAAGAAACCATGGTACGACGTGGTGGCGCCACTAGACTGGTGTCTCTCATGGTGGAAGGAAAAAACATAGGTGTGCTATTCCCACAAATTCTGACGTCACTCGGATTGCAAACAAAAGATCACCTGATTGTAACTGTCAAATTAGTATATGTATTTGTTTTGATTTGGTTGTTATTGTTTCTATTATTATAAAAACAATAACAATCAAATCAAAACAAATGCATACTAATTTGACAGTTACAATCAGGGGCCCATTTCATAATAAACTACAAGTTACAAATTACAACTTGTAACTTGTAATTTCCATTAGATTTGCATTGGGCGATCAGCTGATTTACTAATAATATTAGTTTGTACTTTATTATGAAATGGGCCCCAGGTGATCTTTTGTTTGCAATCCGAGTGACGTCAGAATTTGTGGGAATAGCACACCTATGTTTTTTCCTTCCACCATGGGTGTCTCTGAAAATCGCAACCCCGAGCCACCACATTTCTGGTCGCGCGGCCAGACGCGCCACCAAAGCTCAGGGTGAAGATGTCCCATTTAAATCAATGCTAATGTAACGTAGCCACCATGGTGTCGCCACCGGTGTCACCACCATGGTGGCCCAGTGTGAAGGGGGCCTTTTAAATTTCAGTAATAGTGGCCATAGCTTGTAATTCTTTTCCATTAGGAGCGTTTGGATAGTTATTTTCCATTTTGCTGTATTTAATTTGCATAAAGGCATTGTCTCATCCTATTGTAGGCTGGGCACTCTGTAATAATGTGTTCTATTGTTTCAATTTGTCCTAGTTCACACTTGGGGCAATACGGAGATTCCCTCTTCTTCGTTTGAAATAACCTTGTAGCGTTGTTTCTTTAGTAGGTGAGGAGTGCTATTCCTATTCCTCAACAATGAATACTCCTTTTATTGTTTAGCATTGTTTAAATGAAGAAAAGTGGTCATACATTACGAAAACAACACGTTTCTCTGTTATTATTTATCCAATCTTAACAAAAGGTATCATTGAAAACTATATAAAATTTACAAACTTTTTTATCTCTTGCAATTTTTTGTAAAGTTAACGGTTTTTGTGAAATTTGGCATCAAATATTTTAAATGGCCGCCATTTTGAAACGGTTAATGATTTTTTAGTATAATTTCTAACAATAATAGGTCTTAATAAGATTAACATTTTTGCAAAATATCAAAGCTGTATCTTAAACCGTTTAGGATTTATTTATGTTTATGTAAAAAACACATAAATGCCGACAGTCAGTAAACTAGACACCACAGACCCATGTTCCTATGGTGAAATGTGTTTGTCTTGACCTAAGGAATAACGCTATGTACAAGTGTCCAGAGAGTTACAGGACGCCCTGTATATAGGGAATAAGTAAGAAATAAGGTTTGACAAATTATATAGGGATTTGTAGGCAAAGATCAGGATTTTTGGAATTGGTGGCTAAAAAATGATCACCATGTTCTTCTTATGGGAAAAAACGCCTAAAGTGACTTATAACCCGTATATTGCCACTAATCACTGATTCAAAAAATGATAGTCTTTTTGCATACCGTTTTACCGAAAAGTGGAAAACGGTCTGCCAACTGTTTGTAACGCAGAAAAACGGAAATGCTTTTTTGCCCAAAAGTAATGTCGTGAATACTCAAATTTTGTGAAATTTCATGATGAATTCAAAAATGTATTTTTCATTACAATCAGACAATCATGCTGTGTTCAACCGTATGGTTTTCATTTAAGGACTTTTACTCACCAGTGGCGTAGACATAATAAATCTTCCAGTACAGGAATGCTCACTATGGTCTTTGGAGGAAAATGAATGGCCAATTAATATATTTAAGCTCTGGAAAAAACAGCTAGAGTCCATTCCCACGCTCCTGCCCAACTGCACCACTGTTACTCACCCATGTTATAGCTCTAATAACTTTATTTTGTAGACCGAGTCATGGTCTTGATTTGTCATTATAAAAAAATATGAATCGTGGTAGGTACTGTTATTTAGTAGAACATTTATTGACACTAAATCGAAACAGTTTTTCACACATAGCATTACAGTAAAAGATACAAACTATTAAACACAGTTTAAAACATTTCTTATAATAAGTTAAATCTTCATTGGAACAAAATGATGAAAAAAAACTTAAAAAACAGTACTCGCCCAAAAGTGTTTGAACTTGCTTAGGATACCAACATTATATAGATTTAATCTTATGCTGTAAACATCCTATTCTGCAGTAGATGGTCCTGCCTGGCTTTGTTTTGTGCGTTTCATAGCCCTTATTTGCTGTATTACATCGATTTTGTTGTCTATCAGGTCAATCTTGTAGTTCACATCAGTAATGTTGTCTTCCAAGAGTCTTATGCGTTGCATGAGTTTTTCACCCATCCTGTAATGAGCAATTTTCATTAAAAAGTGGTCATTTTTAGAGTAAAACTAGTGGCTTGTAGGGGCAATAGCCCCTATATATATGTAATATATTCTAATAATTATTTTGTACAAATTATTTGTCTCATGGGTTACCGTACCCTACCTTGAATTATCGTTTAAATTTTTTGTATATTATAATAATGTATAATAGTTTTCACGTACCTGCATAATTCATTTTTATGTCTACTCTGTTTAGGATAAAAATTCGAAAGGACTCTTCATGTGGTGTGTTTATAAAAAAAATTTCTAATCATAATACAACAAAAGAACATTTTCAATAATAATCTTATTGACTATTAATTAAATATATAGGCTATACATAAATGTGTGTTATTACGTTTATCATTGTTTTAGTGTTAAAAATGAAAAGTAGGCCTAGTGATATACCTACGTGGTGCATTATGTACACCAATCACAATTTCTTTGAATATAGACACATTCACTTAGAAAAAACACAACACATAGAGATAATGTCATCTTCCAAATTGTAAAATACTAATTATGTAACAAAATCTCTCTGAAAACAACATTTGTTGTATAATATCTATTTTGGTCCATTCCTTGGTCATTATTTGGTTCTATTACTATTTTAACGTCATCTGGCCGCTTTACCCGGCTAAATGCAACATAAAGTTGACCATGGGTAAACACTGTTTTTTTTTTCTTCAAATAAATGCCAACTTTTGAGAAGGTTTGGCCTTGCGCTTTACTTATAGTAATAGCGAAAGCTAATCGCAATGGGAATTGAATCCTTGTAAATTTAAAGGGCATATTAGGATCTGTAGATATTAGTTTTATTTTTGGCATGAAAAATATGTTCCCTTTGCCTACTCCAGTAATTACTTCTAACTTTACACTTTTTTCAGACATACCTAACACAACCAATCGTACTCCATTAACTAATCCAGACCCTAGGTTCATATTTCTTATGAGCATCACTATTGAACCAACTTTTACAACTAATTTGTGTGGTGGCATTCCAGATGGTAATTGAATTTATAAACTCAATTGGTATGTTCAACCTCTCTGTAGGGTCTTCTGAAACTACTTCATCATTACTGTAGTATTCCTTATAGTCTCCTTAGATTATTTTTAATACTTCTTCATTTAAATAATCACATTGTTCATTTAAAGGACATACAATTATTTGATTGGAGTAGTTTTGAATATTTTCTGGATTTATTGAGTTGCCATAAACATGTTGTACAATTGCACAATCAGAGAGAACAAAGTTATCTGGAATGTCAATTGCCGGTGTTGCCCTATTGCTCTCTAAGGTTCCATTACCTAAGCGTAGAAGCCAATCACAAAATTCTGTTTCATTTTCATTTGCACGCATGTTCACCTTCAAATGTACTATAGTTACATACAGTACCTTTGACTATTAATACAACTTCTGTAGCCAATAGTCAGTGATATTACCATATGCTTTAAATAAAGTTAAACCACATGTTTTAAAGTAAACAAAGCAGACATGACCTAGATTCCCATGCTATTTAAATGTGAATTATTTTATTCTGTAATAACCTTTTGGTGCATAATTAAGAAAAATGAATATTTTTCCCCAAAATTTCATGCCCAGACCTTTAAAATGAGACCTCTCCCAGCTTTCTACGGCCTCCAGTTCGCTCACAATTTCATTGTAAAATTTTGGGCTTACGGAATTAGATATATAGATGCCAATTGTCAAAATGCTTGGTTAAAAACATGTACTGTCAAAGAAAATGTTTATAATTGCAACTGCTATGAATAATCTATGGGTTATAAAAATGTGCATACTGTATACATTAAAGGCATTGTAAAGTAGAGCTTTCTAATTGCCATTGTAGGAAAACAAGTTGAATTTGTATTTAATGCATGTCACTTCTTAGTACGTTGTACTACTTGTTGTCCAACTATTTTGCTCTCCTAGAATAACTTTACAGTTTAGTTGTGTTAGTTTATTAAAGTAAAATACAGGGTGTTCATTTGAAAACTTTCCATATCTGTTGTGTACAAAGGTAAGGCTTTTAACACTTATTCGTTCTCTTTCCCCCGAATTTGGACATGCCGAATCCAATAAAATTATTTTCAATTTTGGGAAATGCCTCAAAAGGACACAATCTGGGGGGTAGGGGTGCTTTTTGAGAAATTTTCAAATGTAAACATGAGTTGTGTGATATATCAATTAATTTAAAGGTCTAATCACCCCCATCATTTTTGTGCAAAAAATTTAATTATCTTTAGCCGAGGTATTTACAGGGTGGGTCAAAGCGTTTTAAAAAAGGGCTTTGAAGTTAAGTACCCTATTACCCTAACTACTGAACGGAATAGCGCCAAATTTTTTTCCAAGCTTATTCTTGAGCTATTCTTTAAGATAATTTGTAGTTAGTGTTATTTTCCAATTTAAAAAAATTCTCAAATTAGAAGAATAAAAGAAAGCTGAAAATTCTTAAATAGCAAGGCATAACAAATTTCATATCATGTGAAAGGTCCATTTTAAACAAACATTTTACGTATTTTAGTTTTCTTTATATCTCTTACCGTTTAAAAATTGCAGAAGAAAAATACAATTTTCTATGGTAAAATTATAACTACTGTAGTTAAAAAAAAAACAAAAAAAAAACAGTGTGTTAATATATAGACAAATAGTGATGATTTTTGTAAATATACAGTCTTATAGTTTTAGTGATTAGAAGATAGGAGGAGAACCCCCTGATGATGCAACACACGCTGGTGAAATGCAAATTGTTAATACAAACTACTGTACTAGTTCAATAACTCTGGCAACAATAAATGGTAAAATGGCAGCTCATTCTTATTTTAATTTCAATGTGAAAATTGATAAAGAAATATAAAACTAATGAGTACTGTTTTAATATGGTAAACATTAAACAAAGCTACACACATTATTGATCATCTACAAACATGAAATAATGGTTAAAACTTACTCGTCTTTTTCTTGATCCACACCCCTCAATCGATCTAGAAAAAATAATTTATTGGAACTATGATAAGTATGTTTCAAATTGTAAACAAAATAAAATGTTCAAATACTAAATTTACAATCCAATAGATCATTTGAATTACTCGCTTTAAATTAGCTAAACCTTCTATATACCATAAACATTTTTTTGCAAAAATTTTTATAAAATAAGAATCTTCTAACAAAAGATTATTCCACATTTAATTTAGAATGTTAGTTGGTAAGAAACTTGTTATCCAGCGTTTTTTCTGAATTTTGCTTCACAAGGTCACTTTTATAAGTATGCAGTAGTCTGTGTCATCTAAACAACTCCTTTTAAATATCTGAGATTAACCTCACCTGCTTCAGACTGCAGGTTAAAGTTCTGAAGTAGTTTGTGTCGCATTTCTTCTTGCGTTACTGCCTTGTCTTTAGGAATGTCAAACTTTGAAAAGAAAAGGTCAATCTCTTTGTCATTAAATCCACACCTGAAAAACACAGCAGTTATGAGATCACAGGATATTGCCCTTTGATAACTTAAATGAAAATGTGCTTTGCCACATAATACTTAAATCTAATATCTAATACTTGAGTATCTTCCGGGTTAAAATCATACACTTTTGTACTACGAATTTTAGTAGGTTTTTTAAAACATCAAGTCAAATAACACAAGACAATTTAACACCTTTATGATACGAAACCATAATATTCAATCCAGTTTTGGTTATTATGTGCATTGAGGTGTATCAATAAATTATTGTCTTTCAATTGTGTTTGGAGGGCTTTATTTGTTTTTTTTTTTTTTCAAATCTGAAGGTTGCTGTTTACTGGTTTATTTGATTCCCCCATCGAGCCCTTCTGAACCCAGATGCTATTATATAATTGGGCTACAAATTACTGATGCTTTTTACAAAAAGAAATCAACACTAAGTAGTAACAAGACTGGGGTTTGGATTGGACCATTCCCTTATAGAAAACATTCCAATGGTGCCAAACACACAAATCGCTAAAAAACTCCAGTCAATGACAATTTTATTTCAAGAGACAAACCACTATGTCATTCAACGGGACCAATAACAAATCTGACCACTTTGATAAACACTCTAGAAATACATGAAAAAAATAGTATAGATTCATTGATTGGATTACCTTCGTAGAAGGTTCTGAATGTCGTGAAAGTGTGAGTCCTCCTCCCCACCAATGGGAAGTGGCTGAGCATGTTTGTCTGCAATCTTCTTCATCCCGCATAACCCAAGTAGACCGCCAAACCAACGAGCAAAAATGTCTCCCATCTGTAACTCCTTCGCCTGGTCCCTGATACTTGAGCGCACTTCGGAGTAAGTGTCAATGATGATGGCCAAGAACATGTTCTAGACAAAATATTAGGGAAATATTTTAATCTGGAATTTTTCACGATGGTAAATGAAAGAAAATATGTTTAAATAAAACAACACTGTAGTGTGGATACTTTTATCCTACAGGCATATTATGGAGATTTTCCTTACTTGCAAGCGTTGGCGGCCTCTTAACGAACCATTACATTTACCCTTGTACTTAAGTCTCAGATGAATGTGGAATATAAACATAAGCACAAGATGAGCTAGTATAAGAATGAAAAGAATTGAACTGATACATTGTATTTAACGGCACTGGGACACAATCCCTAGACATCATTGCTTTGGTTTCACAGTACCTCCACCATAGTTGACAGACTGAGCTACCAAATTGTAAAATCAATTAATCACACAACGCATCATATTTTCTGTGTGCAACTTTATTAATCTCTGCTATGACCAATCAGCTCTTACCACAAGAATGAAGTAAATGAAGAAAATGTAAGCAAAGAAGTACACAGGACCAAGGAAGTGGTTAACATTTTCAATCTTGTGGTAATCAAAGTCCCCAACAGCTGTCCGGAGAAGAGCGAAAACAGAGTGTACAAAAGATCTGAAATCTCTTACCTGAAAACAAAACAGACACGTGACATAGTTTGTCAAATTTAGTGGTCACTTTTTATGAATGTAATTTCAGATTTATTTCTTACTAGCAGTACCCTCCCTTCATACAGGGTTGGTGTATAAGTATGAAATGCTTATTGCAGTTAAACTCGTGCGATGGGGGAGGACACGGTTTGAGAAAATTTGGTTATTTAAATTTATGGTGGATACAGTATAACACATCTACCATAGCCATAATGTTCTACCACTGCACCTAAACAATAGAAAAAATATCATCCAACATTTGCACGTTATCACAAATTATTTATTAAATTAAAAACATAAACATAACTGAAAACAATCCTACTTTGACAGTTCTCCTTGTGTATAGCATATTTTTGTTGCTGCTTAGTTTAAATTAGCTGTTGTCATAAATGTAAAAAAAAATCAATCATGTGTTGCACTCTGTTAGTAAGCCTTGTAAATTTTTAATGCTATTAATATCATATGGTTAATATGGTTAATATCATAGAACCAACTTGTTTAGTTGAAACAGCTGCCAAAATCCTTTAATTCCTTTTCCTTTTTAATCATTATGATTACTCTTTAGAATAACATGGAAACTTAGAATCACCATTCATAGCCTTATGAGATTTTCACAACTTTAATATGCCTACCGTATGTGTTTTTCAAGACTATCAAGTACAGTAGAACCCGGTTAACCGAATTCAGATTAATCGAAACCCGGGTTAACCGAAACGGCTTCCATAAAATAATACAGGGCTAAAATATAAGTAAAACGTAATGTAAAATGCTTTAGTAACTTCAGTTGTTTAGTTTAAAGTATTTTCTAACCCATTTTAACATTCCTGTAACTGAAATAAAATACTGTATTATATAGACATAGTTTTAAATTAATTTTTTCTAGACACTGTGGCAATACATAGGCAATTTTTAGCACATGACGGGTTAACAAAAAAATTTGTTAACCGAAAGGGCTCTCCCCCTTTTATTTCGGTTAACCCTTTTCTACTGTGCCCTGTACCTCTCTGCAAAATGTCAGCTCAATCGGTCCAGTAGTTTACACGTGATGGAACTTCGGAGTTACACACAAACAACCATACTTTCACATTCATAATATTAGTAGGATCATTAAACAACTTTTACAATGATTTAAAGTATGATTATTTCAAGATAAATATCATAAACTATACTTACTTGGCTTCCAAACAACAAATGTCCCAGCTGGGCAAACGTTATGAAGACAATAAAAAATATGATGGAGAAACATGCAATGTCTTTGGTAGCCTGAAACAAAATTTAAACTTAATAATTATTTTTATAAAATACTAAACATTTATAAGACTTCAGTATTTTTTCACATGGTAAACTGGTTAAGAAAATGCCATTCATTTATAAAAAGACAGGTCGCAGATTACTAAAACCATAAAACCTTATTTCCAATATCAAGCAACATTTTTTACAATATTATACACAGTCACGGTCTGGTGTACTTACCCTGATGTGTAAGCCACTTGCTCACTAAAAACTTACCGAGGCACTGGACCTATACACGAGATGGGTTCAAGCATCGGAAGCCCTCTCTGAAAAGCTCTTTGCAATACTGCATTACCGATACCGTACTGCATTATTAATTGAGCAATGCTTCTTTTCTCCTATATAGACAGCTCACAATATGGTTATCTGTGGGTCAACTCTCCTTTAATCCTCTCAAGTTAAACCTGCGGCTTCTGCATTAATCTATATTATTAATACGCTACATGCAACTTATTTGTAAACAATGAAAAATGTTTTTTTTTTGTTTTAAGATTTAACCCCACATATTATATACCAAAACTTTTGTCTAGGTGTGTTAATTTGCAAACTGACCATACATTTTTGAAAAAGTCCCTTGGGCTGTGCCCCAGTCGCTTTTAAATAACCGATGTTATCCTTATGAAGAACATATTTGTTTACATTATGATCAGCTGGATAATTTAATTGCTGTTAATATTTTAGTTGAAATTGAAGGAAACCTATGCTAGAAACATTTACTGACTTGACTACCGTACTGGTTGAAATGAAATATTTACTAATTGAATTTGGATTGGCGTAAATATTACAATGACAAAAAAAGCCTGGACAATTTGATATAGAAAAAGAAAACTGATTTTAACACTGTGCTGCATTTCTTGATCAATCATTGAAAAAACCGATTTGCTAACTATGGAAACATAGGAAAGTCATAGAACACCACCTAGTAGAAGAAATAGATATACTGTATTTTTTTTTATTTATGATCGATATTATGGACAACCTAATACAGCTATGAGTGGAACATTAAGTTTGTAGAAAACACTGAAAAACAAGATCAGCTTTTGAAAAATGATAGATATTTACAAGAAATGTTGATGATATCGAACTGTTATGTACATGGTGAGTATTTCCATAATCTTTGAGCCGACTCTTTTAAAGTCATCAGAAATTATGACTATTTATTGGTTTTAAAATAACGCTTGTAATAATTCGCAATTGCTCGAATTCGAGCAACAGGTAGGTACACTAGTATAGTTTATTAGAGTTTAGACCGATTGTAGTTATTAACCAGTGAACATTTGTATTTGTGTATCTGTAAATGAAATAGTATTTATTCAACAACACACGTTTATGTAAGCAAAAAAATGACGGACTTTCCTCTAAGAGTCACCTTCAAACAAATCACTCAAGTATAATTTGATATCTGTACGTTGTTATTTTAATCTTACTTTAAACTGTCAATAAAAAAATACAACATTCCCTAAGGATGTGGTCTAAAAGTGGTCTGTTATAATGAGAAGGAAATGGTTATACATGTTGATATAGTAGTTTACGCGACGATTGCGTAAAGTTAGTGTTAACGACACGAGTAGAAAATTTAAGCTACGAGCCTTGGCGAGTGCCTTAAAAACTTCTACGAGTGTCGTTAACATTATTTACGCGAGTTGCGTACACTACTTTACCTACGACATTGTTTTAATTACTAAAAATCTCTACTCATAACTTCTAAAAGAGGTTATGTTTTTGTTTATGACCCCTCATTGCCACTGACAGTGATACAACGAAACATTGTATCAAACACTAATTGCACCAATCAATCAACAATTAAATTGGCCTGAACAGCTGATTAGTTGAATTTCAAATCATTACAATTTTACTTCTCCTCTCTCAATCCTTGAACCTCATTGGTCCGTTACCCGTGTTGTTATGAGTAAAACTATGATGTTATGAAAGTAAACAATGCTGTTATGAGATACTTTTCAATTCTAAGAACTGTACTGTAACGGCTACTTTAAAAAACGGTCGTAGGTAAAATATTTTCATAGTTAAATTATGATAACATAACCTCATTATGTTAGTTTAAATCATAAAATTATCTGTTTTAACTGGTTCTACAAACATAATGTATTTTACTATAAAGATATCTTAGATCTTACCCTTGAAAGAGTGTTCTGCATTTGATGCATAGAGTGGTTGAAGTTGATGTACTTCAGGACTTTGATGCCAGCAAAGAAGAATAATATGGACAAAAGTGTTGTATAAGTCTCTTTAGCAGCATTGACTTCATCAAAGCAGGCAAACTCATCAGTTTTAGCCAGTAGAGAATTGAGTTGGGTGTTAATGACCATATATTGGAAAACAAAGAATACAATTGATGTGTATCCAAACTAAAACAACATCAAGATTAAATTAGAAAATATAATATAAACAAGAAACCTAAATACAGAACAGTTTATGAAATTTTTTTATTATTTTTTTGCTACAAAATTGCGATAGATGTGCCTTTTATGTTGAAATAATTTGTTGTTATTATTTATTGAAAGTTATAAAAGAAATATTGCTAAACTACAGAAAATTTTAAATTAAATCAGCACTGATCCAGAACCTGAGAAAACAGTGTATTCATTGACAAATTCATTGGAGCTGACATTCATAAAAAAAAATATAATTTCTAACTATTTGGTAGGATTAACCCAATTTTTTTCCTTGTTAATTTTTAAGTTATTTAAAACATAAAAATATAATTTGCAGTTTGCACTAATTAAGACTTACGTAAATGTTGTATGCTATCATTAATTATTTACCAGCAGGTAACTTTTTCCATCAATTTTGGACTAAATCACTAACTTATTCTGTTAAAATAAAATAAATACATTAAATAAGTACTTACAACAACAATGACCAAATCTAAAATATTCCAAATTGATTCAAAATAGCGCCATTTGAAATAAATGATTTCATAAATTTCTTCCACTGTATACCATAACATAAATATAACGAATATCAAAAATAGAATCATCAAGAGCATGTCTCCTAGATCTCTACTGATGAATTTGTGTGTGTAAATAATGTACGAAGGTAAAACACCCCCAGTGGGTGGTAGTTCCAGTAGCAGTCTGGAAATAAAATCAGATATTAATGCTGACGTGTGATATAAAAACCTACAAAGTATCTATATTGAATAGTTGTATTAAATGTTACTATCTTTTATTTTTTAAATCCCAAGTGATGAAATGCAGGATTATTTTACTAGACCTGATCAGGGCCTCTTTAGTAAATGGAAAAAATACCCCCGCCGCAGCAAACCTGCCGTCTAAGCGAATTTCCATTTGGCCGAATTGATTTTCAATTGATCTATTTAAATAACATTAGGTTTAACGAGTACCTAGGTTTGCTGCTACAAGGAAACTAATAAAGTAGTGTGTTTTTAGTAAAATATTGATAGCTTACTATAAAATAAATAAATTGGCCAAGTTTGATCAAAATATATCCATAAACAAGCAAACTACAACATTTTACAATATTCTCCATAAGAATAACATGGGAATTTTAAATTTACAATTTTTTTAGTTTTCTCCGTAACCAATAACCGTACAAAAACACTTTGATATACTGAATTGTTTGTTTTTTTAAGCTCTTTAAGAAGGTTTAGAGAAAAATTGGGAAATTTTGTGTTTTGAGGGTAAAAAGTGAGAAAAACCAATTTTTACCCAATAAAACCCCCCATAAAACCCTGTTCCCATGGTCCGATCTAGCTGGATCGCGAACTCATTCAAGTTTATCCCGCCTTACACCTTCAAACCAAATTTCATCAAAATCGGATAAAAATTACTCAAGTTATCGTGTTCACGGACACATATATATATAAATCTATATATATATATACCTATATATATATATATATATACATATATAAAAATTTGAACGAATGGTGTTTTTGGCCTCTGGGGACATTAAAATGAAAAAGTAGATCGGTCCCGGGCCTAAGTCTTACCATGAGACCTACGGTAATAGCTACTTCCCTATAGGGAAATTCGCTAAAAGGTTATGATTTGTTGGGGGAGCATGGAAGAGAAAATTATTTTGACTTGGACATTTTTTAAAAATAAAAATTTACAATTCTGAATGGTCAGGATGTCCGTTAGAAAAATGCAGCAAAATTGAGATGCATTGTAGAGAAATAAGGTAGGAGGAAACATTCATTGGCACACTTAAGGGTGGTGTCTAGGGCAAAGTACAGTATTACATCCTTGCCCTCATATATTACAACGCTTGCGGTGGAGGAAGACTCTTTGCCCTGTGCGATAGGAATCTCAGGCCACTCGCACAGTGCTCGCCGCATGGGTTCTTCCTTGCATAGTTCTGGCTTAACATACACTAGAGCTGAAAGCGTAGGCTACAGTCGTTCCATAAGCGATATTGCTCTATACCTTACTTCTCTTTGGTAACAGTGATAAAGGGAAAAAGAGTGAAAATAGGTGTCGTTTGCCACAATCATTAATCAAAAATTCTGTGATCCACGAAACTAGGTCCAGTTTCAAACCATCAAAAGGATTTTGATATTTTCTTTGATGGATTAAATTTAAACATAATAAGTAGTATGCCCTATGAAATAATTTATTCTTAAATAGTTAACCTGTTCTAAAGATTTTTGTAAGCCATGGAACTCACTATATTTATTTCTAAAAATATCAACTGCCCTCCTGTAACCAGAGATGATGACCCAGATAAGTGCCCTTGGAGGAAGTCTCATGGACAAGCCAGTGGTTATAGTGGGCTCGCCAAGTTTTGAACCAGAAATCTTTAGCTCGTCAGCACAAAATGATCGCACTGGAGCTACAGTTTTTAGCAGACGGAGTTAATTTATCTTTTCATCAACACAGTTATAATATAAACATAAACTCTTTTCAACTGTTAAACTAGCATGGAATCAACTAATATTAACATTTTTATTCTTACGTAAGTGTGAAGAACAAATTTATGTTGACGTTGTAAGTAGTGAACTGTAAGATCAGCGCTCGTGAGCCTCTGTCTAACCAGAGGTTGTGGAACAGCTCCATCACAGTTTTATTAGTTTCCTCCACTGTATTTTTAAAGTCAAAGTAATATCCTCCTCCGTAATAAGTAGAGATCTCCCCACTACTTATTTGCAAAGATTTGAGATCACTTGGTTTGTGGTAATGCCACCTGTAAAACATTGAAAATTGATTAATTTTTTATCAATAACCTATCCACTTTTACATTGTTCAAGTGTTATACTTGTATTAACTAACACAACTGGGTCTGATTTATTTGCAAGTCGAATCAAGCTATAGCTTCTTACTCTGATTAAAAAAATTCCTTAAAATGAACTCGTCAACCCGACCGCAATAAACTTGTAAAAACAATATGTCTAAATAATTGTGGATGTATAGACTATAGTTTTAGTGATAGTGTTACAACATAAGAAAGACACCCTGAAGATACCACTCAAGCTGGGGAATTGTGCATAGGAAATATACAAAATATTACTCAAGAACAAATGGCATCCAAAAGGATACCTAATAACTAAGTTAATTTGATCTATTATTCATATTGTGTTCAGTTAACACAAAGTAACAGATTAGTAACATACGCAGTTGAGCTGTTCGAATCTCCTGGTCCGTAATCTGCCGTTTCTTCGGAACTGCTGGAATATTCAGCGTAGCAGTGTGAGAACATAAGTTGAAAATCTGGCGGAACTTCACATGAGTCATTCTTCACTCTCAGCTGTAAAGTAAATTACAAACTTGAAAATTTAAAAATGAAAAGTAAATCATAAGTAAGTAAAGGTGTTTCGTTTCAATAATACCACAACACTATAAAACTTTGCCAGATCTTGTAGAGGTTGACTAGTTTCAATAACAGACATGGTTTTGGCATCATTACATAAAAATAATATTATACCTACATAGGTATCTTACTAGGAAAAAAATAAATTTCTAAAAAAAAACTGGCATTACAGCATGACTTTTAAACTTGTATGAAATACTCAAAGGTGAATGATAATCTTTCAAAGTAAGCGGATCAACTGTGAAAAATTTCAAGATATTATAAATATTTTAACCCTCCAGTACACGCGCGGCAATAGTAACACCAGTCCCCGTCTTACTTCTTACTGGAAACGCTCTTTAAAGTTCATATAGCATCAAACTTTCAAATAATCCAAATATAGGTAAATAGATACAGATAAATTAAAAAATAATTACAAATATTTAAAATAGAAAATGTCCTGTAGAAAACCAATCAGTCAGTCGCTGGCCTGTTCTTCATCCTCTTGATACTTGACACGCCTAACTTTACACCCTCGTAGCTCAGTACCAACTAAGACAGTCAAAACACCACCATTGTCCTTGGAAAGGTAGTGGGGAAGGTAGATCACATGTCATTAGAGGTAGAGTCATGTCATTCGCTCGCGGATTTACTTATCTCGGCGTGCTTTTTCAAATATGCGGACTCCGAGTCAGCGGCTCGTGTACCGGAGGGTTAAAGCTATTTGTTTTTCCTTATTATTAATATTCAACTGAAAACTTGATTTTCTGTGATTATACAAGATTTTATACAACTTTTTAGTCATATAATTAATGAAAAAAATGCATTACCATATTGTTGTTATTATGTATCAAAATCAAAATGCTGAAAATCTTACTTGTCTTATCCTAGGTTTTCCGATCAGTTTATTTTCATAGAGAATCATGTTTCGGTCCTCGTCTCTCATGGTCGTGTTTTCATTTATTAGATTACCATACCAGTACGTCCAAAAGGTTGATTCTTGGTAGAAATGGAAGTACTGAAATGGAAAAGCACATCTTTAACTATACTGCTAATTTTTTAAATATTGCATATTTATAATAACAAAAAAAATATTTCTTTTGACCTTTGCTGCATTTAAAATGTTGCTTTAAAGTGTCGGGAGTTTTAATCTATTACCGGTACAGAGAAACTTCCCATAACAGATCTGTTTCTTTTAAAGATGGAGGTAAACTTGGAAATGTGGGTCCCAAACCACATGGTAAAGGTATTGTTATGTAGCTAATAGCCATTATTGATTGGAGAAATTAGCACCCAGATCTCTAATACCAGAAGACCTCTTACTACTTTAATAGCAGCAGCATATTTGTGTTATATGTTTCTATGACACACATAGAAATGGAAAAGCACCTAGTTAAGAATAATAAGGGGAGAGGTAATGCTTAGTCAGTAGCTCAGTGGACTTCAAACCAAAAGGCAGCGCTGTTGTGGGTAGGTATCCCTCATTCCAGTGCCTCACTCTTGTAAGTAACCCTAAATAAACTAAATAAACCGGCTCCCCCCTTATGTGAATAGGCAAATGCCAAGTTTGAATAGGTCTCCATTCTCTTAAAGAGATATTTAAAGTGAAATAACTAAAATCATAATTCATGCCATAATTTTATATTTTTTATGCATTTTTATGTAAATAAGTAAAATAATAGTTTGTTCGTGTTAGATGAACCATTTCTAAACATAATCACATATAATGAGCTACTCACGTCCCAAACGTTTTCCAAAGTGTTTACGTCCTCATAGTTGATCACTTCGTTTGTCAGATATGTTTTGAACTTGGTTCCCATGAGGAAATTGGTCATAACTCTGGACAAGTAGTACTCATGCTGACTGTGATGACCAGCTGATACTAAACACAGTAAAATACATTAATATTTGCTGGAGGCACTGTATGATTGATAAATTCACATGTATTATACAAACGTAGTAATGTATGAGACAAAGAAACATATTGTAATAATTTATGTTACACATTAATTTCATGATACAAACTGAAATTCAACAATGTTTTAAACCTTTAACAGGTCATTGTTTTGATGTGGTTCATAAAGAGAGTAAATTTCTTTTATCAAATCAGTTTGGGACAGCACAAATTTCAAAGGCTGTTATGTCCTAAAAATCCTTCACAAAATCAATCTACATAGGCCTATTGTAAAGAAAAAAACTCAGACTTTGACTCTCATATATTTAAATATTATATTTAAATATATTTACTCCGTGCAATGCTCTTTAATGAATTCTTTACAAATGTTGGTTGCCCCTAGGTTGGAAGAACTCTAGAAAATAAAAATATCAGACAGAGCTTTTTGGCAGTGGAAGCTTGATGTTATTGAAAAATATGAGTGGACCCTGCAAAATATAAATATTCCCCAAAGGTCCTTAGGGGACGCCCCTGGCACTGTTTGTAGTTCTTCCAATAAAGTAATACCTTTAATGAGATCAATTTACCAGTCTTAATTCTACACTGAATTTACTTGCTCACTACTACACTAGTGACTAGTGTTGCACTTAAAAGGTGAATCTTTTGTAGTGGCTTATGATTTACTGAATTACCTTTTGTTTATCAAATACTATTGCATATGCTAAAATACCAAGGTTATTGAGAACTAGAAGTGAGTAACAATTTGAATTTATTGCACAGAATTTAATAATACACTTATTTCAGATTACAGTCGTTGTTGTGTTCTTTCAAGTAAAAATGACCTAGAGATACACAATCAGTTGGAAATTTATTGAAACTGTTGAATGGATTTATCAAAGGGGAGGTATGGTGCGGTTTCACACCGATCTCGAAAGTATCAATGGAAGAGTGGTATTTAATCTAATGGTTGAGATGACCTGTACCAAGCAAATCCTTTCGTTGGCCAACGATTAAAAACGAAGGTCGTCTCGCAGTCCAACTGATTGAACAATATTGTATTCAATCGTAGTAATGTTTATCAGAATGTTGCTTTATTATTTTATAGCTAATTTGGCACTTTGGTGGTTCATCTATGTTCAAACTGGCACAACTTCCAACAACACTTCCGCATCAATCGAACCAGCTACCTGCTCCCTTCTCTGATAATAATTTGTTTCCCCCAAAAGATACTGACTGTGACACTCTTTAAAAGAATTGTACCATTTGCTCAACAATGAAAATTAACAATGACTCTGTGTAAAATTCCAACACTATAAAAATCTTATTAAATAACTCTGAATTGCCCTATAAAAACATTTTTACCTATTTATTCTTAATACTATAGGGTTGTTACAATCTAATTAATAAAGCGGATTGCTACAATATGAATGGATGTGAAAATCAGTGATTTGAATTTGAACCTGTGAACATGTGCTTACTCTACATGAAATTACAAAACAAGACAGGAAAAATTTACAAAAGTGCGACTCACTGAAATCTTAAATTAACAAATAAATAACACAAATTACTTACAGTTTGGACGTCCACAAATATGACACAAATAAAGGGGAAGGGATTGGGAAATGTAACTAGCCGGTATTCTACAAGACGCGATCAATTGAACTCGTGAAACGAACGTGTAATTTTCAAATGGCGGAACTGCGTTGGCCGGTAACGAACTTTTTCACTTTCTAACAATGACACTGATACTAATTTCCAATCGCGGGGCAATTATATCCCTTGGGGATATAGGCTGTACGATTTTAAGGAAAAATAAGATTGCCCGACCAAACGCCGCGAAATGAATTTAATTTCCACGAACGAAAAACAATTTTACCGAACTAGCTACGATGAGATTTGGATAGGAACTGGCACTGCTGGAAGCAAGTGACCATCCGGCTAGACCTTATTCCCCCTCCTACTTTAGTGCGTGGTGCATTCTGGTCTATACTGATCTATTGTTTAAACCAGCTGACTGTTCTTCGCGTTACCCTGTATTGATTTGTTGCCTTTTTACAACAAAATCGGTACACTATCCAAACTGCAAACAAAACTAACGGATTTTAACAAAAAATGCTTAAATGGCACATATCATATAGTTCTAAACACGATGTTTTTATCACTCAATTAAGTTTAAAGTTATAATTTTTCTTAAAAGATTGATTCAACTTGGAACAATTTAATTGCTGCATTCAAAAATAAATATTAATCTGCTTACCTATATTTTTACTTTTTGTCCTTTGAACATTTTTTTGTTTGCTAACCAAACGATATACGTTAAAAACAAACACATTTAATTGTGGTATTTACATTTGTCAAATAAATGTATTTCCATAATTGACTGTATAAGAATATAAATGATACAGCAACAATATAGTGTTTTGTATAATCAAATCATAGAAAATCTAAAGAAACAGGTAAGCCTATGATTATTTTACTCTATGTGTGTAGTACTGTAATAAACATTCTAAAAACTAAAACTTACAAAATCCTAGAACAATTAAGAAGACCAGGTAAACAAACATTTCTCTGATACAAAGCTTCAGGAATTCCTCCCTCTCCATGTACCTTTTGCCGATTTCTCGAGTGGTAAAAATCACTGTAAATGATATTGTTTCATTAGAATTGACAACTACCTGAACTACCTATTTCTGTAGTTAGTCTTTGAACAAATCTATTGTCATACACATATAGGCTAAGTTATGTGTGCAACAAAACTAACCGGTTTACATTGGTTTAATGTAAGGTTAAATATATTTCTAAGTACAAACCTTGAGCCTTAGTTGCCAACAAATCTTTGGAAAAAATGCAAGCTGGCTATATAAAATGTAACAATGCACAACTTATGCGGTAGACTAGTCACAGGGTGGACCAGGCGTTGTAAGGTGCCATTTTCCATCTGCCTTTTTGAATTCTTTAAAATTTTTTTCTTGACTTTCGGTATCTGTCTTGACTATCAACAACTAGGCTACCAACATTGACACAACACTGCATTCAATGTAGTCTATTAGTGAATAAATATTGATTAATTGGCCGAATGATCTAGAAAGCATTTGTTCCAAAAATTGTATTTTTAATTTAACCATTTTTTTATACTTATAATCTTATTAGCCTACACTTATTTTTTGTTAGGCTAATGTTTAATCTTCTTGAGGGGAAAATTTTGCTAAAGACTTGTTTTTAACTCTTCATGCAACTACGGTACACAGTTAGCCAGTTTTTTATTTATATTTTTAAATACTAAAAATATAAAGAAAAAACCAGCAACTTATCCATGTCAGTATTTAAAACGAGAATCATATTAATTAATCAATAAAATCACTCACTTGGAGCTTCCTTAACAGGTTTGTGCTGCAGATATTCAGAACTTTTCGCAGATGGAGGGACTGAATCATCCTCTTTTTGGTCTTTTTTCTCAATGTTTTTCCTTTTCCTGAGTGTGTCTTTTGATGATATAGATTCTTCATCAAAATCTTTGTTTTTAGTCTTAGCCATTTCTAATGATTAAATATTCCTCTAAAACCATATAGGTACATAAATTAGTATTATGTCAAAGTTGTGTCATGAGGGATTAACATTAACATTGATTAACATTGACTGATGCTGCACTGCATTGCTTATATGTGTTAAATGTGAAGATTATGAAGTCAATAGATACACACATTTAGTGTTTTCAAAATGTCATTAATTCTATTCAGAATGTAGTAGGGAAGCTATATAGATGAACTGCTCAGGTTTAGATCAATATTTCCTATAAAACCTCATCTGAAAACAATATTGAATTTTTAATGATTCCATGGTTATATGATATGGGCATTTGTTACTTGTATAATAGACATTCCACACCAAATTAGGAAATTTTGTTCACAAAGTTTCCAGAATGATATTTTTATAGGCTGTTTACAGGATTAAAAAATATTTGTTGATAATTATTGCTTCAAATAGCCAAAAAAGGTGTTAGAAAGCTGTTATGTGGTGGAGTATGTCAAGCTTGATGTTCATTTTATAAAAATCAAAACATAAAGATCCCTTTTAATAGGTAAGAAGATGTCTGTACTTGAAGATGTTTAAACACAAATATCAACGCAATAAGAAAATTGATTACTTACCCAATAAAAAACAATTAATAAAATACTCTATTAAAACTTGTTATTTATGAACAACCATAACAATATTAGAATTGGGCAGTTTAAAGAAAAACAAATTGCTTGGGAAACCATACAAAATAATAAAGCAGCTGATTCAGTTTAAAAATATTATATTAGAGAAAGAATGCAGGAAACAAAATGTACAAGTATCATTGATTATCGACTAATAAGGCCATTGGAATAATGTGTATTCTTAGGGAGGTTTGTTGTTTACCATAGATAAAACATAGTCCGTTATGCTTATGGAAGAGTACCTAGTTTAGTAGGTTTTAATAAAATGCTAACAAAGACATGATTAATAAAGCAGAATTGAGCCATCTAGGGACCCAATTGATAGATTTTCATCACCGTTTTGTATTTTATCACAGAAATTTTATACGATATTTTGAACCTTTGGCAGGATTTAACAGTGGTTCTGTCAAACAAAATATATAACTTCTAAAGATATTCTAAAAAAATAGATATTTTTCAAAATATAATGAACAAACCAAAGTTTGCTGATCCTGGTTTATAAAAGTTCTTTAGAATGCATGCAAATGCAACTAGTCACTTTTCTGGAAAAGAAAACTGTTAATATTAAAAGAGCCTGTTTTTGCTTGTTGTTTTTTTAGTTTTTTTGTAGAACCAGTGGTGGTTCTAGGCCAATGTCAAGGAGGGGTTCTTCCACCTCCCCCCCCCCTAAGAAAAGTTGGGGGTTCAGAGGTCTTCCTCTGGAAAATTTGAGTATTTAAAAAAAACTGTTTGGTGAATTTCTTAAGACATTTCAACGTCTAGAACCGTATCCAAAAACCTCCGTTTGTTTTCTTAGGATGAAATGTACGTTTAAATATATTTTTTCAGGACCAATTGAAGGGGGGGGGGGTTAGCCCCTGTAGCTCTTGGAACCGCCACTGTGCAGGACACGTTTTTGGTAAATATATAAACTGTCTACTGTAGTCTAGTATGTGTTTTAGAAAGCATCATGCAATTATCCTGTAATAAAAGTAAAAACATCACGGAAAAGTAAACCTTTTTGAATAAACATTACAATGATTTCATGACTCAAATTCGAATGTTACAGACTTTGAGTTCAAATTACTTTACTTATGCGTGTACTAATTGTAAAATCAAAATTAAACAACTTGTTTTAATCTTTGGTTTATCCCAGGTTCAATAACGTGAACTACATTTTGGGTATTACCTTTTTTGTTGTCTGTGTTCTTAAACTAGTAATTTGTACATCAGAAACCAAATTGTTTTAAAATGTTAAATCTTCACTTCTTTCCTTATTCAATATGAATGGAAGAGAATTTCACCAATAAATAATATAGTACAAAACCCTCAGGAAATAAAACTAATTATACATCCAGCAGTCTCAATATTTTTAGGAACTTGTTTCAAATTTGAGTCCACTTCAATTGTTTTATAGTCTATTAACAAAATTTAGGCGGTTTAAGGGGTTTCCAGGGTTCCCCCCACCACTTTTTTTAAGTTTATTCCATATATCGACTATTGTTTATTAGCTGGCTATTGTTTCAAAGTTATAGTGAGGAGGTGGAGGGGATGGGATTGCTTCCCCTCAAATCCCCTAAATTTTGTGAACGGAGTATAGTAATAAGTGAGTAAAGCAATGAGTTAAAGGCACACATTAAGATTATTGAAATATGTTTTTTACATTTTATTAAAACCTTACAAACATCACAAGACTTAAAATGCTATGTACATTTCCTGTTTCCATCAACCACACTGGACATATAATAAATGAAAGAGGAAAAAGGTAGAGAGAGAGGTACAGAAAGACCACTTAATATAGAAGAAAAATAAATTTACACTATAGGTATTTAGTAAATGAGGAAACTTATTTTGCAGATCATGATTAGTGCAGCAAGTTAGTTTTCTTTCAATGTTTTCTTAGCCCTGATTTGCTGTATGGAATCTATTTTGTTATCAATCAAATCAATCTTGTAATTAACATCAGTTATGTTCTCTTCCAGATTTCTTATACGCTGCATGAGCTTTTCTCCAAGCCTGAAACAGTTTTTGATGATTTTAAAACTGTATGAAAAATACTATAACTATGCATTCATCAACATAACAAATAAACCAAATAAATTATTAAATTTACCTTCTGAATTATCTTGACCCCAAACCCAAAAACTAAATTTGACTCTGAACTTAATTGTCATTTTTCAATGGGAGATCAATTAATGATGCCTCAGTACTAGTTTCGGTTGTTGATTGTTTCCTTACAACAAAAAGGTTTAAAAATACATTCCCAGTAACCACTTTCAGTAAAGACAGAGAACAAATATGTGTAAGTATCCCAAAACGGAACTTCATATATTTCCCTTCTTGTATTTAAAAACAAATGAAGGTACAACAAAATACTTACTCATCCTTCTCCTTCTCCACAGCTGAGAGCAGACCTGAAAAACAAAGCGATGATTTGAAATAAACCTACAATTTAGTTATAGGTTTACATTTATTAAACTGAATACCGTATGTAAATAGTAGCACAATAAATACATGATCATAATTTAGAGTAGACCTAATCTAATACAGTCTTACCTCCTGAGTCTGACTGAAGGTTAAAGTTCTGCATTAGTTTCTTCCTCATATCCTCCTGTGATATCGGCTTGTCTCTTGGAATGTCAAATTTTGAGAAGAACAAGTCTATCTCCATGTCATTGAAGCCACATCTGGACAACATGTAAAAATTAAAATAAATAGAACGGTATCGTAACTATAACATACAACATTTTTAATCAAATCAATCGAGCCATTGTTTGGGAAAATCACAATTTTTTTTTTATCACAATTTTATTTACAATCTGTTCATTTTTTGAACATTCAGCAAATACAATAACAATTATTTATAAAACGTTAGTCAGTCTCTGTCCATCGGCAGATCTAACTTAAAAATATTTCAATGAAAAAATAAATAAGTAAATAAACAGGGGAAAATTAAATTGTTCAAACAAAACGTGAGCTTAGGTCCAAGACATTAAAAATCAAAATTTCAAAAAATGAAAAAAAACCCTGGAGATACAATGGATTTGTATCCACATACCAAATTTAATCAAAATCGGACCACAGAGGGGGTGGTCTGTAGCTCTGTACACATACACACACACTAACCTTCTAAGAAGATCATGAATGTCATCGTAAGGGGACTCCTCCCCGGGTAGCTTTGGCGAAGGGGGTTCGTGCTTGTCTGCTATTTTCTTCATTCCACAAATACGCAACATATTGCGGAGGCAATTGCCAAATATGTCCGAAATGTGGAGGTCTTTGCTTTGATCTCTGATGTTTGCACGCACTTCCGAGTATGTGTCGATAATTATAGCCAAAAACATATTCTGAAATATACCGTAATCATTAGCAAAATATTTAAAAACTGAAAAGTTCGTAAAGGTAGTTTAGTTAGAAATAGTTATAAATTTTTACTAGCATTAATAAGCTTTATTTTTTTTTTTTTTTTTTTAACTTGTTGGGTTTGTTTGTTTGAGTTTTTTGCCGAAGAAATCTCGACACCTAGAACCATCAGTCCACACTTTTAACTACTGCAACACTTACAGTTCATAAAATAATTTAAAATAAAACTCTCTTAACACTTTGTCACAGACTTTATTATTATTCTCATGTCTGTATTATTGTCTAACCAAATAATTAGTCAGACAATTTACTTAATCAGAGACATAAGAGCACACTTATGCATGCATTGCATGACAGATGACAGGATACAAATATTTCTCTTTTAAAACAATGATTTTTAAAGGAAAATAATAAAGCCATTAATCAATAAAACCTTAAATTTCTACAACTTATAATTATTTATAATGTTGATGCTGAGCAACAATTCTTACCACAAGGATGAAATAAATGAAGAATATGTATGCAAAGAAATAAATTGGCCCAAGGAAGTGGTTGACTCTTTCTATTTTTTGGTAGTCAAAATCTCCAACAGCGGTCCTTAGCAGAGCGAACACTGCGTGGATAAACGATCTGAAATCTTTGACCTGAAAAAAAGCTCTGGCTGTAAAACAAAAGAAGTCAACTTTGAATCTTAAGATTACATCTTACACACATCTTTAGAAACAGTCGTTAGCAAAACTAGGAAATACACACATCTAGGTGAAGCAAATCCATTGGCAAAAGCTTTGTTAGAAAACAGCATGTTTTTAAAATAGGAGTTTTTGGTCATGTATGTTTGTAAGCTATTTTTTTTGTAATATTTTCATTTACATGACTCAACACCAATTTAAGTTTTTTGTCCATTTATTAGCTGGAAATACTTACAGCAGCAGTATTGCGGTTATAATATTATTATCTTTTTTTAATGGGAATTTTATTCTAAGGCAACTTGTCTAATTCTTCTGATAATAAGAAAAAAATATAATGAAACAAATACTGTTCTGCTGTTTGCTATGTTTTACTATTTTAAAAAGAAAATAAAATACTTACCTGACCACCGAATAGCAGGTGACCAAGCTGGGCAAATGTTATGAAGACGATGAAAAATATAACTGAGAAGCAAGCAATGTCTTTTGTAGCCTGAAATGTAAAGGCAAATAAAAATGTTGTTTAGTTGAAGGACAAATTTACAAAAGTACTGTATTTTATATATTTTAGGACGAATACTGGAACAGACACGGTTATGGATCATTAACATAAACAAATGATGTTACTGGCCCGAAAATAAACATTACTTAACATTGCTTAAATGGAACTGTCTACACCTCATTTTAATGCTATTAGTTTAGGATTCGGGCCACCAACGTCATTTGTTTATGTTTATGATTCATACCGGTTCTGTTCAAGTATTTGTGGGTTTTATTGTATTTATTGCCTGTGTGTATTACTATTTGTACACAGTTCTCTAGCTAGGTGACACACCAGAAAGTGTGTAGTATACGGGATGAACTAAGTAAATGCAGAATGTAATGTTATTGAATATACTTCCTTCACAATAAAGGTGGTTTGAGGGGAAGTTCCCCAACACTTTCTTGTATTTAATATATCTTGCTTAATCAGCTGTCTGGAGCTATTATTTTAAAGTTAAGGGCAAGTGGAGGGCATATATTTCTTACCTAAAACCTACTAAATATTGTGAACGAAGTATAAGATCATCTGATTCTGTAACTAGGTACAGAATCAGTTATTAAATCCTCAAAATGTTCCAGAAAGGCTGGTAATATTTAGGTAGTTTCAAACCTTTATAAACAGGCTTACACTTGTTTTATTACAAAACCAGCTACCTTGAATAACTACTACACAAACACTATAACAAATAATATACTGCAAGGTATTTTTACCCTTTGAATAGTAGTCTGCATTTGGTGCATTGAGTGGTTGAAGTTTAGATATTTTGCAGCTTTGATGGCAGCAAAGAAGAACAAAATGACCAAAAGGGTTACTAAAGTTTCTCTTGCCGAGTTTATGTGATCAAAACATGCAAACTCTTCTACTTTCTCTATAAGTTGCGGAAGTTGTGAACTAACGACCAGATATTGAAAGATGTAACTCCCGATCGTGATATAAGCCAGCTGGAACATACCAAGTTTGGATTAGAGAAACTTATTTATATAGTTTGGGTCTATTTGGTTCAGACTTTTGATGGTTCAAAGGCCATCTGTGTTGTTTAAATAAACAAATCATTTACATACTGTTTGTCAAATGCTGATCAGATTATTTCTGTATTTTCTGTAATTTATTATTTTGTAAGCATAATGTGTGTTTTAAAACTGACTAGTTATCCTTTTTTGGAGGAGGGTTGGGCTTAAAGGTTGATTTTGTTTGTTGAGGTTTTGCCGAAGTAGTCTCGGCACATAGAAGCATTGGTCCACACAATCGTTGTCAAATCAAGAGTGAGTCTACTGTATTGACATTTAATTTATCCAAGCTAGTGCATTTGTTGTGCGCTGAAGAAATCAATTGTTATGGGTAATGTCTAGCATGACACTGTATACGAGTATTGATAGATTTTCTAAGTCATTTATCTGCTAAGAAATACAGTATTAATTAAAACATGTGTCTCAACACTTTTACTATTTTTACGGGTTACCAACATTCATGATAGGTGACCACGTGGTACTAACCATGAGGATAAAAAAGTCCAAGAAGTTCCAAAAAGAGTCAAAATAGTGCCATCTGAAGTAAGATATTTCGTACACTTCCTCTATTGTGTACCACAGAATAAATAAAACAAACACTGCAAAGCAGATCAACAGAAGCATATCCCAGAAATCCCTGTCAAAAAACTTGTGTATGTATATTGTGTAGGAGGGAATCACTCCTCCGGTCGGTGGGATCTCCAGGAGTAATCTGCAACATAGTTTATACTTAATGAATGTGTCTATATTAGTTATTATTCAAAAAAAGTTTATAAAAATATATGACAGTAGATAGGTAGCCAAACTAGGCTACCATTGTATAGTTCAATTGTCATGTTAATCTTTTAAGGTTGTAATTTACTCAAAAGAAGCACTAAAAATTTGATGAGCAAATAAGACTTTGATATATATCAATGAAATACTTCATTCACTAGTTTAGCTAATTTATAAATGTTGGGAATAGGATCTAAAAGGAAAACTGCAAGTCCCTAAAATTTATTGGGTCAAACAAAAGGAAAATATTTTTTTTACCAAATTTACTGAACTTGCGTTTTTATGGTTTTATACACCATTGGTCTAAACCCTTGTCTTGTTACCGGTACTATCTATGTTGACTTGTTGACTTTTTGTTGTATAGTATAATTTGAATTCCCAATTACAAATGGCATCTAAGTCTACACATTAATCCTGCTTGGTATCGAAGCAGCAACCTTCAGATTTGAAAACAAAACACTATATATTGTGAAATTTTCACCAAATTTAAAGCAGAGTTTTTGTGATTGAGACACTAGTAAGACTATACTGACATGAGGGTAAAGAAGATGTTTTCGTTGACACTGTAAGTGGTGAACTGCATGATCAGAGCTCTAGAGCCTCTGTCTAGCCAAGTGTCACGGAGAAGCTCCATTACAGAGCTGTTTGTCTTCTCCATGTCCCTCTTGAAGTCAAAGTAGTAACCTCCGCCTCCATAGGTGGATATCTGTCCACTCACTGATAGAGAGCCCAGCTCTCCTGCCGATTGGTATTTCCATCTGAAAATAAAACAATCTTCATGAGGTTCATCTGGTAATTAATGCAATCATGAGTATTCTCTGGACCAAACCACAGATATAATTGGTTCCTTAGTATATGACCAAAACTGGCAACCTCATGATTGTTAGGGAAGCGCTAACCAATCAGTTACTCACTATTAAGGATGAGTGTAAAATTGAAAGACGTAAAGTGTTGTAGCTGTTTAAGACCACTGCTTCTGTAGCTGGGATCAATTTATAAGAGACCATCATTCAAGGATAGCAGGGTAACTGTTAAAAAGCGTTTGAAGTTTTCTTTGGATCACAAAGGCCTATATTTTTAAAGGCTAGTTTTACTGTACTAGCCAAGTCTTTAACTGTATTTGAACACTGTTTGCACTAACTACCAATACTACGGAATAGTTTTAACTTGTAAGGATTCTCAACTTACGCTGTACTGACGTTAGTTTCTGCAGGACCATAATCCCCAGTGTCCTCCGCACTGCTTGAATACTCAGCGTAGCAGCTGCCAAAAATATTCTTCACTTCGTCTGGAATTGAACATGAGTCTTTTCTCACTCTCACCTGTTGAAAGTCGCCATATCAAGAAAAGTAATCTGAACTGGGGTGATCAAAATGAAAATGTGGAGTGGGTAAATTAAAATTACTAAACATGTGATTTTGCTTCACTTCAGTCTGAATAGACTATTGAGACCTTGCTGTGGTTAGAAGAACATACAAGAAAACTATTAAGAGTGATAGAGTGAACTATATTTGTTAAAATCAATTCCAACACAAAATAAATGTTTTTCAATCCTAGTTTTGTACAGCTTTGTTTTCATTTATTCACAATCATAGACATACAAACAATCCTTTTAGTTTGACATAACTCAGTGTTATTTTTTTACTTCATTTCAATACTATCATATATTATTATACACTATACAGGGTGAATAAAAAGTCAAGTTCCCCCCCCCCCTCTAATATTGTTCCAAGTAAATATACAGAGATATCCTTTTGGTGGTCGTGCAATCTTAGCAAGAAGTTTCATTTTATGATTTTGAAATTTTTGAGTGTCCCCCCAAAAGGGGGATTTGGGGGGCAACTAAAAATATTTCAATGTAAACCCCCATCAAGTGACACCTCATTTTGAAGCGTTTACAAAAACTTAAAGAATGGTGAAAACCAGAGTTTGCTACCTCTTCTCTTTCCAAAATTGTAGCCAATATTACCATTACGAACTAATTTTACCATTGATTTTCCACAACATTTGACGGGCTACCATTTTGGATAGAGAAGAGATAGCGACCTCTAATTTTTCACCATTCTTTAAGTCCTTTTACAAGTAAATTGGTTAAAATTTGTACTTATAAATCAATTTAAACTCATAGGAAACCAAAAATAATATTTTGTTTATATAATAATATAAAATAAATAATATAATATTCCATGCTTTGAATTCTAGCGAGCTACTTACTTGTCTGATTCTCGGTCTTCCCAGGATTTTGTTTTCATACAATATCGCATCGTTGATTTCTGGAGGGACTGTATCCACTTTATCCTGATGACTGTACCAGTAAATCCAAAATGTGTTTTGCAGATAGTGGTGAAAGTACTGTACACAGAAAAATAATTCATGTAAAAAGTGTTACAAGTGATTAAATTAGGAATTATCAATAGTTTTTATTTTAGTGATTATGATAGTACAACTCCTCCATTATACATAATTGATGTGCACCTGCCTGCATAACACACACTGGTATACAGAGACTTGGGGACATGTTTCTGTCTCATCAAAATATCGGGTTTTAAGTTGATTAATTGACGTCATAATATTAAGTACAGTTTGGCTTTGGGACTTATACAAAAATGTTACTGTAATAAGTCCTTCAGCTATCCAGTGTGATCAACTTCCCTTACACTCAAGATCTGCTACATAACATTTTATGGTTACTGTTTAATTAATCTTCATACTTGCTAATAATTCAGAGACTCTAGAATCTAAAGGGTTTGGATTTTGGAACCCTTTCCTTGAGGATATGACTGCTGATGATTCATATACTCTTCCCAGTACAGTCACAGTCTACAGTAGGGGTGGGGGTCTACAGTGTGACCCCATGTTTTAGAGACCGGGGGTGTTTAAAACTAATACAACAAGTAGGCGATGCAAAATACGAAATGTAAGCAGTTTCGAGCAGGTTCATGAAAGATTAAGCAGATCATAACTTTTGAATGTACCTATACTGAGAGTTTGATATGACACAATTTTAGTGGAAGAACAGAGTCAACCAACTTATGGTGACTAACACATTGTCTTTTCATATAGTTACCATACAACCCGATGTCATTTACTAATGATATGACCTATCTAACAAAAAAGGTAAACTCTAGAGTCTAGGGTAGCAAGACTAGGGTTTGAATTGGAGCAGTCCCTTATAAAAAATGCAACAAGCATTGATAAAGACAAACAAACAATTATAGTTTTTATAAGTATGTACAGTATTAAAAAAACAATTAGCAATCAAATTACTTTAATATTTCTTATAGGTGCATCGCTTGGATCACTAGATCGCTTACATTGGCATTCATGTTCAACAATTCCTGCTGAATCAAAGTTATACTTACAGACCAAACATGCTCGACGGTGTTTATCTCCTTGTAGGTGATCGCTTCATTGGTACGACGAGCTCTGAATTGCGCCTCAGTGAACAGTTTGGTCATTGATCTAGTCAAGTAGTATTCTGCGTTGCTGTGATGCCCAGCAGCCACTGGGAAACAGAAAACAGAACTAAAAAAACTCTAAAATATAAAATTACTTTTTTGAGAAGAGCTATTATTAGATATATGACTTAAGTTATTAGTGTTGAGAAGAGTTGCCATAAACACATACCCTACAGAATCGACATGGGAACAAACCCTTTTGATGCTAGGATTTTTTTGTAATTTTCAAAAAAATGCTAGAGTTATTTACTTATTTTGTCCGAAAAGTGCTAGCATTGACTATTGGATACTGAAGTAGACGTCCCATCTAAATAGACCAGCTGTAGCCAATTTTTTTCTTAAAAAAGAATGTAGTTGTGTGAGCCAGTCACAAAATGCGCTAGTGACTAAAACTCTATTTCCACCTTATTTTTTGTTGCTGGCCAAGTTGATGGGTCATAACAGTTTCTATAGCTCACTATGTAAGTCATTCAATTAGTTTGAATTGGTAAAAAAGATTGTGTATTCAACAGAAATCAACTAACTTAGATCAGCAGAATCTGTCGGTGGCTCACATCAACTACGACGATTTTGGTTAAAAACTGGCAACAAATTTAACATGGGGATGGAATGTCTAGTGCTGGGCTTGCCACGGGTGGGAAACAAAATTTTGGTAAAAATAAAAATTTTCATTTTGAAAGTGCTAAGGAATGATATATATCAGGCCTCAATTGTATGAGGAATCGAAAGAACGCTTCGCTGTTTTGAAAAAGGCAATCGAGTCAACCAATATGCCCATTTTAACACACACGATCCAAAGTCGCGCCAGCACGATATATAGTCGCTTAGCAATATTCGGATGAAACATGAACAACGATATATCGGTCCATAGCACTTCTCAGGAAAAAGACGCACAATGATACATCGTCGCATAGCACTGAAAGAGTAACAACAAATTGGCCAATTAATTATACTTATTTCAGACATATGGTGTTTCCAGCAGATGGTGAGTCATTTGTAAAATATTTTACTTTGAAAACTATTGGTTATAAGGTAATTCAACCAAAGGAACCAACCAGGACCATAGTACCTACTCAACTGAATGGATTATTTGTTTACATAATACATACTTACATATACCCAATACGATAAGAAATATGAAATAGATTAACATCTCTTTAATGCACAGTTTTAAATAGCTTTCCCGGTTTAGGTATCGTCTCCCGATTTCTCTCGTTGTCAAACACTCTGAAACAAATAAATTGGTTATTATTTAAAAATCATATTCAGTTTGAAATTGCATGTGTTTATCTAAATTCCGTACATTTTAGTCTAAAGTATATTAAGTAGTTTCATCTCAACGTTACAGTTACTTCAATTAAGCGACGCAAGTACCTCAATGCTTGAATGTTTGATGATTGCATCGAACAATATCAAGGTGCCACCGCAGTAAAATAATTTAAAGCATTACTAGGTAATAATATTACATTTAGTCAATGGTTTAGAACAATTCTGTATTAAATAGCCTACCGGTACAATAATTTGACTAACTTTTTAGAAGAAGGCTGATGAAATAATCAAATAAGCCACTTCATTTATCATCATTTAATGATTTTGTTCAGTAAAGGATCACGTAGCAAATAGCCTATGTACCACATTCACATCCCAGGACGCTAGTTCTAACCCGGATCTGTTTTACACATTACTCCAGACTAGTCCTAGAGGGTTGCGGCATTATCACATAGGCTAGGTAAAATCCATAGGTGGTTGGAGGGATTTGAACCCGTGACCTCGGGCACCGAAGCCCAGCGCTCTACCAGTAGACCAGCTCGCCCACAGGGTACAGCTTTGACTAGTCAATGGTAATAAGTCACAAAAGCTAACTTGTGAAGGGAAAAAAATGTATTATCAATCCTTGAACCCTACACATTTGAAAAGCGATGTGAAATTAATTCAACTAATAATACGTTTATCCTGATAGGTAAGTTTCGTCAATTTTATAAAAGTGCTATTTGTAAATTATACGGGTTTTTGGAACACACCAATTTAGTCAAATAGGATATCATGACAAATTAAGAATTTATTTAAGTGAAAGTCTTACTTGGTGCAATCTTTGTAGACTTTTGAGAGACGTGATCATCTTCTCCACCCGGAGACAACTCAATATCTTCTACTTCTCGGTCATCTTTCTTCCCTTTCTTTCTCTTCCTTAAGTCTGACGAGGGTGAGGTATCTTCAGGATTATCGTCTTCTTCTTCTCGCTTCTTCTTAGCCATGATATTTCAGTTAAGGTTATGCAGACAAACTGATTATTCTGGAAAAGAATACAATTAAAGAACTGGTGTTATTACCGGTACTCAAATAAGTTTAAGTGAAGTGTTGTATAGATAGTGTTGGGTAAGGTATTCTAATAAGTGTGTGTTGTGTTTGAATAGGCAAACTGGTACCTAAAGGGCTGCACTTTACTTGACGTCCTACTCTCATTCGAATGAAAATATCGATCGATATATCGATTAATCGATTGTTTCATTCGATATATTGTTTGGTTAGTTAGGTAAGGTTAACCTAACCTAACTAACCAAACGATATATCGAATGAAACAATCGAATGAAAATATTGAATCGAAAAAACAATCGAATGAGTGTAGGACGTCAAGTAAAGTGCAGCCACCTAAAGCACTATATCTACTTATTCATTTTACCAGGCCTAGACCTAGATTAAAATTAATTCTCTGCGCGGCAAAAGTCATTCAATAAATTTAAAGGATATGGACGACATACAACAGTTAAACGTGATTGAAAAAAGTACCCCAAAAGTATACCTACCTAATATTAGGCTGTTGTATATTTTTTACATATTTTCTGTGCATCTATAATTCTAAAAGAATTTCATTCAAAATTTTTGTTTTATGATAAAAAAATCATCAACTTTAAGATTAATTAAAAAGTAAATTAATCGCATCTAATTTAGTCAGCCTGCAAATCACTCTCAAAGGTTTGTACCCAAGTGAGAACGTCATGAACCGCGTTTCCCGATGAAGGCTTCATCAAACGGAACACTTTTTACGTGGTTTAATTCCGTTTAGACATTAAAACTAACAATAAATTAAGACATTTGTATGGTAGAAAAACTTACCAAATAGAAAGTAGAAAATGCGCTGAATAACTTTTGTCGTAAGCTAGTTCACGAAATAAATACACCAACAAGAACAAGGAACAACTAAAAGAAAACAACAACAGAATTTAAAGAAATACAACAATAAACCAGCTGTACGATAAATCAAACACTGCATAGTGAACTGTAAATATCTAAAATATCTATCGGTAAGCCACAATTTTACGATTATTGACGTCATAGGAGAGTTAAGGCACAGATCAAAGGGATGTTCCTCTCTTTTGATTCTATAATAGAAAAACACGTTGACTTGTTGCATTGATGGTGTAGTCTATACTTGATGTCTCGTTGTAAAAGTGGAATTCTGGTTTGATGAGTGTTTCATGTCCGTTGCGCTCGAGTGCGTTGACGTTCACTAAATGTTTATGTCTTATTGAAGGTTTACTTTTACTGTACTTTCCTCTCTAGTTTTAGTACCAGAGTGCAAGCAATTTGTAATTAAATCGTTCTATTTGGTTGTAGGCCCACCTAGTATTTTTGTAAGTAAAAACTGTATTTTTTTAATATTGTGGGTTATTACACCAGTGGCATTTAACGTTTTGAAAGGGAACGGTCCAAACCCTGGTCTTGTTACTCTAACGTCGACCTTTTAGTTTGATAGCATCATTAATTCATAGCCCAATGATAAATGACATCTGGGTCTGGAAACGATCTCGCTTGGATTTGTCCATTATTGGGCTTGTCCATAAAATAATATACTATAGGAGAATATGCTTAGTAATCTGGTCAAAATTATTCATTTTGCGATGGAGATATCAGAATACTTTATCCTTGAACATAGAGTACAGAATAGGCGTTAAACATTACAGAGATTTAACTATAAAACAGCATAAAGTTTTTGGGATTCGAGGCGCTGTCGGTAGTGATGGTTATTATTTGTACAAGCCAAAAATCTATCAAAATAAAACTGAAAACTTGAAGATTTTTGGATAAAACGATACAATTTTTTTAGCCTTCTGTACTGGTTTTGGTGTAATTGGATGAAGCTAGCGGTGAAATATCCGATCTGACATAGGGGGAGTAATATCTCCAAGTTAGCTCTCCCAGCTGGTCTGTTCTCCAGCGGCGTTCCTTGTGTTGTGTTGCAGACATACATATATCAACCTCGCCATATCAAGCCGGCCCACATCGCAGATGCTAATTGGGTTTCTCTCCACCCGAGATTTTTATTGAGCAAAAGTGAAACGTCCGAACCCGCTGTAATTGGACGTAGGGTGGCTCGATTGTTATTTAGGGTAACAAGGAACACGGGATCCGTTTGAAACTGTTACAGTCGTTTTAACACGTCAAACGTGTGAGGAATAGAGGATTTGATTTCATACGGTGTTTATTACTGGTTTGATGTCTTCAAGTGTGAACCGGAACTAACCTAATTGGTTTTCCGACAGTTACCCGACAAAGTTGACTTCCTTGAACTGATTATAGTACAAAAAGCTGCTAATTGCTACATTTACAAACTTTTCCTACAGTTACCTAACAATGTACATGTTCTCTCACTGATTTGAGAAAGCAAAGTGGCCAATTCACTCATCAGTGAGACAATGTTAACATTGTCTCACTCTAATTACTTTGTCTCACTCCAGATTTGCAGCGTGAAGGCACGAAATAGTCTTGTAGTAACATCACTCCTTTTATCTATGGTCGTATGCGCGCGAAATACGTTGGCAGCACTGGCTGTAAATCAGCTGGTCAGCTGTTGTACTGTTGTATTTGTCACTTCACATTAAATGTTATATTAAAAGTTCACTTCTTTGTAAAAATAGGTTATGTTTCTTCACAAATTATGGTAACAAATTATGGTTTTATGGTAACTGTAGGAAAAGTATAATGTGCAACTCGAGTTCAAAGTACAATTGCCTTACTCGAGAAACAATTCCTCACTCGCCTACGGCTCGTGAGTAAGGATTTCTCTCGAGTGAGTCAATTGCTCACTTTTCTCACTAGTTGCACAAATAACTATTGTCGCACGGTTTATACTTTGGCGCACACCAGTATTCCAACCAAACAACACAAAAAAGCGTGGTTTTATTATTATGAACGTAATCTGTGTACACTTGGAAATAGGTTGGCAACACTTAAAGATACTGCTACTATGATCAGCTGATTGACTATTGATACTACGATTTAACCTGTAATTTCGTGTTTATATTTTATTTTCGTAAATCGCTTGGTTTGAACGTGGTTTGAACGTAACCTGTAGTATTTGAAAGAATAATTTTAAGCGATTCTAACATGTTTGAGAATAATGAACACAATTATTGTGGATATATGTGTACACAAGAAGAAATATGTAGCAGAAACTGCAAAGCATGTTTCATTAAACCTGTTTCCAGAAAACCCAAGAAAGAAGTATGAACGAGCATACGAACTGTTTTCTTCTTGGTGCGTAAGTAAGAAAGTTACAAAAATACTTGTTTATTCTGTTTATACTGATAATTACTGTTTATGCGTGTACTTTTGAAAATAAGTAACACCATTCCCATCTATATGGACCAGCTGTAGCCAATTTTTTGTTAAAAAAGAACGTAGTTAATAAGCCAGTCACAGAATGCACTGGTGACTAAAACTCTATTTTTTTACCTTATTTGTTGTTGCTGGAATAGTTGAGGGGTCATAACAGTTATAGCTCACAATAAGTCATTCCATTAGTTTGAGTTGGTAAAAAAGATTAAATAACTTCTTGATCAGCATTGTACGTGTTATTAAATTTACGGAAAGTAAATAAAAGAAACGTCTTATAACACTTAAAACATATATTTACGCTTATACTGTTACTCACAAGACGGTAAATATACAAAAACGATGGTAAGTGGTGATCGATTTCGATTGGACACTCCAATCATCATCAGACCCAATAGGCGAATGACAAGAATCTTGAATGGCGTCCCTACTTATACCCTATTGGCTACCGGAAGCACCGGCCAATACATTTTTATAAGTACAACTGGAATCAAAATGTATTTGTTCATTAATCAACTTATTTCTATCTTTACATTTTTCCTTATAAATATACAATTCTTCCCAAGCATTCATTACATATCCTTTCTTACAATTCTTTAAAATATCTAGACTATCCTCCATTTTTCCTAGTGAGTGCCCATTTTGTAACAGGTGTTGTGCGACATTTGATCTTTCCGGTTTGTTGTTCCTCCACGCAGATATGTGGTTTTTGAAGCGGTTTACGAAGTTCACAGTCTGTCCAATGTAGAAGCTATCACAATCGTTACAATTGATTTTATATATGCCCGAAGTGTCAAATTTGTTACAATCTTCTATTTTTGGATGCAGTATTTTACTCATGGTGTTCTGAGTCCTGTAGGCTATTGAAACTCCGTATTTCTTGAATCTGTTAGCAGTCCTTTGTGTTGTAGTCCCCGTGTAGCTAAATGTGATATATCTGGTGCTTTCCTCTTTTATCTCTTCTAATGTTGTTCTGCTGTGTAGTGTATTCTGTCTATCAATTTTTCTCCTCGTCTTCCTTGCGATGTCCTCTATCGTCTTGGTTCGAAATCCATTCATAAGATAAGTTCCATTCGTAAGATAGTATGAATGGATTTCGAACCAAGACGATAGAGGACATCGCAAGGAAGACGAGGAGAAAAATTGATAGACAGAATACACTACACAGCAGAACAACATTAGAAGAGATAAAAGAGGAAAGCACCAGATATATCACATTTAGCTACACGGGGACTACAACACAAAGGACTGCTAACAGATTCAAGAAATACGGAGTTTCAATAGCCTACAGGACTCAGAACACCATGAGTAAAATACTGCATCCAAAAATAGAAGATTGTAACAAATTTGACACTTCGGGCATATATAAAATCAATTGTAACGATTGTGATAGCTTCTACATTGGACAGACTGTGAACTTCGTAAACCGCTTCAAAAACCACATATCTGCGTGGAGGAACAACAAACCGGAAAGATCAAATGTCGCACAACACCTGTTACAAAATGGGCACTCACTAGGAAAAATGGAGGATAGTCTAGATATTTTAAAGAATTGTAAGAAAGGATATGTAATGAATGCTTGGGAAGAATTGTATATTTATAAGGAAAAATGTAAAGATAGAAATAAGTTGATTAATGAACAAATACATTTTGATTCCAGTTGTACTTATAAAAATGTATTGGCCGGTGCTTCCGGTAGCCAATAGGGTATAAGTAGGGACGCCATTCAAGATTCTTGTCATTCGCCTATTGGGTCTGATGATGATTGGAGTGTCCAATCGAAATCGATCACCACTTACCATCTTTTTTGTATATTTACCGTCTTGTGAGTAACAGTATAAGCGTAAATATATGTTTTAAGTGTTATAAGACATTTCTTTTATTTACTTTCCGTAAAAAAGATTGTGTATTCGCCAGAAATCAGTAATTTAGATCAGCATAATCTGTCGGTGGCTCACATCAACTACGACGATTTTGGTAAAAAAACTGGCTAAAAGTTTAACAAGGGGATGGAATGTCTAGTAACAGCTAAAGATACTACGACTACTATCAGCTGGTGCAGTGTTTCCCATTCCGTTCAAACTTTGTTCAACGCTAGGGTTTAACCTAACCTAAAAACGTGTTATACAGTGTTTGAAAGACTATTGATATGCTTTTTAGTGAATTTAGGAAAAATATAATGTGTAACACGAGCACAAAGTGCTATTTTGCTGACTATTTACACAAATAAGTATTGGCGGTTTAGTATATAAATTATACTATCCAGTAATTTTCTGTATGCACAACTAGATTAGATCAAAACGGGTTTAGATTGTATTGTTGTACTTAATACAAGTCTAGTTGTTGGCCCAAGCAGCTGTTCTTTGTCGGCTGGCAGTAGCAAGTGTAACAATGTAAGTATTCCAGAGCATTGTTGATACATCAGGTCACAGGGTACAGCTGAGTACTTGCCAATGCTAATGCTCACAGCCCACTCACGTACATGGTGCTTGTATCCTGGTTTTCACTCACTAGGCCTGGTGAGTGGCGGAGTGGTGAGTGGTGAGGTAGTACGACTCGTGGGAATTATTTCTTTTTTAATAATTT